ATTTTTCTAGAAAAAGAGGTACCAGAACATGTGTCAATGGTGCCCACCTGAGAGGTGCTGGAACTGAGTTCCAGTGAGCTCCAGCTGAAAAAAAAAAGCCCTGTGCAAATCTATTATTGTCACTCAAAAGAAACCAGGCCAGTTCTGGAAGTATTTTAAGTCTGGAATCAAAGCAGCTCCAGAGCAATGAAAACACCTGCTAATATTTTAATGGAGCTTAACATCTCTTATTTGGAAGTTAGGAACCCAAGTATTTTCAAATGGGTGACATAACTGCTTGAGCCAATTTACCGTTCTTTATTGTCTTTTGAAGTACACATTTTCCCAGGCTTGAAGCCAATTGGGAGGAATGCTAATTTGGGGTGGGGTGGGGGCCATATCTCAGTGCTGGAGGATGTACTTTGACTGCAAAAACCTTCAATCACATCTCCAATATCTACAAGTAAAAATGATTGGTAGTAGCAGGTGATCCGGACTCCCAGGTAGGACTGACTGCAGGTTTGGCATTTGGGAGGGGGGGGGTCCCTGGCAGGTGCACTGCTGGGTACTTAAAAGACTTGAGACATAAACTCATCACACAAATCTGCACAATATTTGCAAATATATCTGTATGCTTACCCTAATTACAAACATAAATGTGTGTGTGTGTGTGTGTGTGTGTGTGTGTGTAGACAACTCAAAGAACAACAAATATTACAAAAATGTGTCTTCAGGATATGGCAGAAACAGGTTCCCCCCCCCCCCAAAGTAAGCATTTTTATTTTATGGCTTAAAAGCACCCAACAGCAGCGAAGGATAAGGACCTTAGCTTGCGTACGTAAACACTGTGCACAAGGAGAGCCCGGCAGCTGCTCTGGATGAATTAGCCTGGCAGAGAAGCATGGTTTGTATCCCTGCCCACACTGACGTCCTGAAATGGCGTGATCACCATTCACGAGAGGTGATTGCCTAACTTTCTCCCTTGAAAGGACCATGGCAGAAACAGTTAAGCTATGTAACTCACTCCCACAGGAGGTAGTGATGGTCACCAACCTAGATGGCTTTAAAAGCGTAGACAAATTCACGAAGGAGAATGAGGATAGCGGCAGCTACTAACCACGATGGCTATGCCTTCATGGTCTGAGGCAGCAATGCTTCTGAAAAACAGTTGCTGGAAACCACAGGATGAGAGTGCTCTTGTGCTCAAATCCTGCTTGTGGGCTTCCTTCTGCAGGGGCATCTGCTCAGCCACTATGAGAACAGGATGCTGGACTAGATGGACCATTGACCTGATCCAGTAGGCTCTCCTTATGTTCTCATTTGTAAAATACAAGTGAGATTGTATTATTGCACGCCACCTGAATCTCTTGAGTGGTGCAAGATTCCAGGTGTTCCAGGCACTTACCCAGGGTCTGTGTTTCCTATTGGATATGAGGGACAACAGATTGATATGGTTTATTTACACATATATACAACCTGAGCCTGTGGTGGAGGGGTTCACAGCATCAACACCCCAAAAGCATCTTGTTACTGGGTCCAATAATTTAGGCGTGTCTAGAACCCACAAATCCATAACAGTATGTTCAGCTCATCCTTCCAGAACTGTTGCAGCAAGGATGACTAAAAAGTACTGAGGCAAAGTGCTTTGAATAGCAAAAAAAAAAAAAAAAAAGGAGAGGAGAGGAAAAATGCTGTATAAATGCTGAACACTATGATGATTAACTTGAATCCTTGATGGTCGACAGCTCCCATATATGTGCTGGCGACGCTCGGTACATATGTCTCGCTGACCCACATGTGTTTCCAAGATATTAAACACAAGCTGCTCTTGATGAGCACTCCTACGGTGACAGAGAAGGAGCTAAACTATGGGATAAAGCAGCTTGGCTTTCATTCAAAGATGAAGCGGCTGCTCTAAATCTGTAATTCTGTCTGGGTGTTTGCAAGCAAGAGCAATTCAGCAGCGCACACTTATCTGGGAAGCAGCAGAAAGCATTGGTTGTGTGTATCCCTTTCTCTATTTCTGTCCATAGCCCCATATCCTGCATCCTGTCTGCCGTGGATGCTCAGGAGTCATACCAGAGCCACTTAAGAGCACGCACTGCATGGTGTCTGTAATAGCATGGGGAGGCGTTGATCCCCAGCCTCTGAATGCATGATTAAGTCCAGCCTGGCCACCTCTTTGCTCCCCCCTACTCCAGATTTCCAAGCATCTGTTGAGAGGTGGTAATGCTGGGCTTAGCGGCAAGGTCGGAGGCCACAGATGACCAGCATTTTGTACAGTTGCAGGAGGCATATGGTGAGCTTGTAATTGGTTGCTGCAGGGATCCCAGTTGTCTGAATCTAGCTTGTCAATGCATATCTCTATCTCTGTTGTTGTTGTTGTTAATAATAATAATAATAATAATAATAATAATAATAATATCATCATCATCATCATCGTGGTCAATATTAGTTTTCTATCCTGCCCTTCCTCTCAGAGCAGCCCAGAGCTAAAAACACAAAACAATATAACTAAAGGTAAAGCAACAGCTTATGTGAAACTTTCAAAAACACCTGAAATCATTGAGAACATCTTAAGCACACAAAACAGTCACATATTCTTACAGCTGATAATTTCTAGATGATGGGGAGCAGCATCTTTCAGTCACTCAATGCCGGGGTGTGACTTTTTAAATTCCTTCTGAAGGCGAGTAAAGAGGGGGCCACACACACCTCACTGGGGAAGGCGCTTCTCAAAAGGGGAGCCACCACCGAGAAGTCCCAGTTGTGGGTCAGCACCCAGTCTGCTAGTTGTAGGGCCTGAGATGGTTGATACTGGGGGAGGCACTCTTTTAAGTTCTTGGGTCCCAAGCAGTTAAGTTCTTGGGTCCACAAGTGATAACACCTTGAATTGGGCCCGGTGGCTCACTGGCTAGCAGTGCAGAGCTTTCAGGACTGGTAGCACGTGGGAACTTGAGAGAAGATACTCAGACACTCATCCAATACTCAGTGTGCTGCATTCAAGCACAGTGGGTTAACTGTGCCCTGTCCCCTCAAACACAGCTGAGCCTCCCCTCTCCCAATCCCCAGATATGTGCATATTGGATCACTTCCAAGGGTCCATAGAGGAAGCCTTGTCTGAGAACCCCCAAAATCCTGTTGCTGGGTTTATCTTTTAAAGCAGGGATGGGAAGCCCAGCTATTGCTAGGCTAACCTCTGCCCCAGTCAACATGGCCAGTGGTCATGTGCCGTTCATAAGGCAGAAACAGTGACAAGCTTTAAAGTCCCATCTACTTAAGCAGGCATTCCCGGCTCATGAAATCCATCACGTTCTGTTTTATTATTTATTGATATTTAACTGTATGTTTTATTGATGACTCCTCTGTTTGTACTGATGTACTTTGTTGTTGTTGTTTGGTTTTAAATGTTGTATGTACACTTTTCTTCTTCAAATTATCTTACTGTGCTTTATGTAAACTGGTTAGGGATTTTGCATATTAAATGGTATATGAATATGCTGATACTGGATATGATGAATGAGGAAGCCTGTCAAGGTGTCAGCCAAGATATTTATATGGCGCCTCCATTTCCAGGACCACTATACCTCTGAATGTCAAAAACTGGGAGCATCATAGGGTAAGTCTGAAAGCTGCTCTGTGCTGAGTTCATCAAGTTACGTATTGTCTGTATACAGACTGGATGCAGCTCTCTAGGCTTCAGAGTTCAGGCAGGAAGTAGCCTTTTTTCTGAGCCCTTCAGCAATGGCTGAAGGGCTGCTGAGTCTGTGCCCTGCTTGTTTGATGCTTCCTGGAGGCATCTGCCAGCCATGGCTGGGAAAGAGACTGCTGGAGAAGATGGATTGTCGGTCTGATCCAGCAGGGGCTCTTCTCCTGTGACATCTGTCTCCCAAAATCCGTCTCGCAGTTCTTCATTGGTGTTGACCTTCTTGTGACATTAAAAGTGATGTCCTTCAGAGGCTCCCAGCTAATAGGCTCACTCAAGTCAAACTTGTTTAGATGCAATCTTTTAAATAAAGAAATAAAGTCTGTAAGAAAGAAGAAAAAAACCGAAATGCCAAGGAAGACACGCTGAGCCACAATTCTGGAACGAAACACTCAGATTACTGCGGCATTTTCAAGGAGAATCAAAGCATATGGTGGCATAATGGAGCATGAATTTACAGCAGCAAAGATGTACGCTACAGATTAAAGCTTCATCTGGGAGGACAGAACTGCTGTGCAGCAGAAAACTCCCGGCTCTTGCCTTTGCTCCTGCCAGTACCAGACAGCAAAATAATGATTTTGGTAGAGCGAGGGCTCCCTCTGCTGGGAATAAGATTGTGCTCTTGTTTATCCACCCATCCACACAAAAAGAGCCCTGAAGTTAGATCAGGCCAAGTACTGTATGGGAAACGCTGAATCCTTAGCAGCAATGAATGAACATAAGAAAAAACCTGAAGCTGCATTTGGCTGAAGGGAGCTCAATAGTCCAGCATCCTCTCCTCATAGTGGCCAATCAGACGCCCACTATGGAAAGCCCATAAGCAGGACCCGAGCGCAAGAGCACTCTTCCCCTCTTTCTGGATCCCCAACAACTGACATTCAAAGGCAAAAGGCCTCCAACAAGAAATGTGCTTGTCCTATCAGTCTTAAGGCCTTAACTACACATGGTGTGTGTGTGCTTGCACAGCTCCCAAAAAAGAGGAAGTTCGTCAATAAAAAGGAGAGCTAATAATAGGACACAAATTTGTTTAAAACTTACATATGTTTATACATTTTCTCTACATCCCCCCGCCGTTGCAACTCAAGCTCTCGGGATTTCCCTCCTTCCTTCACTGGAGGTTTTTAAGCAAGAGGTTGTATGCCCATCTGCCAGGGATTATTGAGCTGGTGGTTCCTGCAGGGGGTTAGACTAAATGACCCTTAGGGGTCCCAGCTAACTCTTTGATTCTATGATTTTACGACATGTATATGTCAGTTTGCATTTCTTTGTACAGAAAGTATTGATCTGATGTATAGGGGTCTTCCCTATTCTAATTAATTCAAGAGGGTTCTGGAAGTTTCTGTGTGTAAAAAAAACAAGCAGAAGGTTCATGATGTTTGGGTTATACCTTCAGAGAAGCTGAGTACAGTTGGCTTAAACTGGTTCTCTTATCTCTTTCTGTCAAGGTCATGCTGACTATAATAATAGGCCAGAAGGACTCTGGGTTTCACTTTTCTCTTTCTGCCTTTCTTTCCTTTTGGTGTGGTGTTCTATACATAGTATGCTTAGTTGTTAAGGTTTAGACTTATAAGAAGTTACTATAAATTAAAGTCAAGTCAGCTGCACCTGGATTTCTTATGGACAGTGCTAATCCTGAATGTATTGGATTTGTGATCATTATACTGTACTTATTTGCCTTCAGTAGCAGTAAAGTTCTGCTGGGTGAAATATTAATTGCCTATGGTCTGTTTTGGGAGAATCTTGCAACGTGTTTAAGTTTTTACTCTGCTAACTATACGTCGGAGTTCTGCTCTGGATCAATATTGAGCAGAATTTCATGACAGTATTGGAGAAGCTACATCTTATTGGACCCAGTGGGCGCTTACGATAACTTCTGAGTAGGCGAGCATTGATCGTTTGCTCACCAACTTTCTCTCTCTCTCTTAAGCTCAGCTGGTAGAGCGCGAGACCCTTACTCTCAGGGTCGTGGGCGAAAGATTCCTCGTGAAAACCCTCGTGGTCTGATTCTATTGATGGCTCTTGCTTTGGTCTGTTCGGCGCTCGGCTTCCGCTGCCTGTGCTATAATTCCTCCTCTCGGTGCGCGATTGCGTTGGCCTCGCCTGCTCTTGCGCCGGCGCACTAACGCGAACGGGAGAGATTGAAGAGCGAAGCGGCCCCGCCCACGTCGCGCGTCACCGACGTCTCGTCTCTAGCCATGGCGGACGAGGAGCTGGAGGCGCTGCGCAAGCAGAGGATGGCCGAGCTGCAAGCCAAGCACGGGGTGAGCGGAGCGGAGGGCGCCGGGCCTGGACCGTCCCCTCACACGCGGGCGGGCGTCGCCTTCGGCGCTTCGCCCGGTGTCCTGGCCCACAGGCGAGGCCCCTCTAGCCGGCCGGCCAGAGGAAGGGCGGGCCTGGGCCTTCGGTTTTAATTGCATGGCGCTAGTCCTCACTGCGGGCTCAGGGCCGCCTCAGGCGTGGGAGGCAAGGCGGGAGGGGCGCAGAGACCACTCTGGGAGAAGTCAGAGGAAGAGACCCGTGTTTTGTGTATTATGCACGTCTGCATACACACACACGTGTGTTGGGATTATTTCCAATGCTACATATCTACTCACTCAGGAAACCCATTGAGTACGCTCGCTAAAGTGTATATACAGGGGTGGGAGCATATCTCTTATTTTCAGGGTTTCCACTTCTTTTTTTCAGCAAAAAAAACTCAAAGCAGCTTACATCCAATATTAACACAAACATCTCCCTTTAAAAAAAAGGAATAAAGTTAACCAGTTGAAAGAGAGAAAACAAGGACTGATGGTGCTGTCTGGTTTGGGGGTTTACCCTACGTGGGCTTTTGTGCATGATTGTTGTCAACCCTAAGTCGTCGCCCCCCCCCCAAATCTTTATCCGTGTAACCACCATGGGAGAGGTAGGTTAGGCCCAAGGTGGCCCAGCCAGTGTCATAGCTGAGTGGGGATTTGAACCTGTGTCTCCATGGTTGTATTCTGACATTGGTTATGCCACACTGGTTCTGAGTGGGAGGGAGCTGGGATTCTATGATTCGGCCACTGTCTGGAAATAGGGCTCAGTGATTGTCAGTCCCAGCACCAAATGCAGCTGTTGGAAGGCTGTTAAATGACTTTGCTCCACTGCCCCACACCCAGTTGCCAACCTGGAGAAGGGGCTTGGGTAGAAAGCACTTGTCAGTCATCCGCCAAGGTGGGCCTGTCAAATCTAGCCATTGACTAGGAATCTAGAGCCAGCCTTTGCAAAAACATTACTGGTACACAACATCTTTTTTGCCAGCTCAGCTGTTCTTATATGCCCATTTGTGGCATCAAAGGAAAAAAAGAAACTTCTTTGAAGTTTTCTTGCCTGGTGACCCACAGGCAATTCTTACCACGGTTTGCAGGCATGTATTAAGTAACTTGTCCATCTGTGGGGCTGAAGAATAGCTACTTTCCCATCTTGATTGGTAGATTCTATATTACCTGAAGGTTGCGTACTTCAACACCCTCAAAAGTTGACTCTCATCATTTAGGATCTAGTGCCTTCTCCCTACCTGGGAGCAGTAATAGTTGTGCATTTATGAGTCTTTCTGTATGAGAACAGTCCTGGCCTTATATGTGTACTTTAGCGTTTGTTTGTTTGTTTGTTTGTTTGTTTGTAATTCTTCAGTAGTGCTATGCTTTACTACTAAACTGGTTCTTATTTCTAACATTTCAGGATCCTTCCAGTGACATCGCACAGCAAGAAGCAAAACAGAGGTAACAGAGGGGATGAAAACAAAAGCCACCTTTTCGGTAGACTGATATCCCTTTATTACGTTGTGCACAGTAGCGGGGAGAAGGCACCCCTTCACATCTTAGGGGGTTTTTTTGCTAGTATGATTGTATCCTGTAATCAGTATTACCACATGACTGGAAGCATGTTGTGAGATACATCTACTGGCAGTCATCCAGATTCATGTCTCTGCAAGTGTGATGGTGGGATAAAATTAACTTTTAATATAATAATAAAAATAAATTTATAGGAAAAATGAAGGTGAAACAAATAAACAGCAACAGAGGTATGGGCTGCCATGTTTGCATTTATTACTAAATTAAGTGTGATTTAGAGGCAGAAACAGAAGAGACACAGAACACTGAGACCAGTAGAGTTTCCCCCCTTTTTGTCATTCTCCTTAAATAAGGTTGCTATCCTTTTTGTCTTTATTAGATCTTTACAATGCACATACTCTTCTAAATGGGTGTGTAATCTTCCTACATCAAGAGCCCACTGTTAAACGAGTGAGAGTTTAACCTTTGTAGGGGTTTGGTACTGAGCCATGAATAACTTGTGATCTGCCTCTGAACTGAATGTGTTTCAAGTTTCCATAGTTGGATTCTCTTTCCCAGATAATAATAAATGAATTTGTGCTCAAATTCCACAGTAAATTCCATAAGGATAGTAGTTTAAATGGTTTAAATATAATGGAGTACTAGCAATGTCTAAATATGAAACTTCCGGTTGTACAAAATGGTCAGTGTGTTTTACTTTCTTGCAATGCACTGCACATGTTCTGAAGCTGTAATTTATCTGCATAATTTTTATATTACAGGGAATCAGAAATGAGGAATAACATTTTGGCTCAGCTTTTGGATCAGGCAGCTCGTGCCAGATGTAAGCATCCATGGTGTATTCTGACCCACTTCTAAAACCTTTCTCTGAGTCCATCTTACTTAGATTGCACATACTTAACTTTACTAAGGAAAATAATACAGTGTTTTGGGCCCAGTACTAGGCACACTTATGTGGGAAGTAGGTTTCAATTCTCACTACATTTGCTTTTTCTGTTCTAAGGAGGATGCAGAGGAGGCGCCACTGGATACTACTTTCTGAACTTATTGTTGATATATAGTTAATTATTCTAGAATGGTCATTAGTGAGGACTGCTGAGTTAAAAGCTGCTTCTGCAGAATACTGTAGTAAATGTAGAATACGTTCCTAAATGTATTGGTGGGTGCTAAGCTAGGACTATGGACTGGAGTTGACCTCAAGAGGATGGTTGACTGTTCCCCTTTGCACATATCTGCAGCTCTTGTCAGTTGCTCCTGGACCCTGAAGCACTGCAGTCTGAAGGCATTACTCTGGACTTTTCCCCCAGTCTAAAAGTTGAGTGGAATGGAACAATCAGAAAGCAGGAGGGAAATGTAAAGATCCTAATAAGCCATGTTTGAACAAAGCAGTATACCGAGTTCCTTAAAATACAGTTTTCCTTTTTCATAAGACCAGGCATAGATCAGTAATCCATCTTAAAATAACAGTTCAATGCCTTTTGCAGTACTGTGAATAATAAGTCTTGCCTGACTTTAGTAATCTGGTGTTTTTCTAAAAAAAATGCAAAATATCCGTTTTCCTTTTTCAGTAAGTAATTTAGCGCTTGTGAAACCAGAAAAGGCAAAAGCGGTGGAGAATTACCTCATACAGATGGGCAGGTTTGGACAGTTAGGTGGGAAGGTAAGTGGAATCTCTGTCATGACTTCTTGGTGACTCAAATATAGGAAATAACTTTCATGAAATACAGATTTATAAATAAATGTTCAAAGGCAGGCAGGCTTTGTGCATCACACAAAGCCATGGTTTTGATTTAACCAGTTTATTGAACACACCATGAATCGCCTCACAGACTAGCAAACAAGTTGCCGCTTGTTTCTCTGACATTTTGCTTGTTTTCCACCTGTTCCTGCTTTGTGTCTTTGTTGCCTGACAAAATGATGGTCAAGCAAGGGTTTGGATATCATGCTAAACCACAGTGATAACAAGCTGTGGTTAGGAAAGCTACAAACAACCATGGCTTCACCTTGTGGTTTGTTAGTAGAAAGCAAACACTGGTTATTCTGCTGGACTGAGTTTGCTGTTGCCTGAAAACAGAATGCCAAATTAGATGGATCTGTGCCTCACTGGGCAAGATAATTCTTACACATCCTGCAAAACATTGATTTATAAGCTTTGAAAAGTTGTGCTATTATAGGATAATTCTCTAGCCTCTTCACACTTGTTTCCAAATCGCATTTTTTAGTCTTATATAAAAAGTCGATGAATCATTTTATGTGACATGGGGGATAGCAGATTACCTGTTAATGATGCTGTGGTGGTGGCCTTTGCTGTTTTGTTTTGTCCTTCCACTGTCATGATGCTCTGGATGAAAGTGTTACCTGTGTGTAGTGTTTAAGTTGCTTGTATAGGGTGTGTCCTTCTGCCCCCAGAGGGAGGCAAGGAGGAAATGTGCCATTCCCACCAAATGAGTATCTGCTACATGATATTGTTTTTTTTTACTTCCTAGGTAACTGAACAAGGGTTGATAGAAATACTTGAAAAAGTGAGTCAGCAAACTGACAAGAAAACAACAGTAAAGGTAAGGCATCTTAAAAACTGGAGCCTGTTCACCAATGGTAGAGTGGTCGCAGGATCACAGCATAGCCAGTATTTTTTGTTAAAGGTTTACTACATCTGCATGCTTCTTCTTGTATGAAGCTAACAGCTTATACAGAGCAGAAAATCTGTATATGGCTACTGTTTAGTTTGGTGGGGTGGGAGTGGCCAGAAATGCAGCCTTGAACTCTTGGAAAGAGTAGGCAGGTGACTTCATCTCCGAGCTTAGTGCTGTAGTGCTTCGCTCTAAGATGAGAGACAAAATATCCTCCAGTTTGTTGTTTAGAGCACGCTGTAATCAGTCCAGGAGATAAAGCTGCTGGGGCCACTTCCTGCAGTTTGGTGGGAGGATGGAGCCTACAAGCTGGCCCCTATCCCTTGATGTAAAGACTATACTATTGTAATAGATTTGCTTACATGCATCTTGAAAATACATCTAGCAATGCAGCAAGGCAATGAGCAAAGACTTGGGTATTGACTTTTAGGCTGGGCAGGTGCGAGATAGGCAGCTGGCAAAGAACCTGGGCGCTTCCTTGCTTCACGCAGCTCTCTGCTTGCTCTTGTTCTCATAACACAAACAGGGAATTCTTCTGGCTGGAGGAGAAGCAGCTCTTGTTGATTAAACTTGGCCTCAAAGTTATTTTCACCTACACTGTGTTTTCTCCCCTAGTTCAACAGAAGGAAAGTTTTGGATTCTGATGAGGAAGATTAATTGGTGAAATGCAAATCATCTGGCGTATGTCAAGGAAAGTGTGCTGTGCCTGGCAGAAGCATAGATGAAAAGTTTACACTTTTTTTTCCCTGTACACATTTTTTTTATATAAAGGGATTGTGTTCTGTATAATAAAATTAAGTGAAATTGTTTTCTTAGACAGTTTTTATAGCAGAGGCCTGAGTTGTGGTTCACTCCCTGACACTTGGACTTCATTTTTCCTTTGGACACTGCTATGCCACTGGCACCTGTGGGCAGCATGCTTGTCGTACTTCAGTGGCAACAGGATGCATAGTAACCCAGCAGGGAATGAGAAAAGCTGCGTTGCAAGCAGCCTGCTGGTTTTGTCAAAGTTAGTAGAGTTGCATGTGCAGGATAAATAGTTCACAGGATACAAGATTTTGATTTGAATATGTAAGATTCAGTGTTTATACAGAGGCTGCTGTATAAACATGACATTCATGATCCTTTAACCACGGTTGAAGGATTTGGAACAGCCATGGAATTTCCCCATCCATGTGCAAGCTCCCCCTCCCCTTTCTCCCGAGGATGGTAACTAGAATTTGCTGTTAGGGTTTTAAAAGCCGTTTCAGCATCCTAATGGACAGCAAATCCCGGTTAGCATGGTTTTGAAGCATTGGTCTTCAGTTGGCGTGTTGGGGCCTGATCTAAGGTAGATTGCAACAGGAGCACCACCACTGTACAGATAGGTTAGAAAATTAAGAAACTGGTCCCCAAATACATGTGTTGGTCCCCAAATGTTGAAAACTACTGGTTTAAATGTTAAAGGATCATGATGTAATGTGTGAGTTATATGTCATGTCCGCTTGGGTACTGGAACACTTGCAGTTTCACTGAACCAAAGCCAGAGGGGTTGGTTGTTGATCAGAATATGGTTCCATGATACAGTATCTTGCTGGATGATCTGTTGCATTGAAAATTAGATAAATCTTGGTTGGCACGCTGTAAAGCTTGAAATAACGTGTGCTTGGGAAATATTTCTCTCAAGAGATGTCTTTCCCCACCCCCTGCCATACATTTGCTAATAGCATGAGTGATTGAGAGTGATGCAACCAAAGTCAGGATCTTTAAAGCCCTTTTCATTTCAACAGAAGACATGTGCTTAAATCTTTTGTATTAAAATTATTTAAAGGTTTAACAGCAGCTAGATTCTTCCTTAAATATCGTTGCAACACAGAACTGTGTAGACCAGGTGGTGAACCTTTGGCTCACCAGATGTCGCCAAACTGCAATTCCTGTCATCTCGCAGGCTAAAGGTTGGTAGCAGAGAAAACATATTTGTTCTTATCCAAACTGCCTCCTTTTCTCAGGCAGTTATTGAAACAGCTGCCTAATTCCCCTGGCCATCATGGTGCCATTGTGACTTCAGGTTGTGCCTTTTTGTTGAATGCAAAATGAAATGGTTTTTGTATGTCTACTGTACCAACATCCCATGTAAGGCAGACTGTAAAAGGAGGAGGCGTTTGACCCTCTTCTTCACTGTGGAAGTGGAACATATATAATAAGAGCTTCGAAACATATTAAAATCTTTCCATAAAGAAACTTGAGTTGTAGAGAGCAATTATTTGTCCATTGTAATTGTATTAAAGACACTATAATTAGTGCACATTGACACTGGTGTACTAATTGTTTACAGCTGTGGCTGTTCAAGTTGTAGCCGGTAATGAATTTTGAGTGGCCAAATCCCTCTTTGGGATAAAGCAGGGAAGACACCATTTCCCGTGTGTCTCTGGGTGCTGTAAAGCATTAGGAACTGATTTTTGAAAAAACCAATGCATGTTGCTCCCTACCCCCTCTACAATGCTCATATCAAACTTGATGATTTTTCACAATTATATACAAGGGAACTTGTTTACAGTGGAGGCTTAGGATGACCCAGAATGCATTGCTTTTCTCCTGCTTCCAGACTCCACAGAAGCACCCACACCTTCATGCAACTAGATCTGTGTTGCTAAAACTGGAACATGAGCAACAGGCTATAAAGTTTTCAGAAAATGCTTTATGGCAGCAGCTCCCATCAACCAGCAAGCTGCAATTCATGACTTACCATAAATAAAGAGTCGCACATTAAGAGCATAGATTAGTTAATTTTACTATTTCTTTCTCTCTCCCATCATTTGGCACAAGTCAAAGGCATGTAAGAAAACTAGGTGAACTCAATTACTTAGTAGAAAAATATACTTTTCCTTGTCCTTCAGGAGCCCACTAGCATTTTACCTTTTTATATACCTTGCACTAACATTCTGAACAGAGAAATATTAAACAATAAAAACCCAATGTATTGTTTACAAATATTACATAAAAACAGAATTGGAATTGACAAAAGTTATTGTGCTGTTCAAGTGATAATTCAACCCCTCTTAAAAATAAAAATAAAGAATGGAATGTTTACCAAAATGACGCTCCATTACTAAAAGTGCCCCCATCTATCAATCTGGAAGTGTCTTTTCAAGTAAGGTCAACTAAGCAGCTCTTCCAAGACCCGGTGGATACAGATGTACTCTCTAGCTAGACTCATTGCATTTAGTGGAATCGTATTATTGTGCCATGCATATTTGCTATTTTAAATTAAATAGGGTAAGGTTGTAGTCTCAATACAAGTATTTGAGAATATGTTCACTAATGTGGGCTGCTACATAAAATAAAATGATTCAAAATCCAAGTCCTGCTCTCCATAAGAAGATGTACCCTTTGTTTATAAAACAGTGACTATAACCTCCCTCACTTCCAACTACCCATATATGGCCCATGTTTCAATAAAATAAATGAGAACCAAAGGATCTGTGCAATCTTGCCCTTTGTGTCAAACTATGCTGCCGGTGTGTGTAATTCCTTTCAACAATTGGTGTAAACTAGTAGTGCAAAAATGGAAAGAAACCGCTGTCTTTTCAAACTATAATTATGTAGGCCTTGGAAGTCCCATAGGTATTCTGTTCCAAACTTACACCCATTACAGTTATATCTGATTTCAAGACTTCAAGTACAGACTAATGTGTCTCATAGTTTTTGATATCTCCATATACATCTCAGTTGTGTGTGTGTTTAAAATGGATCACACCTGTTGGGTTTTGTGGATCCAACTGCAAATAAACAGCCCTTCTGTCTCCAACTGCAAACTGTGTTGGTTGAGGGAGGAGAGGTTCCTCTTCCTGCCAGTCTTCACATTGCAGTTTTGAATGCCTTGATCCTAAGGATTCTTTGATTCTTGAAGGGAGTGGAACTGACGCCAATTGGTGGTGTTGCTGCTGCTGCTGTTGTTTTTGGTTACAAACTTGCTTCCTTGCCAGTGTTTTCGAAAGCATCAATCATCAGAGCAGCCTTCCAGTGAAGAAACAGTGGGATCTCTGGATAAATTGTGGATGTCATCTGCATCTGAAAGGGCCACATTAACTGTGTGTCTCCGATGCATTAGTTTACTTCTAAGAGGCGCTGCTGCCACGTCAGACTCGACTTCATCCAGTGTGGGCTCTCCTCTGCTGCCGAAGTCAAGGATCTGCATCCTACTTTGTTTTAAAGGATCCACAGGCTTTAGCTTGCTCTTATCAAAGCTCTTAATAGCTAACTTGAGAATCAAAACAAAAAAGAGCACATTAAGATGTTTTATTTTTATCTGGCTGATAAATCTAAAGCAAATACTATTAAAAGTTTCTCCTACTAATCAGCTGCTACCCTCCTGTAACTTCAGCCCAGTGGGTCAAGTCTGGCTTTCTGGGGCAGCAAAAAACAACTCTTTGCTTTCCTCTTTGTGAAAGCCTTTCAGGGATTTAAAGAGTGCTATCCTGCCTACCCCCCCAAACCCCTGCCTCGAGTATCTTTAACCAATGTCTTTATTTTTTTTCTCATCCCTGGCCATCCTAATTGTCTTTTTCTGAACCAATTCATCTACTGGACCTCTCCACTAGATAACTAAAAATATAGGGGAGAAGGAATGGATCATTCAAGTAAGAGGCACTCCATATTGAGGAAGGGGCTATGGCTGGCACACCTTAATTATGGCCTGCCCTTCCTCCCAAGGAGATCACAGTGGGAGACATCGGGATTCTCCCATTTTTATCTTCATAACATGCCAGGTGAGTATGTGTGACTGTTGAGTAAGCTTACAACCAACTCCGTAGCAAGTTGGGGTCTGAAATCGGGTCTCCCCAGCCATAGACTCTCGTCTATTATGATGCATATCCAGCACATTTGTAGAACTAACACCCTAAGAATCTCAGCCACCACTTATTTCAGTTTGCAATTTTTGTAAACCGCTTTGAGGGTTTTTTCTACAACCAAGCAGTATATACATTTTATGAAATAAAAAAGTAAAAAAGCAAGTCCTTCATTTCAAACCTGTCTTCCTACCTGGTGCAGTAATTCATCATTAAAGTTAGGGACACTTTTATCTCTCGTTATAGTTTTCCGCAAGTCTTTTGACCTAAAGACACAAACAAACAAGGTTAAAAGAAACTTGGTTACATTTCAGTACAAGTCGCTCAGTACTGCAGTGTATCTCTGCCAGCCACCAGGTGGCGGTATTTCAGTAACAAAACCTGCTCCATTGCCTTTGCTGAAAATTCTTAATATTTGACCTTCCTGGGGTATAAATGTCATGAGCTGTCCTTTAGAGTCTAAGCGTACAAAGGTCAGAAGACAAGTCATTTCAATTTACCCTTAGGAGCATCAGCTACTTTTCCAACAGTCTAAATTAGGGACAGCCAGCTTGTGTATTGGATTCCTTATTCTCCAGCCACTAATTGAGACGTCACAGAGTGTTGTACAACCTGACCTCTTTGCAGGTGCTCAGGCTCTTTAAACAAAGTCAGCCCTACCTAAGCAGTGGAGGTGTCACTGTGACACACTTGGACATGGCTAGGACATCGTGAGTTGGATTCAAAAGTGCCCTTCCATTTGGGGTCCAACAGACACTCCTTTGAACTGATGTGGAGGGAGGCAATTTTGGCAATTTCCCTACATGCTCCATCTCTTCAGAGGGATGGTGAACTTTTCTAAATAGAACTGGAGGAGTGGCAGAGAGAAATCTGCAAAAATCACTCTTTGATCCATTTACAGGGGCCTCCACAGGATCAAGGCTCCCCATGTTCACAGAATGTCAACTTTCCGTGGGGCACCTTTGGATGTGGCCCTATTTATTGAAAAACATTTCTGTCTCCCTTTCTATATTTTAGGATTCACTAACCAGGTGGCATATGCAAAGGCTGGAACCAAAAGAGAAGCACAAGGGCTTTTCAGCCATCCTCTCTGCTGCAGCTCCCTGTGCAGTCTCCGAAAGTTGCCTCAAGTAGTAGAGACCTGACCGAGCTGAATTCTGTTAAGTGCCAAATGGTGTGTCAGAAGGAGAAACTATGGTTGCCAGCATTGGAATAAGCCAATGTAATTGAACCAACTTCAAACCCTGGTTTGTTCTGATGCTAGTAACCATAGTTTTTTTCCCCAGTTTGGACAAAAGATGAAACAATAGTTAATTGAAGACCTCCTGGTGTGTTGGCTCATACAGTGGTACCTTGGGTTAAGAAGTTAATTCGTTCTGGAGGTCCGTTCTTAACCTGAAACTGTTCTTAACCTGAAGCACCACTTTTAGCTAATGGGGCCTCCCGCTGCTGCCACACCGCCACTGTGCGATTTCTGTTCTCATCCTGAAGCAAAGTTCTTAACCCGAGGTACTATTTCTGGGTTAGCGGAGTTTGTAACCTGAAGCGTCTGTAACCTGAAGCATCTGTAACCCAAGGTACCACTGTACTATGGAAGGGCTAAATGAAAGGGCAAAAAGCTTGTCCCAGCTCCTGCTCAAATGAAGACCTCAAACTCAGGTTACGGTTTCTATCAAAATATGGAATGTTTAGATCGGCACGACATAGGCAAGCCCTGTTCAAATGCACAGCAGGTGCTACACGTGTCTGCACAAGCAAATGCATTGATCCACCAATGACACTCCCCCTGCAACCCCTTTATGAAGGAAAGTGGGGAAAGTGGTGGGCACAGCAAGCCCAGTGAGCTTCATGGCCGTCGAGTGGGGATTTGAACCCTGGTCTCCCAGGTCCTAGTTTGACACTAACCACCACACCAGATTGGCTTGGAAGACATCCTGCAGCTCCAGCCCAATTGAAGACAGCATGCAGTGTTATCTGATGCTTTGGCAGTACTGGCAGGCAGCACTCGGAAGGCAGTTTTTGAAGCTTACTTGTTAAAGCGGTTGATTGACTGGACCAGCTGAAGGCGCCTGGCGACGAGATCGTCTGCTATCTCGGGAGATTTAAAACTGACTGCAGGTTTAAGTAACAAAAACCATTAAATTGGCATACTTCTTTAGCAATCAAGTCCACACAATCCTGAATTAAGAAGGAATGAAAGCCACCTTCAGCTAACTTAAAAGCCACCGAAGCTGTAGAGATGCCTGAGCAGCTTGGCATCATTGCTACAGCGGGTCGAGAATCCTAAGATCCGCTCTGTGGCTGAACTCAGGCATCAGGAAGAATGAGGCGGGAATGAATCAGAAGAATGGACTGCACCACTTCAGGTGTTGGGAGGGGAGATCAAACCTTCCTCCCTTATATGCAGGGAAGTTTGAATACGTGTTTAATAAAGGTATTCTCACCCGCACGTCCATTCTGCCAGTGCAGGTGATTTGACCTCCTCATTCTGCTGCCTGCAGAACATGAAAATCGCCCCAAACCCAGAAACTGGTTTTGTTCAACATGGCACCCTGTCTAGCATATGCTGTGCTCCATACATTCACATGGTCATCTGCAAAACATACAGGCTGAGCAGAAGGCCATGAAGCAACCTATGTGGCCCACGCATCACTACCCAGCCCACTCCCAAGCCTTTCAAAAATCCCTTCTTATGGCGAGGTCTCCTAGAATAAACTTCATGAGGATCAACTCCTTAGTGCTGGCGGCAGAAAACGGCAGGTGCAAAAATATCCCTGTGGGGATTGAATTACATTAGCAAGAATACTGGGCTGTTGTCAATCATTCCCACTTAGGGCAGGAAACAATCATCTTGGAGTAAACTGGGTGGGGCTATAAAAGGAAAGGCAGAGCCTTGTCCATCCCAGGTAACAACACCGGATCAGGGCTGGCTCTTGTTCTTTTTTAAAAAGAAAGCTTAGAATTATTTAAGCTGCCAGTGACATCTCTGCTTACACAACAGGAAAACAAAGGTATTTAGCTCTCCTGGGACCGATCTGACCCCAGGTGTTGGCACAAAGTGCATTAGGTAACATCTACCTGCATTAGGCAGGGATAAGGCACCTGCTCTGCATCTCTAATAAGGAGGGTCAGGTGATGGGAAAGCTCTCCGGTTGAGACCCTAGGGAAGTGATGACAAAACTTGGCCCTCCAGCTGTTTTGGGACTATAGTTCCCATCATCCCTGACCACTGGTCCTGTAGCTAGGGATGATGGGAGTTGTAGTCCAAAAACAACTGGAGGGCCAAGTTTGGCCATCACTGCCCTAGGGAGCTGCTGGCAGCCTCAGTGGACAATGGGGAATAGCTAGACCTGGCACATTCCTAGGTTCTTGCCCCAAAAAACTGAGCAGAGTAGCCACAGCAGCCCTTTTGCCAGCACTGGGGAAAGGACATAGCCCAGTGGTAGAGTACATTCTTTGCATTAGAACGTCCCAGATTCAATCCTAGTGTATTCAGTTACAAGGATCTGAAGTAGTGGGTGATGCCTTTTTCTACCTGAGACCCTGGTCTGGACCAATGGTCTGACTTGGTATAAGGCAGCTTCCTACATTCTGTTTTTGTTTTTTAAAATTTTGTGAACCTTAAGTCCCAAGTTGGGCTGCGGTCTTTGCATTACCAAAGCTAAGGAGTTTGCCTGTATGTGCTAAGCCTACTGCAATGCAAAAAAAAAACAAAAACGCCACAGGGCTAGTCCACAGGACGTGGGGTGGTTTTTCTAGCTACCTGGCAAGTTGTAAACGTCTTTGCAGACTTATCAGTGTTGCCATTTGAAGAAAGAAAAACAAGAAGCAAGCCTTTCAAGCTGCTCTCTCCACACCAGCTAGTGGAACAGAGGTTTGTCCCCCATCATCACAGCTCCCTTTTTTAACCAGATTTTGGAAAAAGCTCTTCAGAAAAGAACACATATATCAAGGCAACTAGAGAAGGCAGAGACCCTTTCCATCTGGCACAGCAGCAAATGAGCTTCCCTGCCCTGCTCAGCCCGCCAGCCCTCCGCCTGCTTAGTAAGGTCAGTCCCCAGTGTGATTCATTTCTGCTAGTCAAAATGCCACACTCACTTTTTTTCCTGCTCTTCCCAGCCACATGAGATCTGCAGTCAGTCTTTCTTCCCTCTTCTGAGGTTACTACGGTCCTCAGCAGCTCAAGGATACCCGATTTCTTTAAATTAGGTGGGACAAAAAGAGGAGGTAGTTTCTCATTTAAAAAATACTTTATTTTATTTTATTGCTGTATATTATATGAAGCTGCCCAACAGCACTGTTGTTTTAGTGGCTTGCAGCAAAAAAATGATCAAATACAATTAACATATAATAAAATAACATATTTCTAGCATAAGAACTTCCAGCACAACGAATGAAAATGCCACTTAACAGTGGTTCAGAACACTGTAAAAACAAGTTTTTAAAGGGCTGGGGTGTATAATAAAGAAGCAGGTACATTTTCCGAGCATCATGACCGTTCTGGATTCTTGGAATATTTTAGTACAGTCAAACAATGGATGGACGATGGACAATATCTGACCAATCATTGATCAGCAAGCTAGTCCTACCAATTACCACACTCCTACTTTTGTTGTCTATGTCAGGGGGTCCCAAACTCCCACCCGCCCCCACCCATGGAGCACTTGAAAAATGTTGAGAGTCTTGCCAGACCTCTTCATAATTTTTTTTGCCCATTGTAGCAATTGGAATGCACTGTGCTAGATGCTGTATGTTTTTTTAATTGTGTTTTTACTGCTTTTTATTTCTTACATTTTCTTGTATTGCAATTTGGATTCCATAGAACTCAAAGGGCAAGTGTCCTTCGCAGACACTCTCAAATCCACCTGACTAAAGCTGTGGTCCACAAACCACCGTCCGGGAGCCCCTGATCTATGCCGCTTGAGAATTATAGCTTCAGGCTAAAGCTGGAGCCAATCACCCCCCATTGAAATCTCTGGCTGATAATGCATCAGTCCAGATGGAGGCTGGTAGGCTTACTGTACTTGTGGGCTAGCAAGTTCCTCCTGTGGACAAATGGGCCACTTACAGGCTCAGCGTAGTCACGGGGCGTGCACTGTCTGTTGTTCTGAGCATGTGCTGATGCGCCATGCTGCAGCAGGAGCCGCACCAAAGGCTCATAGCTCCCGATCACAGCTTTATGGAGAGGTGTGTTGCCTTGGTTGTTGTACAGGTTAACCGAGGCCCCATTCTGAAGGGAAAGAAAGGATGGCAAAGGACATTCAAGGGATGATACTGAAAGGAGGTCACACGGAAACGGCAAGTTCTCATACTTCTTTCAGTATCTCAAAATGGTACCGATGAGGAAGTTGCATCAACTTTTACTATGTTATCTGTTGGGGGTCTGTGGCAGAGGATCTTTCCTGTCTCCCATCTGATCCACTTAAACTTTAGATGGCAGGGATTGAACCTGCATGAAACGTATCTGCTCTGTCAGTACAAGACGGTCCCCCTCTCAAATTCTTCCTTTGTCTTATTTACATCCCACTTTTCATCCAAGAAGCTGAAGGTGACATACATCTCCCTCCCGCCCCCATTTTATCCTCACATCAACCCTGTGAGGTTGGCTCAGAGTAAGGTCCACCCGTGAGCTTCATGGGTTAAATGTGATATTTGAATCTAGGTCTCAAGTCAGTCCACAATGGCTCTTCCAATATGGAAATATGCATTTTAATGTAACAAATTGACAATGACAGATCTACTCTCTCATTTCATGCTATCAACAGAAAGGCAATGATTAAGCAATCCATTCATCCCACTGTGCTTTCCATTGAAAAGTAGCAGCCTGGTTCAGACAAAGTGGGAAACCACTGAGTTTACCATTATGTCAATGAACCTGCAGGAGCCGTGAACTTGCCTTCTTCCTTTTCGTCCTCTTTGCTGCCACAAGGAAGAGCCCGGCAGCTTTCACTTCTGCTTTTAAATAAACCACAGTTCTGAACTGTGGCTTGTTTCAAACTGGAGGCCAACGCTTCACTGTAGCTGCAATTGAAGGGGGGCAGAGTTCTTCACACAACAGGAAACCACGGTTTCCCATTATGCCTGAACCTGACCAGCGAGCTGAATCTAAAGATACCCTTCCAGATACAGAAGAAATGTGAAACTACATCCAAATGTGCTATTGCACAACAGGATGCCTGGGGAGTGCTATGTAATCCAGCTGCTTCTGCGCTAAGTGCACCCATGCACAGCTCTTGCAGAAGCATTTGCATAGCTGCACAATAATCTATTTTCCTTCCGCTCTGAATCCCAGCCCACTATGCTCACATGATAAGGTGAGTTCATCTGCAGTAGCTGATCTGTAACTGACATTTAATATAACTAAGGGCAAGTTTATACAAATGAATGCCAGCATGAAGCTTAGATTTCCCCCACTTTTCTCTTATGGAAGGGATGGAGAAGCTGTGGTCCTCCAGGCAACTGTGAACTCCCTTTCCCATCAAACCTAGTCAACCTGGTCTCTCAATGATGATGGGGAGGGACGGAGCTTCCCCAATCATACTTTAGGGCAGTGGTTTTCAACCAGTGTGCCATGGGCAACACTGGCGTCTTTCCTTCCCTCCCTCCTCTGATGCCCTCTTGTGTCGCTGCTTCCCAAAGGCTTGCACAGATGTTTGTTGCAGCAGCTCTGGCTACAAGCTCCGCAGGTGCATGGTGCCTCTGGGGCTGGCCAGGGGGTGCTTCCCAGGCCCCTGTGGGGCAGTGTGAGGAGGCACTTCTCTTTGGCGGGGGGGGAGGGCAGCTCAGAGACCAGGAGTGGCAGCTGCAGCCACCCAGAGGACTCCCAAGGAGAGGGGAGGAGGCTGAGGGAACACTCCACAAGGGAAGGTGTTTGAAAAAGGGTGAGAGGCTGCCAGCTCTGTGGGCAAAGGGTGACATAACTGGGCTCCTGAGCCCTACAGGGGTGCTACAGAAAGACGTTAGTTGGTCAAGGGAGCCATGGACCCAAAAAGGTTGAAAACCTCTGCTTTAGGGCAACCCATCCTTTAAAATGTACTCTCAAAATGCTGAAATTAAGAGCAGAGTATGATGAAAAGTCCTCTGCTGTTTGGAATGTTGCCAGATCTGCCACCTCATGATGACTGAATATGAAAAATAAATACCACAGTCAAAAGAAAGAAAGAAAGGAAAATATGAAAATACCCAAAGGTCCCTTACCTCTAACAAAAAGGCCGCTATCTCTAGATAGCCATTCAAGCAGGCATAAATTAAAGGAGTGTTTCCATAAATGTCCTTTTTATTTTGTTTAGCTTTATACTCTATCAGGCACTTTACCACCTGTGGAAAAAAGGAAAGAAGTGTTACCATGGCAGCTTTGAACAGTTTCAACACACGCAAAAACCAGAAGTAAAAGGGTTCAAGTCCCCTGCATTTTCTCAATCTTTCTTTCTTTAGACGAAACCAACTCACATTAATGCTTTGTAAAGCACAGGCGCAAGCAAGGTTATTATTGGCATGGTGAGTGCAGTTGCTCATTCATACACACAAAGGGAGCTATCACGGATTTGGGTAAATCCCAAGGTGTGTAAAACTGGAAACAAAATTGGGTGGGTGGAAGAGCCTTGCTGGATCAGGCCAAAGGGCACCCCTTTGTTCTCATGGTGGCCAACCAGATTGGGAAGCCCGCAGGCAAAACCCAAGCAAAAGAGTGCTCTTCCCTCCTGAGGTTTCCAGCAACTGGTATTCAGAAGCATTTACTGCCTCCAACAGTGGAGGTCTGCTGTGGAACATCCTGCCAGCACAGATTCAGCAAGCACCTTGTCTGCAAGCTTTTAACTGCCTGCTGGAAAACTCTTTTATTTTGCCAGGCAAAATATGCAAGCAATTAAGTATGCATCCCCTGCAATGGTCTTCTTTTTATGAGTTTACTGTACTGTATGTTTTTGTATTGTTGTAAGCCACTGTGATACATTTTAATGATACAGCGGTATATAAATAAGTAAGGTCGAAGAGGAGACCTCCCTGCTGCAACCCTTACCTGCAAGTGCCCGTTCTGGCTGGCAAGGTGGAGAGGTGTCGCGTGGTGAGCATCCTTTGCCTCCAGGTTGGCTCCGTGCTTCAGTAAGAGGGAGACCAAGTCCGCATGTCCATGGAGCGAGGCCACGTGCAGCGGAGTCAGGCCCTCTTGGTTGGTGATGTTCACTCCAAGGCCATTGGAGGGAACTCGGAAGAGTTTCTATCGGGAGGAAGAAAGGGAAATTCCATCAGAGCCTTCTCAGCTGACTGACTCCCCATGTACCAGACAGAGAACAAACAAGCAAACATCCCACGGCAGCCACCACCTGGAATTCAGCGCCACTTTGGAAACTTTAGAGTGCTATTTGTGTGCTGAGATGATGCAAATGTATTGGTATAAACTCACCATTATTATGAACAGTGATTTATTAAGTAGTAGCAGTAGCATCAAGTGCCTAAAATGACTATGCACATTTAAAAAACAAACAAACCCAAACCAGACAGGACTTGCCCACAGGCTTTCAATCTAAAACATCACAACCATTGCTGTATGATTTTCACAGCTTAGTTGGCAGAACATGAGACTCTTAATCTTAGGGGCATGGGTTCGAGTCCCACACTGGGCAAAAAGATTCCTACACTGCAGGGGGTTGGACTGGATGACCCTTGGGGTCCTTTCCAATTCTACAGTTCTCTGATTCCATTTGGTTAGCAAGGGAGAAAGCAGCAGCTGGGAAATTGAGAGCAGAGGCCTTGTTACTTGTTTACTCTCCCACAGGCAAAGACTCCAAGAAGAGGAGTGCAATGCCAAGACAGGGAAATTGTCTGCAGGGAGAAGATGTAGCAGCAGAGCAAGCTGATTGGGCGCCTGGGGCGGCACACGGGCCCTGCGCCCAGGGGCGTGGCCAGGCGTCCGCGGGGCGGGGCGAGCTGAGGCAGGACACTCCACAGGGCCTCCAAGGAGCCTGCCTGCCTCCTCCCACTCAGCCACCCTACAGCTGAGGGGGAGGCAGCGGGCGGACTGTTTGGGCAGCATGGAGCCTGCGCACGCTCAAGCCATCGCGTCACTCCCAGGACAGATGCGTGGCTCGGGCGAGCTGCAGGCCCCGCGGTGAGTGCCGCCCGGCATTTTGTCACCCCCCTCAGTGGTGACACCCGGGGCGGCCCGCCCCCATCGCACCCCCCTTCCTCCGCCCCTGAGAGGAAGGTGAGTTGAGGACAAAGTGCAAAGTTTTCTCCCCCTCCCTGCCTCTTCCAGAGGAAACAAGCTTCTCCTGAGCGGCTGCTCAATCCTTTCAGGAGCCTGATTACCCAGGAGAGCAGCTTCATCTCAGGAGGTCATGAACTCTGATAAGGACAAGGGGCGGAGGATGTTTCAGAGCTGGGCACAATGAATGACAGGTCTGGGCAGGAGGAAGACGGGCAGACCTTTTGCACAGGGCCACATCTGGAACACTGGCACAAGGGGTGGCAGAACTCCAGCTTTTCCACGCTGCTGCCGGCTTCTTCGGGTTCCTCTAGATCGTCTTCCGCCCATTCCAAAAGATAGCGCACCTGTTAAGAAACGAAGGCCGTTCTAGAGTCAGAATTGTAGGCCTTATTCTCACTGGGGCGGTTAGGGTGGCCAGTGTCCTACGTTACAGAGAACAGTCCTCTGTTAGAAAGGCTGACTGGTCAAACTCTGGTTTAAACATAAAAAAAAAAAAAAACCCAGAGAAGGAGAAGCAGCCTGAGCAAGCAGACAGCTCAGCTGGCTGCAATCTCCCTCACTATGGTAAGATGGATTGTATTTCTATTCAAAATTGTAGCAATTGTTTCTAAATCTGCATTAACAACTTAGCATGTGCATGTTTCATGCAAATTAGTGTCCCCTTTTTAAAAATGTATTTCTTTTCTTTTGGGAGAGGAAACCTTGGGGTGGTAAACCCTGAACTGAACTACATCTGATGACAGAGAGACACTCACATGAACGCGCCCTCGTGAAAAATAATCACTACACAAAGAAAACTACCATGTCATAGAGACAACCAAGCTTGAGCCCTTTCTCCCTGGATATCTCATTTCCTATATGAAGTATTGTTGTTTTGCCTGCATGAAGAAACACTGAAATTATGGTGCTCCCCCTGCCCCATAGGAGGCATTTTAATTCAGACATCGATATGCCGATTATTCTGGAAATTGGCACTTATTGATTTTATTTCTCAGCGTATATTAAGCTCACCTTTCAAGGTAGGGATGGGGAACCTGTGGCTCCCCAGATGTTGCTGGACTACAGCTCCCCTCAACACACAGCCCTTGCTTTAGGTTGCTCTAGCCCAGGCTTCCTCAAACTCGGCCCTGCAGATGTTGTTGGACTACAACTCCCATGATCCCTAGCTAGCAGGACCAGTGGTCGGGGATGATGGGAATTGTAGTCTCAAAACATCTGGAGGGCCGAGGTTGAGGAAGCCTGCCTAGCCCTTCTCAGGCATCTCGTATAGTACATTATAGACTGCACAGAAATTCACCAAAGAGATCTTGAAAGATATACAAAAACTAGTATCTTAGAAACATTTCAAACAGGTCAGCATAAAACAGATCATTGTGTTTCAAAAACCAACAGCAATTAAAACTGGGTAAGAAAAAAGCAATCTGGAATAGGTAATTGATAGAGACTTGTGCAGAAGAGACCAGGTAGGCACAATCCAGTGGGAATAGCATAACTAGAGCTGGGGGGGCACCACTGAAAAGGCCCTGCCCTCTTGCTCCTTCCAGCCTACTTGACCCTACCGGTAGGCCTGTTATCACTTCAGTAGGACATCGTCCAAAGTCTCCTGTTACTTTCTCAGAAAGATAAGATAAAGGAAATCTAACATTTCACTTCCCACAAGTCAACAGCAGACCAGTTTCCCAAGGAACCATGATGTAAATTAGAAATGACTTCCTCACACTTAATCGAGTCTTTGATGCTCACCTCAGCCCAAGGCCTCTCAAATCCTTTTAGCCAGGATTGCTGAAGATTAAATGGAGGGCTTTGGGCCAGAATATACCAAGGTGCTTCCTTGAACAGCCTTTATTCCACTTAAAAAAAACAAAAACCCAACCTCAACCACAGTTGATTTTTAATCAAAGAGACAAGAACGCTGACTTTTCTCAAGAAAGAAAAGAGAATATGTTTGTCATTTCTTGTCTTTCTGCCATCAATTAATGCATACGTAGGCTTGGGCAAGTTGTCTTTGTGGGGGTGGAGGTGGGGCTTTGGGCAAGATAACCTTGGTGGGGAGCCCTCTTTTGAGTCTGCCCCCCTCTTCCTCCTTACTGCCACTGCCTCCTCTTCTAGGTGGGAATCAACAGCCCAGGAACCAGGCACAGCCCTCCACTTGAGTTCCTACTTGTTTATTTATTTCTCACTTTGCTCTATCAATTGAGCATGGGGTGGGGCACACACCTGGACCCACCAGTGCTGGCATTCTTGAAGACACACCTGGAGATAAGCACCCCCTATGTCTCCTGACTTGAATCTTCTGCTTCAACTGATGTTATGGGGTTTTAATGGGCTCACTCATTATACATTTTAAATAACAGGTGTTTTAATGTTCTTGATGAATTTATTTTACCATGTACAGTATTTTAATTATTACTATTTTTAATAAGCTGTTTTTATCCTTGTTATTTTGCTGCCGGCTTCCATTTGTTCGTGAACCACCCGTGTATTTTTTTTTCTTGAAACAAAAGGTGGTATATAAATTATTATTTTTAAAAAGTCATGTAAAACTATAAAATCAGCAGGTAACAGAGTCTAAGCAAGCAACAATGGACAGTAACCAGCCACCTCAAAACACCTGGGTAAACAGCTGTTCTTGTTGTTTAGTCATGTCCGACTCTTTGTGACCCCATGGACCAGAGCACACCAGGCACTCCTGTCTTCCACTGCCTCCCGCAGTTTGGTCAAACTCATGCTGGTAGCTTCGAGAACACTGTCCAACCATCTCGTCCTCTGTCGTCCCCTTCTCCTTGTGCCCTCCATCTTTCCCAACATCAGGGTCTTTTCCAGGGAGACTTCTCTTCTCATGAGGTGGCCAAAGTATTGGAGCCTCAGCTTCACGATCTGTCCTTCCAGTGAGCACTCAGGGCTGATTTCCTTCAGAATGGATAGGTTTGATCTTCTTGCAGTCCATGGGACTCTCAAGAGTCTCCTCCAACATCATAATTCAAAAGCATCAATTCTTCGGCAATCAGCCTTCTTTATGGTCCAGCTAGCCTTGGGTAAATCCATCACAGCAGACAGCCAAGGATTCCACTCCACTTTCCTCCAAAACAGATCCCAACTAAAGGAGCTAAACTGGACAACACCATGAGGACACAACAAAGGTGAAGTAAGACCTTTCCACCTCCCCCACCACCACAGAGTAGGCACAGTGGGGTGCTTTCACTTCTGCTCAGTTGTGTTCACTGCAAAACATCAACTGTGTGCATTCCAGCGGTCTGATCTTCCCTACACCAGAAAGCATTACAGACCCTGCAGTGCTGGAAAGAGTATAGGGGCAATAACCCTTCCCATTCCATACTGAGACCAATGCTCCAATAGGGAATGGCCAGCCCTGTCAGTCATTCACCCACCTCAAGAATTCAGGAATCCCTCAGATTATCCTGACAGGTCCCCCACTGGCCACCCCTCCTTCCCACAGGCAGAAACAAGACTGATCATCCCCACAAACTCCTTTCTTCAGCTGCACAAATTTATCACCCAACCTTGAACAACAGGGAGTCTAGCAGACCAATCATTAGCTTGCCACAGCTTCCCAAAACATTCCGTCCCGAAGTTTCGAATCAGTGCCTTACCAAAGTTTAATCACGCTGTCTCAAATGTATCTGTTTCCAATGACAATGGATTAAGGAAGGATTTTGGTCAAAAGGTTAAATGCATTTTAAAATAGGTGCACGTGTTAAGTATCCCATGGAGCTGCTGTAATCTGATCTCACCAAGTAACACACTCTGAATGCTTTCAGAGCAAGGAGGAGTGCATTAAAACATGCAATTAGAAGGATGCTTCTTGCTGTGGAACTTGATTCTACATAGCTTCTCACTCCCTAGAGATTATGATATATAGTAAAATATTATTCACCCTAAGGTCCCAAGGCGGGTTACAACATTAAAACACAATATTAAAAACTTTTTAAAACAACTTGCAATCACAGAAAAAAGGAGAGGTATATATTTCAGACCCACAAGTGTCAAAAGCCAGGGTAAAGAGGCATTTTTCTTTTTACCCCTGAATGGGGTAATTGTACCCCTGAAGGACCAGGTACGCAGCCTGGGAGTCATTTTGGACTCACAGCTGTCCATGGAGGCACAGGTCAATTCTGTGTCCAAGGCAGCTGTCTACCAGCTCCATCTGGTACACAGGCTGAGACCCTACCTGCCCGCAGACTGTCTCGTCAGAGTGGTGCATGCTCTGGTTATCTCCCGCTTGGACTACTGCAATGCGCTCTACGTGGGGCTACCTTTGAAGGTGACTCAGAAACTGCAATTAATCCAGAATGCAGCAGCTAGACTGGTGACTAGGAGTGGCCGCTGAGACCATATAACACTGGTCCTGAAAGACCTACATTGGCTCCCAGTACGTTTCTGGGCACAATTCAAAGTGTTGGTGCTGACCTTTAAAGCCCTAAACGGCCTCAGTCCTGTATACCTGAAGGAGTGTCTCCACCCCCTTCATTCTACCTGGACACTGAGGTCCAGCTCCAAGGGGCTTCTGGCGGTTCCCTCACTGCGAGAAGAGAAGTTACAGGGAACCAGGCAGAGGGCCTTCTCGGTAGTAGCACCCACCCTGTGGAACGCCCTCCCATCAGATGTCAAGGAAACAAACAACTATCTGACTTTTAGAAGACATCTGAAGGCAGCCCTGTTTAGGGAAATTTTTAATGTTTGATTTTTTTCCTGTTTTTAAGGTTCTGTTGAAAGCCGCCCAGAGTGGCTGGGGAAACCCAGCCAGGTGGGTCTGGTATAATATTTATTATTATTATTATTATTATTATTATTATTATTATTGCACTGGCTGATCCTTTCAGCAATGATCCTACGAAGTTGCCTTCTCCTGCATCAAACTATTGCTCCATCTAGCCTAAACTCCGCTCTCAGGCAGGGCTCTCTCTCATCTCCTTGCTACCTAGAAGTGCTAGGAATCAAAGCAGAGACCTTTTGAATGCAAGGCATGGGCTCCATGCCCATCACTGATTTATCAATTCAAACATTATGCCAAACCATGGTGAGCCCAATTCAAAGGCACAGCTTCCAGTGCTGACTTTGGAATGGCTTGGTATGATATCTGAATACAGCTTCACAAGACTTTCTTATTTTTTTTATTTTAAAAATGAAGAAATCTTCAAACATACAATGGTATAATTTGCTTGTCACCATTTTAAAAGGCTTCTGGAGAAAAAGATAGCAGGGCTCAGGCAGTTTTCAGTCATCACAGGAGACAGTAAATATTGCAAATTATAGGATGGAAGCAGCAAGGCTGCTGCTGCTGTATGGAAAACGAGGTATTACAGATCAAAACAACCCCAGTTGCTTTTACATTTCTGTAAGTCATTACCCAAAAAAAATGTGTTTGTTGGCAGTTTTAAAATTGCCATGACTTTTTGTTCAAAGCTGATACTACTATTTGAGGAAAAAACATAGCCCAACTTCCCTCTTAGGACTACTCATGAGAAAAGTTACTCATGGATATGAGTATCTAAGAAGGTAACACAGGTATTGCATCTATGAAAGGCACATCTGGACTGCAATACTTAATTTAGATCAACCAAGAGAGGAAACTGGCAGCAGGATGGATGGATGGCTAAAAACCCACCCACAAATGCATTCATGTGGAACCTACAACAAAATGTTGTTGTGTCAAGTTCAAGTTCTGTGCCCTTTTCCAGGACACTCCATTGCACTCCCTCTCCTCAATTTGCCAGTCCCCCTCCCAAACACCCACCAAGAATCAGCCAGCAATTCATTGTCATTGAGCATGTTCAGTCATTGGAGAAGGAATTCACTGTTGGAATATACTATACAGGCTTCTTTTTAATTCAAGCTGCTTATGAAAACTACAAATGGCAAGCACCATCCTAAAAGAGCCATTCTCTCTTCTCACATGCAGGAGGGTAATGCCTCTTCTAAGAGGATGCCAGCTGCAATACAATTTCATAATCTAAAAGCAAAGGACATATGCTTCTTGCTTCAGAAGTACAGTCATACCTCGTGTTACGTGTGCTTCACGTTGCCACTTTTCAGGTTACGAACGCGGCAAACCCGAAAGCGTTTACTTCTGGGTTCACCGTGTGTGCATACGCAGAAGCGCTCTATCGCGCTTTGCGCATGCGCAGTAGCGGCGCTCCACTTACGGACTGTTCAGTGTGCAAATGGCACCCCGAAACGGATCACGTTCATAAGTAGAGGTACCACTGTATTGTTAATCACCCATATGCAAATTGAAAACTGATCAATTATCCAACTAAAAATATCATGATTAATCCATCAGTATTTCTTTTGAGTTGCAGACTTTCCTTTTCCTCTTTGAAACACAGAGAAATGTGGGAGGTGGAGATCTATTCGCCCTCTCTGCCTCAGTTTATATTCAAAGGAAAAGCCGCATTTGAAAAATACACGCTACCTGCATAATGGTTTTGTGTTTGTAGCACAGAGCAGGATGGTGATGTCTGCAACACGTCCAGGATAGAAGGTTAAGACATATTCCTTCTCCCTTGCATGCCAGTTTCCGACGAGAAGGGCATTTTTGATATGGGGGAGCATTCAACCATACGATTTTGCCCCCTGCATTCTGAAGCCATTCAGTCCCAGCAGGGGACTTGCCACATGCTCTTCCTACACATGGATATACACTCTTCAACAGTTAAATCAATACAGAATGTACTACGAGGCAGTCTAGTGTTGTGCATTTAATTCTAATGCATTTTAGATGAAGACCCAGAGTGTTCAAAGGAGGTGCAGCCTTCTCTAATCCTGGCATTTAAGGTCTCAGAGGAACCAAGACTGCCTCTCTGAGATGTTGAATATTCTATAATGTGCATAAATGGCTGATTATAGGATTTCACAGCAACACAAGAGGCACCAAGCTTTTTAATCTTTTTTAATTAAAAAAAGCATGTTACTCCTGCAATCAGAGTGAGCATGGCAAAACAGGAAGCTGCTTCAAAAACAAAGGGGAGGAAATGTGTTATGTATGCAGAAGTGTTCCCTTAAGTGCAAAGCTCCATTGCCAGCAGTCCTTTAACTAAAGGGCGTTGTGTTACTACCCCTGTTCTAGCCCCCACTACAAATGTAACAAACCCCTTGTTGGGGCTCTGCCCATCCTGTCAGGAATGAGTGGCAGCATCCACAGTCTGGTTTGACCCCCTGGTCCTCTGAGCTTTTCTCACCTGGGCCTCAGAAACAGGGGGGAAGGAGTGAAAGGGTGCCCCGATTCTCCTACTTGTTCTCAGCAGCAACAGACTGCTGCATGCTGCAACTGGCCCAATTCTGCCTCAGGCTTCCAGCCTTTCATAGGACTTCTGGGCTCTTCCTGCTAATGGGGTCATGATTCCGTTGTCACAGCAAAGCTACAGGGAACCAGGCAGAGGGCCTTCTTGGTAGTGGCGCCCGCCCTGTGGAACGCCCTCCCATCAGATGTCAAAGAGATAAACAACTACCTGACATTTAGAAAACATCTGAAGGCAGCCCTGTTCAGGGAAGTTTTTAATGTGTGACACTTTGATGTATTTTTAATCTTTGTTGGAAGCAACCCAGAGTTGCTGGGGAAACCCAGCCAGATGGGTGGGGTACAAATTTCCAGACACTCCCATTATGGGAATAAAAGCATGTCACTGTTTAACAGCTGCACACTCTTACTGTTATGCTCGTGGAAATCTCTACCTTATAAAGTGCCATCAATGCATGCAAACAAGGTAGCACAAAGCATAAGAGATCTTACCATTTCAAGGTCTCCATCAGCAACTGCTCTTAAAAGTTTCTCCACCTATGTAATGAATACAGCCAGAAGAAAAAGAAATGTTTAGTTGTACTACTAGGGTATTTGGGTTCTTTCAACCTTGCTGATACTTCCTCTTGTGCCTAGGTGTTGCTGTTTGGGCTACAAAAGCATCTACACCCAGAGAATCAGTTTGCCAAATAGGATGGAAGCCTCCCATCAAACTGCATGTGATGTGGCACTCGCATCCTTCCTCAGGCCAAACATCTCCTTGTCCTTGTAAACAGTTGTAGGAAGGGGTCTAGTGATCATTTTGTAAATTTGGCTCTTCTTTCCATCTTGCAAGCAGGAAGCAGAGAGTGACCAAGTCTAGCCAAGGGGGGCTCTGAATGAATCACAGGTGAGCAACATGCATCCCCCAACCTCACTTGAGGCAGTTCCTGATACCTTCTGAAGCTGCCCCATCCATCCATCCCATGAGAGTTGAGCTGATTCCTCTTAGTTTCCTCCTTGCTTTTCCTGGCTTTTAGGGTGTTTTCCCCCTTCTTGCTATACAGTCTCAGAACAAGTGGGAGTTTCCCCCTGTAGGAAAAAATTGGCCAACTACTGCCATATATGTATGCATAGCACACTAAAGTCAAAAAGAAATTACTTTCGCTTGCTTTCCAGAACAAATTCTTCTGTGTGCTCATTTGAGAATAAACCATCAAACTCAGTAGGGTTTACTTCTGAGCAGACATGCTTGGACTGGGAATTCTAATCTGAGGTAGCCACAGTGAAAACAGAAGAAAGGCTATCTTTATTCTAGATTAGTTAATCCAGAATACTTGTATCTGGTTCTGACAATCATTGGCTCCAGCCACCAATGGCATGCGGCCTCTAATGTAGGGGTGGGGGCATTAATCTGTTGACAGAAACAAAGGTTGTCAAACTGACATCTTCACAGAAAACTACGCTTCTCCAGCAAAACAAAAACACAAAAACCCTCATTTTAAATTTAGAGGCCATTCTTGGCTTAAAATACAGGATCAGGCACAATTCCCACCCCCCAATCAGAAACCACTTTCTTACTCAATAAGATGCAAGTGCAACAAATTATGGCAAATGGGAGTGAACTGATTTTGGATTAAACGAAGAGGACGTGAGCTCTAGAAGCTAAAAGTCTAAGACGCAGGTAATCTCTTTTCCCTGACTTGAACTGAAGCCTCAGCCTCTTGAGGATGACAAGTTCATATCTTAAAGGCGAAAAGAGGAGGAGGAGCAAAGCACAAAGGAAGCGATCCTCAATCTCACACTGAATGACTTTTTTTTACATGCATTACAGTGGTACCTTGGGTTAAGTACTTAATTCGTTCCGGAGGTCTGTTCTTAACCTGAACCACCACTTTAGCTAATGGGGCCTCCTGCTACCGCCGCCGGAGCACGATTTCTGTTCTTATCCTGAAGCAAAGTTCTTAACCTGAAGCACTATTTCTGGGTTAGGAGAGTCTGTAACCTGAAGCGTATGTAACCCGAGGTACCACTGTACTTCTCATTTACAGAACAGCAACTTTTGGCTGGTCTGTACCCACAACAGGAGAAGCCATTGCGACCTAAAGGTATCTCACACAGACAGATCAAAATTCAAAGGTAGTCCTGAGACAATAATGATGGGGACAGAGCATCAACGTTTTGCCTTACACTGGCTCAGACTCTCCATCCATTTAGCTCAATATTCTCTGTTCTGACCAGCAGTAGTTTTCCAGCCTTTTCAGGAAAGAAGTCTTTCATGTCACCTGCTACCTGTTTCTTGCTGTTTAATATGGAGATGCCAGAGATTGGACCCAGTTCTAGCCTGACCCTCTGCACACTGTACCAGACCTCCAGCCCAACCTTTGCCAACCTGGCTCCCTCCAGATGTTGTGGACTATAATTCCTATTTGCCCCAGCCAGCTGATGGGAGCTGTAATCCAAAACATTTGGGCTGGGGGGCACCTGGCTGGTGAAGGCTGCTCTAATCACTGCTGCCAATGGCTGACTCTGGGACCATCTGAAAGCAGAGTGATGGTCTCTTCCCATAATATCTCCAAAATCAGAGGCTGCATATAGTGATCATGGCTAGTAGCCATTGACAGATCTCACCCTCCTCCATAAAATGCGTCTACTCTTCTTTTCAAAGCCGTCTAATCAAGTGGCTATCACATCTTGTTACACTGAATGTCAGAAAGTGTGACATGTGTGAAGTGGTACATCCTTTTGTTTGTCCTGAATCTCCTGCTAATCAGCTTCATGGGATGACACTCAAGTTCCACTGTTATGAGCGGAGGAGAAAACAGGAATGGCCCTGGCCCCTTAGATTTCGACTGTGCTGCTCATTGCCCAATGCTTCATCGACTTACCTCTTTATAACTAGATTTTGCTTCTTCTTGTCTAGCTGTTGCTGAAGATAAACTGGAGATGGACGATATTTGGCTAATGGAGTCCTCACAACCCTGAGAAGATCTGGCTGGGGACTAGTGGAACCAGCAAAGAAAACAAAAGGAGGAAGAGTTGGCAGCATCGCTGTTATCACAGCAGTTGATCAGCTGAATACCATTACGCTAAGGAAGGGTTTGCAGGTTACCTGAGAAGCACTCTGCCCTCTTTCAAATGCAAGGTAGTTCAGTTCCATTAAGGACAAAATCTGCAAGCAGAAAGATCAAACATTCATGAAGAGGCAAGTTGCAACTCCATCTCTCCAGAGAAATTTACTGATCAGAAGGCAAGCATGACATTAGCAATGATATATAAAGGCAGATTAGAGAGCATCCTGATCAGGAAGATTCAACTTGCCTCTCAGGCACTTTGGGAGTAGAACTGCAACCCTCCCCTGTCAAAAACAAGCAAAAAGTATTTTCAAGAGTTCCTGGCTAGCCACTGTCCTTCCAATTAAGTAAAAAACACAATAACATTTGTTTGTTTTCTTAAAAAAAAAATTATAGAGCAGATCAATTTAAGAGGACCACAGAAATGAATACATACTGCATGGATGTCTCAGATATAAAACAGTGGCATTTGTCCACCAAAAGCAAATGGAATTTTATTTTATTTTTAACTGCCCTGGCCAATATTGCTTCTTTGTAATTAAGCAACATTTAAAATCATGTAAGAAATTTGGGGTTGTTGTTTTTTTTAAAAAAGAAGTGGTATCTAAGAAGTACCGTAGAATTTAATGCGCACTGCACAGGAGTCTCTTTTGTCCGGTTCTGAATATTTGGGTTGGCTCCATTCTGAAGCAGCACTTCGATGATCCCTTGGTAACCCCAGCGAGCAGCTATGTGAAGAGGAGTGTCTCCTTTCTCGTTGCCAATGTCTAACTTACAAGAGTGAACGTCGTAATAGACTAAAGCCTTGACACACTGGAAAGTTAAAACAAAGACCAAAGCTGTGATGGTGTACATCACTAAAGCAACGGGACTAGAGATAGAGGGCAATTTTGTCATCGCATCTTGCCAGACCAAATCATTCTTATACTACTCATCACTGTTTTTATACTGCATCTTAAGACTCTAGTTTATCCTTTAAATTTTCTGGGAACTGCTCTGAGAAAGCAAGTTGTTGGGCAGCCATACAAATATAGTAAAATAAAATAAGCCACAACACACAAGTCATGGTTGTTTCTCTCAACCCTACCTGGAAATGCTGTTGGGGACTGAACCTGGGACCTTCTGCATGCAAAGCAGGTGTTTCTACCACACAGCCCACTGCTAATCTGCACATTACATTGCACAAGTTGTATCTGACTAAATCATATACTAGACCCACATGAAATCAATGGACTTTAGTTCGCTGACTTATTTAGGTATGTTGATTTCAATGGGCTTATTTTGAGTATGACTTAGTTGGAGCCAACCCATAACACTATGTGCATACTATGTGTAAATGGCATCTGTATGTCATTCCTATAAACATGGCAGCCCAACAGCATAAGGCTACTCCCTTCTCCCAAATAGAAAAAAGGACAAGTGAACTGCCTTGTTATGACTATTTGAATGAGGGAACCTCATTTACTCCACAGTCTGTAACCTCCTTTCATCCAAGAACAGATTGGCAGAATCAGGAAGGTCACACTGTCAACTATACAGGGCAGCACAATTTACCTCAGATTTACTTTCCACAATTTACCCCAATTTACTCTCCACAAGGTAAGACAGTGACACAGAGGAATGTTCCATGCATGACCCCAAAGCTCTAACAAAGTTTTTACAAAAGAAAGGACTCTCTCAATGGGCTCCTGTTTCTAACCCTCAAGGATCATTCTGAAAAGGCTGGAGGATTACAAGTTCAGAAATGAAATAAAAAATGAAGTGTGAGGCTGCATCCAGACTAAGTTAAGCCCCTTTGAAATCACTTTAAGTGCCCTTGTTTTCAATGGGGCTAAAGTCCACCTAACTGGTTATAGGTACCCTGGTGTTATAGGTACCCTGAACTGGTGTTCAGGTACCCTGAACATGTTGCTGCAAACTACTTACATCTTCATGGCCGTAAGTGCAAGCTAAATGCAGGGGTGTGTTGCCATTATTGTCTTGGACTTCTGTGCTCGCCTTATAGTGCAGGAGGAGAAGCTGAAAAAGGAAAAAAACCAAGCTACGTTTTTATGTGGCATGCACACATTTCAGTGGGTTAGAAGTGGCAGCTCTATTAAGTGGAAGAAGCTACGGTACAATTAAGGCCATACAAATGTGTCAAATTGAGTCCCATAAATTCTGTTTCTAACTTGCATATGTTTGGGATGAAATCTGATGGCTGAACTGTTATACTTGTTCACTTGATATGTTGTGAGCACCTTTGGGCACACTTTTGTGGGAAAGTGGAATACAAATAAGAGTTGACGATGATATAAAGAGCCGGGGGTGGGGGGGATGGAGAATAAATCCTATTGTGGCTCCTTTCAGTTTCTGTGCAAAAGGAATAACTCACATGCATCCCCTCTGCTTAGAAGGAGCCAAGCCTTAATGGCTTGAGAAATAATAATAATAATAATAATAAATGCCGCCCGTCTGACTGGGTTACCACAGCCACTCTGGGTTGTTTCCAACAAAGTATTAAAACACAAAAAAACCTCAAACATTCTAAGATCTCCCCATACAGGGCTGCCTTCAGATGTTTTCTAAAAGTCAGACAGATGTTCATTTCCTTGACATCTGATGCTGCTACCATTGTGGCCAAATTCCTGACCATATAAATATTTCTTATCATGAGCTGCTTAAAACCAATTCAGAGTCATGCCCAAGCTGCGCGGATATTATTTCACTCACTAAACACTATGATACAAAACAATACAAGGAAGGCTCAGGCTCCAGCGCTCTGGGGGAGCCTTGCAGAGCAAAATGCATCCTTGGGGTGAATTAATGCATGATGTCAAATCTAATGAAGGATTCCTTCATTCCCGAGTATCAGTGTGGCTCTACTTCGAAGAGCTTGAAACAGTAACATTTAGCACTGATCCAGCAAATTTCAAGCAATCAAATCACTTCACATACATTATTCTCATCTGATTGACATACATACAGCACACAGCTCATAAAGTGGGCCTGACCAAATCCTTTGACTTTTCACATGTTTCACCCATTCTTCTTCCACTGAGCTCTGCCTGACAGTTTTCTCACAATCCTGCCAAGAGATCCTGACTTCCCTGAGGTCAACCAGGTAGCTTCATGGACAGGCAATGGATGTTAATCCAGCATTCCCTGGCCCAAGTCTAACACTCCAAGCCCTAAACTACACTGGATCCCATGCATCTTCTCTCTCTCTCTCTCTCTCTCTCTGTGTGTGTGTGTGTGTGTTTAAACAAGACTAATTTCATAATGTCTGAAACTTTTTTCAGAGCCAAATCTGTCAGCATCAAATTGTCTCCTCCAGAGGAAGCAGTGGAGGATTTCTACTTCATTAATGTTTTTTTTTGTTTTTTTTTACTGTTTAAAGAAATATTATAGACCCTCCAAATGGTCAGTATTTTGTGGGAGCTGAAGGGAATTGAAGTCAAATAACATATGGAGAAGCCATATTGTTGCAAACTGTAGTGATATATTTTTTATGATATAGCCGTATATAAATATCTTTATATATATATATTTTAAAAAACAGCATTCATGGGGGGGGGACCCCTCAAAAAGCCACCGTTCCTGTCATCAGCAAACGGCCAAGCCATTGCTTTTAATCTACAAGCAATACTGGACTGAAAGGTACATAAAATGTTGTTATTATTACGTAAGATCTGTGCTTACGGTAACATTCTGGTATCCTTTCTGACAGGCGAGGTGAAGTGGCGTTGATCCGTGATAATCCGTCGCATTGACAATGGCTCCTTTGGAGACCAGCAAGTCAATTAAAGATGCTTGCCCTGTGGAGAAAGGTATATAGCTTCTCAGACTCAAAATGTCAGCATCTCACAGTGAGAAAAGGAAGTGTCACCCTCTGGGTCAAACTGGGAACTGAACAATCTGCTGCCTCTCCTGGCACTTGCAGGCGCCATATGACAGGCAACTTAGCATTTGCTCATGGTGATAAGACACCCCTCAGCTTGTTGGCACATTACTGTTCTAGGTCACAGCTTGGCAGGGGCCTTTCCAGCAATAATGAATGAATCAATCTCAACTCTGGAGAGAGCCCAGTAATGAATTGCTGCGAGTGCATATTATAAGTACACAGAAAAGTCATCCTACGTTGGGAAAAGAAGAAGTAACTAAGTGTAACCCCCAAAAACCAGTGAACTTGGCTGCAAATTCTCAAATCAGTGGTCTACACACAGCAGGTGGATGCTGCAGCAATATATTTGATGCTGCAGAAAAGGCCTTCAGGGGGAGCTCCCCAAGAAATAGAATTACAGAGTCAGGAATTTGGAGGAAGCCAAAAGTTATCAAGGCCAATTCACCCCACTGCTACCTGGGGGTGTGAAGAGTGTGTGTATGAACTTAACAGCACTTATTTTATTTTTTGGTTGATATTTTGTTAATATTATTTTCATAGAATATAAATGCTGTGTTAATTTGTTAATCATATAATACAACTTTTATTTGTGGTGTTTAGCCTGTTCTTTAGTTGCTGTTTTGCTACCAAGTGTTTTATGGATTGTAATTGTTTCACTGATGATTTGTTAATTATTCTATATATGATCTAGGCTGAATTCATGATGTTCTATTATGTTCTATCATGTTATTATTATTTATTGTTTGTAAGCCACGTTGGGATTCGTTTGAGTGAAAAGCGGCACAGACACATAACAAATCAAATCAAGCCAAAAAGCAAGATAATCTGGCCACCAGCTCCCATCTGGAATAACCAAAGCCATACAGACTTACAGTTAGGTCTGTATACTGCAGTTTGGTTCTGTAGAGCAAATGATCTCCTTGTAGCAAGATTTGTGCTGGGCAGATGTTCAAATCCACTCCAGACTTGGAGTGGAATTCTAATAGCTTTCTAACTGTGCCCCAGAGTACCCCTGAAACCCTTGGAAGGCTAACCAGTAGTAGTAGTAGTAGTAGTAGTAGTAGTAGTAGTAGTAGTAGTAGTAGTTGTTGTTGTAAGCAAACGGCTTTATAACAAATCAAACTAGTAGCCCAGCACTGTGTTTTCTGACTAGTAGTGGCTCTCAAGCAGAGGTGTTTCCATTCACCCACTCTCTGATCGTTTTAACTTGTAATGCCAGTGGTTGAACCATGTGGGTCTGCCATGGACAAAAGGTCTCTTCTCCGTGAGAAGATGAGAACAGGGGACAAAAGACAAGTGCGTTCTTCAATTGCAATTTGAAGTTGTAAGTGTACGCTGGATGCATCATTACGTTCATGCTCAGTTTATACGGGAGGGTCCCCAAGGCCTGGCGGCTACTGTAGCTGAAACTTCGAGAACACCTGAGAATCCTGTGCAACGTACCAGGTGAAGGGAGGGTCTGTAACAGATGCTCAGGGACTCCTCGGAAGACAATGTTTGTAGAGGGTGGGGAATCAGAAAACTTCTGCCATAGTCCACGAATGAACTGCAGCGCTTACCACATATTGCAGCTATATGAAGCGGAGTGAATCCCCGGTCATCTCTAGAAAATGGTGTCACAATGGAAGGATCGTTCAGTTTCCTTAAAGTAAAAAAAAAGGCATCATCAACAAACAGAACATGGGCAAGCAAAGGACAGTGTATGTTTCACACAGCTGCCTTGTTTAAAATCACCAAAGAACATGGCTACAAGTGAGCTGCCTTGCATGGCTGTCGTAAGGTCACCAGCTGAATCTGGTCTCAACACTGAACTCGCTAGCAACTGTTCTCTTTGCCTTAGTTCCTCCCACCCGTATAATGGAAATAATAATACCAATCGACCTTACAGAGTTCTTGTAAGTTTACTGAATAGTTGCTGTGATGGCGGCAGACATTTTTTTTTTCCTGAGGGTGTCCCTGGGAACAACACTGTGCCATGATGTAGTGCTGTTCCCAGGGAAATTTATTCCAAGGAACAAGGCTGAAGCAGGAAAGCTACAGCCTGAATAGTCAGCAAAGCTGTTTTGCTGTTAGAAAAGGTCATGGGAGGGAAATAAAGCTTTATAAACCGCTTTGCTCACCTTGCAGTTAAGGTGAGTAGAAAAGCCAACCACTTTAAATTCCCCTCTCTCACCGCCAAACATTCATGGTAGTTGATTGGCTGAAATATTGTCTGCCATCACCAAAGCAGGATGTAAACCTGGTTCACCTACGGCTTGGCAAACTGTTGCCTTGACTTTGCATCTAAATTGATAATTCATGGTTTGGGCTCCTTGGAACCACATTGGGATGTTGCTTTGCCCTCAGAGGTTGCTGCTTGGGAGAGAATTCAGAGATTCTACGGGGATTGGGGGAAGGAACCACACAAACCATTGTCTGGCGTCTACACTGCAGTTAGCACAAACCATAGTTTATGATTACGTCTCAACCAACTCACTAGCAACATAGTTCCCAATTATGCTTGGAAAAAGTCTGGAAAACTTTGAAAACACAACCCTTACCCAGAAACCAGCTTCTCACACTTATCACAGAAACAGAGCGGATGGCACATTTTTTGCACAGTGTCCTTATCGTTGTCCCCTTGGCTTAACAAGCGCTCTGCTTCTTCCTGGTTGCCTGAAGCAACATGCTGCAAAGAAGGGCAAAAGGTGAGACAGACACTGGCGCCAAATTCAGAACCAAACAGATGGAAGTGGGGTGCAGGAGAAGGCAGCAGAAAGGTGAATATGAATTGGGGTGGATTCATACATTATAGAAACCTAGATCTACATAGGTCTCCCAGCATCATCTTCTGGAATACAACATAGAAGCAGAACCATGGCCAATCCTAAAAAGGTGCCACAACTGGTAATATCAGATGCCTCTGAAAAATCCAGCAGAATCAACTGGGTCACACTCTTCCTCTCTACATCATGGCAAAAATGGATCAGCCAATGTTATTTCAATCCTAAACACTGTCCAGAAGCCAAACTGAAGTAGGTCTAGATACCCCATATCATCCTGGAGCAGCTTGGCCACAGCCTACTTGATCATTTTGATGGCTGAAAGATCCTGGCAACCCTGAGATCATTGGTAAGTTTTGTTTTTAACTATTTTTAGACATTTTTATTGTGTCGTTTTATAACTGGCATGTTTGCTGCCCTGGGCTCATTAGAGAGGAAGGGTAGGATATAAATTTAATAAAATTATAATATTGTCATCTAACCAGCCAGCATTTTCTGCCAACTCTTAATCCTAATATACAGGCTCTGAATGGACATGTTGCTGGCTGTGCAAAACCAACTACCTGGTCTGTTTCAACCATCAATAATTGAAATATCCAATAAAAGCTAAACTGGGGGGGACTGGACATCTCTTTCACTCACTCTAAAACAAAAGCAAAATCAATGGAAAGATTAAAATATATTTTAAGGCGGGTGGAACCTTCAAAACATTGAGCTGTTACAAGGGCTCTCAACTTTCTTAGAACGGAAAGTAGTTTTCTGGCCATTTCTCAGAGCTGACATAATATTCATGCAATCCAAACCTGAAACAAGCAGTCTATCGGGGTGTTGGACATCTGAGACAGTAAATTCATTCTTTGTCTTAAGAATAGCTTCTCACTAAATCCTTCAGATCCCTGTGAGGGGGAAAAGAACCTCCCATCAATTTATTCCTGGCATAGCATACAACACTGAATTGATCAGTTCAACACAGCAAAGTCTACTTTCAAGCCAAGCTCAACAACTTAAAATTGATGCCCATGATCTGATTATACCAAGTAAGATAATTTCAATTATTTTATTTGTTTAAAAGACCTATACCCTGCCTTACATGTACAAAGAAAAATTAAAAAGAAAAACAATAATAACAAAACAGTGGTACCTCGGGTTAAGAACTTAATTCATTCTGGAGGTCCGTTCTTACCCTGAAACTGTTCTTAACCTGAAGCACCACTTTAGCTAACGGGGCCTCCAGCTGCCGCTGCCGCCACACAATTTCTGTTCTCATCCTGAAGCAAAGTTCTTAACCCGAGGTACTATTTCTGGTTTAGCGGAGTGTAACCTGAAGCGTATGTAACCTGAAGCGTATGTAACCCGAGGTACTACTGTAATAAGGTTAGAATGAAACTGAATTAAGGCCATGTAATACCATCAATAAAAAACAAAGTAAAAGCAGCAATATATATAGAAGAGCAGAGGTTGCAGTTTCATGAGAAACGTGGCCAAATAAACCAATGTCAAACTGGCTCCAGAAAGTCACCAACGTTGACACCAGGGGAGGGCTGGTGCCTAGAAAGCACATATAAGAGTGGTTTTCTGCTTGACCTATAATAATAATAATAATAATTTTATTATTTATATGCTTTCTAGGTAGCAGTCCATGTGGTTGTCCCCTTGCCCCATTCTTTTCCCAGGGAAAATCTGCTCTTTAACAATAAATTGGAACAAATGACAAGCCACAGAAAGCCTGAATTGCCATTTGCTCCTACTGAACACTAAAGAGCAGTTTTCCCCAGGGGAGAGCAGCAGGACAAGGGGAAAGGTCTCTGAGGAGAGTATTCCGCAACAAGAACACCACTATAATTGCCACGCATCTAACCTCTGGTGCTTATCATGTTACTAATATAATGCAGCCATATTGTGCCACAATAAATGTTTATATTATGCTCATTTGAAGTACTTCCCAGTCCTCTCAAGAGACAAAAGAAATGTGGCAAAAGTGGTGTCTGTAACAATGTAATTTACAGGCAGATCGAGGTGCCAGCTTAACATTCCTGAGGAAAGTAGTTCCTGTGTTTTCAGGGCCCTGGAATCATATAAGCCATTCCTGCCTCCCCTGTGCTCAGTTTAGTGGTACAAAGCACTGCCTGGCTTGGCTGTAAATTCACGTTGAAGGCACAGGTAACCTTTGACTTAAAGCTTTATGTCCAAATTAATGTGTCCCTTGAATACACAGCTCTAGTCAGTCCAACTTTCAAGTTTCTTATAGAGCTGATGAAAATGGCAAATGGGAAAGCAACACTGCCTGTTCTGTAAAAGAGAAGGATAAATGTAGGGTAGACAGCATCTCAGCTTGTAAGTCATTGGGGCATTTCGCAGCAATTCCTGGAAAGTTACCATTAGCATGAAGCGGGTGTCACAAACCAGATTATTTGCGCACTAATGCAAACAGAACTATAGCACTCATTTGAAACTGCGTATGTAAGGCAGTATGGTCCTCACTCACTTGGAGAATGCACCACCTCAAATTGTATATGGGCAGTGATTTGTTTTTAGTTGCCCTGCCATGTGAGTTATGGTGTGTGTGTCAAAAATTTCCAGCCAGAAAATCTGGTTTCTCTCCCACACCAACAAGGTCACCCCGCAAGGGTGTGATGCATACAACCTCCAAATATGGCAGCAACAGTGGTGTGTAAAACTGAATGAGTGCATAGTTTGAGCCCCATACAAATAAATAGTGGAGCACATTCACACTGGCCCTATTTCCTAGCTTTATCTGATGTGGTCCAATTACCATTGCTACGTCAGACCATCTCAGTATGACCAAATGGTCCTTTCCCACTTGATTACTTCTACTCACAGGGCTCTGGCCTCCACTGGTAACTATGGCAGCTTGGGATAAGGCCTACTAGCCTGATGGAGTAAGGTAACAAAAGGGCCATAAGTTAGAATGTGGTTAAGGAATGACAAGAATGATACAGTACATTTTGCATGGAAAAGATCCTGAAATTCAGTTGCTAGTAACAAAACCAGGGAGCTTGTGATGGTGAAGACCGTTGAGAATACCTGCAAGTCAAAGTGGACCACACGGGGCTAGAGGAACAACTAGCCTGTAATCTACTAAAGATTAGGACTAGACTGGACAGCAGGTTTACGGAAGAGCCCAGTTTCTTTTGTACACGTTTTGTATGATTAGAAAGGACTCAGTGAAGGTAGTGCTTATATTTTGAGCATAAACCTGTTTGTCTGCACTCATACTATGGTTTCCTGCTGCTTATTCTGTTTCATTGTTTCAATTTCAATTTCTAATGCAGCTTGGGTTTAGGCATTTTGAGTGGTTTTTCATCTTCTAAAAGCAGAATATAATTGCCCCAAGCTAAATAGTTCCATGAACCTGGTGCCAACTCCCCTAACCATTTGCTGTGCTGGCCTGATGGGAGTTGTTCAACAGGGCACCAGGTTAGCATCATATCGAACATACTGGTGATATACACACAATTGGAACCTGCTATATGAGAGGCACTGTTTCCTTCCTCCAACAAGGGACACTCCTGTTCATGGTCCTAGCCAGTTCTTCCTTCCAAGCAGCACACTCCACTGCCCCCACCAATTTCTCCCTCCAACAAGCAGGTGAGGGACTCATACTGCTCCTCTCAGATTTGAGGGGACCTTGAGCAAATGGTCCTCTCTTGGACTGCCTCTGCTGGTGGTGGGCTCTAAGAGGTTTTACCTGGCTTTGGTACCAGCACTTGACAGCAGGATCTAACTACTCTTTTGTTTCCCACAGCGCTGCAGAACAACATGGGGCACAGTAGAAATTAAAAGGATGCCTTGATCACATCATCTGGCACTGTATGCCTAGGAAGAAGAAAAAATAGGGGAGAAGGGCGGAGCAGGCATCAGCTGTGGGTTCTGCCAGGGTGATGGAACCCAATGCTCTGGCTCCTGCACCAGGGCAGAGATACCTGTAAATTCAGGGATTCTGTACAGCTGCCACTGGATTATTTAAAGCTTAACTTTAAATGCTTATTGCTATTTGTTCTGGTAGAGGCTTCAATGTTTTCTTGATGGAGCATTTATAATTTCAAGAGGCGCATTCCCAAGGCAGCATATAATTTAAGAAATTGGAACAGGATAAGTATTAGTGATTTAAACATTAATGTTGTAGGACTCCTGCTTGTTCTCCACAGCAAGCCATCCTTGCGCAATTGATGTAGTCATAAGACACTGTCCTACGATGCCACATGCTGAAGAGCAAGGGCACGTGGTTTCAGCTTTCCAAACAAGAGTCAAGTGCCCCCGAGATTGCCACATTTATGCCTGGGATTATGCAACCCACATAAACCATTGTACATATGACCCAGGTTTGCCGTAGCTCAGTGGCTGAGCCCCTGCTTGGCATGTAGAAGGCCCCAGGTTCAGTCCCCAGTAGCGCCCGCAGGTAGGACTCGGGAGGGATTCCCAAACCTGCCTGAAACCCCAGGGAGGAACTGCCAGTCCTTGAAGACAATGCTGGGGTGGCAGACTGGTGTTCTGACTCTGTATTAAGCCAATCAGTCTACTATTTAGCCATTGGAAGTGCTGCTATTCCCATTGCCCAGATGCCTGAATTTACACCTTGCACACTGTAGCTCTAGGCTGCAGTGGGTACTGAGGAGGAAAGGCCCTGCTGGTGGCTTCTTTCAAAGGGATCTGCCAGGCAGTTTTAAAGAGATTTTTTCCAAGTGTTAAGCATCAACCCTTTCCTTTTTTACTCTCACGAAGGCGGCACGCTAGAGAGCAGTGTTTCAAGTTGTACTTCAGCAATAAGGATAAGCACTGATTGGTCTGCCTAGAACAATTTTCTACAAGTGCCCCAGAGAAAAGGCAACTGATGCCACAAACAGTGACAGGAGCTGGGGGATTAACACTGTATCCAGCAGGCAGGGTACTAAACATCACGGCAGCATATATCTGTGAAGGAGGGCCATAGCTCAGTGGAAGAACACATGCTATGCATGGGATAGGAGGGCCCAGGTTCAATCCCAGCATCTCTTCATAGGGCTTGGGAAGAGTCCCATCTCGAACCTAAGAGTTGCTATCACACTGATGCTAGATACACCAATAATTTGTTCAGGGGAGTGGGGAGTGAAGGCAGCTCACCATGTTCTTGTATACTTAAAATCCAGGTATGCCCTCTTGTGAAGACAAAGTAGGGACCCCAATTCAAACAGTAAAGGTAAAGGGACCCCTGACCATTAGGTCCAGTCGCGGACGACTCCGGGGTTGCAGCGCTCATCTCGCTTTATTGGCCGAGGGAGCCAACGTACAGCTTCCAGGTCATGTGGCCAGCATGACTAAGCCGCTTCTGGCGAACCAGAGCAATGCACGGAAACACCGTTTACCTTCCCGCCAGAGTGGTACCTATTTATCTACTTGCACTTTGACGTGCTTTTGAACTGCTAGGTTGGCTGGGACCGAGCAACGGGAGCTCACCCCGTCACAGGGATTCGAACCGCCAACCTTCTGATCGGCAAGTCCTAGGCTCTGTGGTTTAACCCACAGTAAAAGTGCTTTAAAAATCCCTACTGATGGCTTACCTAGGCACTTTCCTACCCCACTGAACTCCATGAGCAAATGGGGGAAAGACCAGCTGCCCCCCCAACCCTGCTTTCCATGTAACTGAACTGATTAGGTTTAAATGTGTGCCCGACAGTGTGTCCAATTTGGGTCTAGAAATCCACAGTCAAGGTCTCTTAAATAATTTGCCTGCCACACACAGTAAAGCAGGATTCTTCAAACTCGAGAGAACTTAAGTCTGAAATCTTGCACCAAGAGATGTCAGTGCAACGTCAGAAGATTCTCCTTCCATATGAAGAGTCTAACAGTAAAAAGCTATTGAAACCTAGCAGCACAAAAGCAGCTTAGCAGCATCCAAGTATGTATTTAGGTAAAATTGCCAGCAAGAAAAGGCAAACTAACTTTAAAGAGAGAAAAGCATTTTGTTGTTGTTTCAAAGCAGCTTTACTTTAAAGAACACACACACATTTGTCATCCAAGTTCATTTATGCCTTTTATTTTACAAAACATAGCAAGTTGCTGTAGTCTTAACATCTCTGCCCGAATCTTTTCTGTTAACAAGGTGGGTAACTGATAGTTCAAACTTCCTTCAGATCAAAGACTGAAATATAAATGTGGGCTTTTATTTTTATTTTTTATCCCCCTCCTCTTTTTGGACACAAACTTTTTTCTTTTCTTTTTTTTTACATAGTAGTTAGGAAGCAAGACTTGTGATACACATTTGCTTTTTTTTATATATATATAAAAAAGGAGTAGCCAAGTGCCACAAATCTGCTTAAAAGATTTTACCACTGAAAGAGCAAAGTGAAAAATGCTGTAAAACCAATTTTAAAAAGCAGATTTTGTGATGTGTGTCCCACAGTAGGGCCCCCACCCCACAGACAGAGCCATTAAGCAGCTAAGTTCCATTTCTTGGCAGCTGGATCAGGTGCAGGTTTCATTGTGGTACCAAGTTCACATCCTTCAGCCTCCAGATCAGAGCGGGAGCACCTAGTTTTGGAAGGTTAAAATAAAGTCCGAGGAAACTATACTGACCAAAGGATTTCTGCAGCATTTCCACCTGTTTCATGGCCACATCCATTGCCCACATTTAAACCAGTATCGTACCACTTTAATAGTAATGGCTCCCCCCAAAAAATGCATCCTGGGAACTGTAGTTTGTTAAGAGTTCCGAGAGTTGTTGGACACCCCATTCCCCCTCAAAGAGCTACAATTCCCAGAATTCCCTGGGAAGAGAGTTATTGTTAACCCACTACGGAAATTGCAGGTCGGGGGGGGGGAATAGTCGATCTCCTAAAAACTCCTGATACTTAACAGTTCCCAGAATTCCTTGGGAGCAGCAAGTGGCTTAATAGTGCTTTCAATGCCTGGCCCACATTTATTGTGTGCATGTTCTGTTCTTACAGGGCTCTCCTGGTGATATCCCATCCCAATTCCTGAAGAGGGCAACAGCTATTTAGCTTCAGCAATGCTACAGATCTGTTTCCTGAATTCTGAAATGTTAAGAATGGTATTTATTTTTTTTACCGACAAAAGGGATCTAATTGTATCCCACTGCTATAATTTTGGGCATTGTCTGTACTAAACATGCCAAACACTTGGAGACAAATGGTGGAGTGCATAGAAGAGCATGGGTGTGCTTATGCACATACAAGCTATAAGGCACAAGATGCAGGAACTGTATCTACAGCTCATACTCCTTGTCCTTCAAATAAAGCTGAACAGAAGTCTACCAGGGCTCAAGGTTGTCCTTTTACAAGCCTCTTTGAGCAATGGCTCAAGTCTGCTTACGGAGACCTTTAAGCAATGTGCACAGGCAAACAGTAAACTGTTGCAAAGGAGATGTACGTCCAGAAGGCACTCCTATTACAATCACAACTGCTGCACAATTGCCGTTATCAGGCCAGACTTTATGCTGCAACCCCTATTAAAGTGACTTACTGTTGGCCTGTCCGAGAGGTTTCCTTGACGGATGTATTCTATTGCAGCCTCAACTGAAGTCAGGCAGTATCCAAGTTCATCCTTTGCTGAGCTGCAAAACCTGAAGTTCTTGATGTAACTCAAGTTTGCCATCCTAGACAGAAAATAAAATAGCATATAAGGCTTTCAAAACATTACTCAAGAAGTGGAGATGACTGAGAAAGGTCACTTAAAATTGCATGCATATCTAATTGGTTCCTCAACTTCCAATCACTAATGCAAGATCAAAACATTTATCCTATCTCCCACAGAGAGCCCCTCATCATCCACAAGTTTAATTTATTCTGAGTGGGCTTCAATGCTTGCAGGCACAATGTTTACGGAGGAAAGAGCAGGGCGCCTGCTCCATTTTCAGAATGCACACAGCTGATCATGAAAGGCTCCTGAATAAACAGAAAGCCATGAAGACAACATGTTATTAATCCACACTTTTTCTGCAGTTTGATCCTGCATACTTCCAATAACAGGATATGTTTTTATCTCTGATACTATTGAACTCCCAGCCCCAACAAAACCAGAAATGGCATTCTTGGATTGGCAGTCAAAACTGACAAGCTATAAAAAAAGACTATAGGGATCACACTTATTACAGCTTTCCAGGATCATTCTGATGGGTACAATCATATTGGTGGGTTTTAGGAGGCAGGGGGTAGAAGAAAAAATCAGATTAAAACAATTTGGCTTTATTTTCTAGCAGGTTACCACCACAAAAAGCCATGCCATTTGTATTGCAATGCCCTGTCCTGGGATGCAAGCTGTGCAAACAGCCACACATTTACAAAAGGACACAACACGTGCACATTCAAGACACGCAGATTAAAAAAAAAAAAATCAGCCCTGCGTTATAACTGACGTCCAAAAACATAAGCACATTTGTTAAATGCATGTAATCCCTGGAAATGGCACATTGCTAATACAACAGGTCTGCTGTAAGCATTTACATTTTTAGTTCCCAGTTGCATCTTACCAATGTAACAACCAAGGTCTATTTTGTAACAGATGTTAGTACCCTACACGTTTTTCAGATCTGTGAGATTTCAGATTTGTGATACATGCTGTCCAAGCAAGGCAAGTGATTTACCAAAAGCAGCAAAATATTAAATATTCACACCCAAAAGGGGTTTCTACTCAAATGGCAATAAGAGGACCAGGTTGAACATTTCTGACTCAGGATGCATCTCGATTGGAGAGTCTGAAACAGCCACCAGTTAGAAGAACTCAGCTGTGCAGTGTTATTATGCCCATTTCCAGGGCAACGCAATCACAGAATTGATAATATGTATTTTTGGTCTTTGATTCAAACTACTATTTCAAGTCCAAAGCAAGTCACAATGCTTCTCACTGTTCTGCTATAAAACCTTAGAACACAGAAGCATCCAATTAAGGCTTTGCTGAGGATACAGGACTGTACTGCAACGGTCATTTGCTAGTGAACAGCTAGTACAGACTTCAAATTACTGTATCCCATAAACCAAATGTAGGTTGGGTTTTAAGACTTAAATCAGATTCTGCATCCAGTTTATTTGGAGTGGGTTTGTCTCCAGTACTGGAACATGTGATTTCTTAATCACATTTGGAAATGGAACCAAACACTTAAATCAGCTATGCAATCATCTGGATACCCAGAGTCACAAACCAGACCCCTTCGCATCTTGAAACACAATCAATATTGAACGGGGGGGGGGGGCAGCTGGCAGCTGATGGCCATCCTAGCTTACAGACTCCATGACTTCAAGCAATGCTAGAAACCTTTCAGCACTCTGCCTTGTTTAGCGCTCTTGCAGCAGAGAAATAACACTCAGGAGCAAAAGGAGACTTGTCACATACCAGTTTGGAATCTCCGTTTTCACAAGAAGGTACAGCAGGACTGAGAGAAGGTCATCTGCACACATGGTCTCCATGTTAACTGAAGTGGGAAGGAAAAAGTGGAGTCACATTTCTATGCTAGTGATAGTGCCTAAATGCTTCTAATTAGGGCTGCAGTGTTTAGAAAGCTTTCGGCAGACTAAAGGTGCTGCCACCACGATTGATCAGCAGCAGTTTTAAAATCCAGAAGTTTCAGGCACATCTTGAAGGCATGCCCTTTGTGTGAAACAAAGAAATACAGCAGGCACTCCTAAACACAAGGTAGTTCAATTTAAAACCCTACACAGATATAACCAGTTCCCTGAAGTCTTTTACTCATTTTCAAGCCATCTTTCTGGGTAAAAGGAAGAAAAGACCAGCCCAACAAGTGCCAGGGACAATGGTCTAAGTACTGTCTGAATTATACCTTCTATTCTAGCCCTTTGAAGCTGGGGAGTCTCAGAACAAGCCCTGCCATACACCCTGGAAAAGTATTTCAGATGCCTCAGTTCAAGGGAAAGCACTAATTTCCAAGTGATAAGAAAATTTATTGTTGTTGTAAACATTTGTATACCACTCTATCTGCAGATCACAGGGTGGTTCACAACATAATGCAAAATGAGGACACAAAATACATGATAAAACAAGAACAGACCAATAAACACCTGAAAACAAGCACCTGAATGTTACATTTCAAGGTTCTGCTCACATGCACCCATTTAAAAGCTTATGAAGATGGCTTTTCAAAGCACAGAGAGGCGATCTATTGAAACCATTATTACATTGCCATGGTTACAGACCTCTTTGGCTAGGAGACTGCATTATGATTTGAACCACTTTGCGCAGACAGAGGAGCTTCTGTTGTGGGGAGGTGCACTTATTCAGCTGGCCCAGCTCTCGCTTCGCACGAGGAATGTTGAAGCTGTGAAGTGTGGTCAAAAGAAAGGAGTACTTAGCACATACACCAGACTTGAGCAGCAGCAACAGTGACTGTCGAAAAGTGGGCACCTATTTCAAACCATACCAACTTCTACTCCTACATTCAGTATAATTCAGGCTTGCCAAATGACCAGGGAGAAGAGAAGGTGGTCTGGCCTGTTCTGATGACTTTTCATTCACAAAGCTGAGCAAATGAAGCTCTTTATGACAGAGATAAGACACTGCTGCCTACTATGATCTCCAGATCCAGCTGCTCCTGAAGCCCCAAATACAGGAAGCAAGCTGAGGAGTCAGCAAACTCCAGCACAAACATATTGATTAAAAAACTTGTGTTGCTTATCAACATATTGATAAGCTCCTGTGCACACATCCCAAGGGAGCAGTTTCACAAGCTCTCTTCCATATGCTGTTGCAGCAGAAGTATTATCCCTTGGGATTTGTCTAGAGTCCAGTGTTGCCGTCAAGCCCTTCCAGTTACACATGCTGACAGCAGAACTCCTCCCTTTCCTACTTCTTCATTCAGTAGCACCAAGGGCATATGGGCGACAACCCACTTACCTGCATATTTGTTTTTGGTAAAGCGGCAAAGAGTACACAGATTCACAGCATGCAAAGAGCAATATGCTCTGAGCAGCAGCCATATATATCTTACTCAAGTTGTTGGTTCCCCCACCCACCAACCCCCCAAAAACCTGGTGGAGCTTTTAAGATTGTCATCTCCATGCAGCGCACCTGAATTCAGGCTTAATACCCAGGTCCTTCTGTTGCAGATCTTGTAAGCTTCTTGTAATTTTGTTGAAAGCTGCATCCTGGTTGACAAATACAAATGAAGCCATTTTAGAAACACAACAAGCTGCTCTCTTGGCTATATCTTGAGACGTTTGAAGATCAGGTATGGGGGAACTTTGGCCCTCCAGACATTGCTGAACTACAGCTCCCAGAATTCCTAGCCAGTGGCCATGCCTGCTGGGTCTGATGGGAATTGTAGCAATAGGTGGAGGGCCGAAGAGACCATCCAGTAGATGAGTACATAGAGCATAGGAAGCTGCCTCAGTATATCAAGCTTGGTCCATCTAGCGCTATATTGTCTACTCTTGATTCTCCAGGTTTTCAGGCACCTTCTACCTACTCCTTTCTAACTGGAGATGCTAGGGATTGAACATGGCATCTCCTACATGCAAAACAGGTGCTCTGTCACTGAGCTATGGGGTTAAGGACAGATAGTCCAAGTGTTTTTCCTTTAAAATACATGTAAGCAATGGTCAGAAATGTCTACATGCACCTTGAGGCAAAAGCCTTTTGATCAAAATGTACCCTTTCCATAAGTGCTATGATAAGCACCTTATATTCTGGCGCTGGAAAAGTAGGCATTCGAATGGCCAAGGGAAAGCGACACCTACCTCACTCGCCTCGATAGTCCCCACATATTTAAAGATCAGGTCATATAGAGCATGGTGGATGTACATCTGAAACACAAATAAATAAATTGAACTGGAGATGCCCGTGAGTTTACGGAATTCCCACTAACAAACAACCCACTACTTACATCCACAGCTTGCTTCATCAGATTCATCTGAGGCTCCTGCTTGGCAAGCATCCTCTAAGGACACAAGAGAGAGAAAAGGCAGTGTTAACAGGCACTGTCTGGGGAAGGGGTAGAAAATTGTATTTAACACACACACACACACACAAACCATTTCATACTCACAAGGTGCGAGTCTCTCAATAACTGCTGAATACATTTGGTGTAGAGGGCATTTACAGAATCCTGCAGACCAAAAAGACAGACGTTATGGAGCACAAAAGGCTGGGCTCAGATGTCACATTAAATCACAAGAGACTCAAGTCCACAAACTCCCACTTCCTGTGGCCAGCATGGATCCCAAGTGGAGCTCAGAAGTTTTTGCTTAACGACAGCTTGTCATGTTGTCCGAACTCTGCTTAACTCATGGTTTGTTTCACACAAAGCAACTTGCAAACCATGGCACAAGCAGCTGTGGCTAAGCAGAAACAGAACCAAAGCTTATGGACTCATTGAGGTCAAAGTAGAGGAACAGGGAGCACCTGGAGCTTGCTGCAGCTCACTTTTTGTGAGCTATGGTTCAATGTGCCATCCTAACTGGGCCACTGCATCAACATGTCTAGGTAGAGGGCCCTTGCAGGGATGGGTTGGGGAAAGAACATTTTAGAAAGACATGAGGAGAGTCCAAGTTGCTTAACTGGGTGGAGTGCCAGTGCATTCTTTGAGGAGGTACAGGTTCCAGATTAATCTTCCAAAGGTTTAGTTCATGTGGGTGCAGAGCACATTTGCATCAAGTAGGTTACTGTGCTTTATTCTAGAGTTGCACTTGAGCCATTCTCATTATGAAGTAATCTAGCAGCGAGTAGTAACTAAGGCTGCAACTCAATTTTTAAAAAGGTATCTGAAATGTGTTACTCTACGCTGATTTGCATATAGCTACAGATTTGCATATAGATAAACTTTTGAAGCAATATGTACTTTTTTTAGACTATGCATACATGGCACAGAAAAGGCATTCTTCCTGCGTTAAGAAATGGGAGAATGTTTCTTGCAATAGGCATTTGCAACAGACTAAGGCAGGCTGAAAACAGAGATACTGACTATGTAGTGCCGCAGGATTTTCCTGTCATGATCCTTGAAAGTCCTGTGGAAAGATGCAATGGCTTTATCAAACTTTTCAGCATGTCTCCCCAAGAACTCTCTCACATCTTCAACGTTTTTCAGGGAGTAAGTGTTTGACGGCGTTGAGGATTGTTCTGAAATGGAGGGCAGTTGTCAGTGCACAGAAAGATCTGCAGTTCCTCCTAGCATTAGCAGCAGTTCCTTATTTATTGATTTATTTATGTTGCCAGATGCAAAAAGTCATGGCAAGAAACCAGGACTCCCATATTTATTGCTGACCTCTTAACTCTTTTCCTGGCTTCTGAAGAGTCATTTCTTCCAGGAAATGATAATCAGGATGAAGATCCTTCATGCAAGCCTGCTAGGGTGATCTAGCTCTCATCCTTGTCGCCTTATGAAAGGCTTCTGATCTTGCCTTCTAGACCACATTAAGCTGTCTGCTCATGGTATATGAAGGTCCTGAAAGAAGTGCTATTGCCCAAGGCTGGCCCTACCATTAGGAAGAGTAGGGTAGATACGTCAGGCAGCAGAGGGTGGAGTGGCAGTGATAGCCACCTAGTCTGTTCCCTCTTGGGTACCTGCCATGTACCTCCTATTATAGTCTGCTGCATTGTCACCAGTGTTGAAAAAAAGGTTCAATTGCCAGTCCAATCCAATTATGTACATGGAATGGAGCAGCAGAAGGGAAAATGGGACTCTCCTGCCATCTGCCTCAGGCAGCAAAATACCTAGAGTTGGCTTTGTTGAAGTCCAAGGGCTGGCTGAGAAGAGCACTACTACAGTGGTGCCTCGCAAGACGAAATTAATTCGTTCCGCAAGTTTTTTCTTCTTGCGAGTTTTTCGTCTTGCGATGCACGGTTTCCCATAGGAATGCATTGAAAATCAATTAATGCGTTCCTAGGGAAACCGACTTCAGACCAGGTCCGGGGACAGTCTGTCCCCGACCTCTTCTGAAGGCTGGGGGGGACAAGGGCTTTTCTTCCCACCCCCAGCATTTTAAAAACCCGGGACAGCGGAGAGCTTCTCCGCTGTCCGGGCGATCTTAAAATGCTGGCGGGCGGCATTTTAAAATTGCCCCGGGACAGCGGAGGACTTCTCCGCTGTCCGGGGCAATTTAAAGCCCCTGGGAAGGCAGGCAGGGGGACAAAGACTTTTGCCCCCCGCCAGCCTTCAGAAGAGGTCCTGGACCTCTTCTGAAGGTTGGCGGGGGCGAAAGTCCTGTCCCCCCCACCTGCCTTCAAAAGCTGTCCAGCCAAGGCTTCGCGGACCTCTCCGCAAGCAGCGGCAGCACTGCCGCTGCTCGCGGAGAGTTGCCGGCATGCCGAAGCCTGCGCGCGCTGAGATCAGCGCGCCCAGGCTTCGCGGACCTCTCCGCGAGCAGCGGCAGCGCTGCCGCTGCTCGCGGCGAGTGGCCGGCATGCCGAAGCCTGCGCGCGCTGAGATCAGCGCGCCCAGGCTCGCGGACCTCTCCGCGAGCAGCGGCAGCGCTGCCGCTGCTCGCGGAGAGTTGCCGGCATGCCGAAGCCTGCGCGCGCTGAGATCAGCGCGCCCAGGCTCGCGGACCTCTCCGCGAGCAGCGGCAGCGCTGCCGCTGCTCGCGGAGGTTGCCGGCATGCCGAAGCCTGCGCGCGCTGAGATCAGCGCGCCCAGGCTCCGCGGACCTCTCCGCGAGCAGCGGCAGCGCTGCCGCTGCTCGCGGAGAGTTGCCGGCATGCCGAAGCCTGGGCGCGCTGAGATCAGCGCGCCCAGGCTCAGCGGACCTCTCCGCGAGCAGCGGCAGCGCTGCCGCTGCTCGCGGAGAGTTGCCGGCATGCCGAAGCCTGGGCGCGCTGAGATCAGCGCGCCCAGGCTCCGCGGACCTCTCCGCGAGCAGCGGCAGCGCTGCCGCTGCTCGCGGAGAGTTGCCGGCATGCCGAAGCCTGGGCACGCTGAGATCAGCGCGCCCAGGCTCCGCGGACCTCTCCGCGAGCAGCGGCAGCGCTGCCGCTGCTCGCGGAGAGTTGCCGGCATGCCGGAGCCTGCGCGCGCTGAGATCAGCGCGCCCAGGCTCGCGGACCTCTCCGCGAGCAGCGGCAGCGCTGCCGCTGCTCGCGGAGAGTTGCCGGCATGCCGAAGCCTGCGCGCGCTGAGATCAGCGCGCCCAGGCTCCGCGGACCTCTCCGCGAGCAGCGGCAGCGCTGCCGCTGCTCGCGGAGAGTTGCCGGCATGCCGAAGCCTGGGCGCGCTGAGATCAGCGCGCCCAGGCTCCGCGGACCTCTCCGCGAGCAGCGGCAGCGCTGCCGCTGCTCGCGGAGAGTTGCCGGCATGCCGAAGCCTGCGCGCGCTGAGATCAGCGCGCCCAGGCTTCAGCGGACCTCTCCGCGAGCAGCGGCAGCGCTGCCGCTGCTCGCGGAGAGTTGCCGGCATGCCGAAGCCTGCGCGCGCTGAGATCAGCGCGCCCAGGCTCCGCGGACCTCTCCGCGAGCAGCGGCAGCGCTGCCGCTGCTCGCGGAGAGTTGCCGGCATGCCGGAGCCTGCGCGCGCTGAGATCAGCGCGCCCAGGCTTCGCGGACCTCTCCGCGAGCAGCGGCAGCGCTGCCGCTGCTCGCGGAGAGTTGCCGGCATGCCGAGAGCCTGCGCGCGCTGAGATCAGCGCGCCCAGGCTCGCGGACCGGAGATTTCCCTATGGGCTTTCGTCTTGCGAAGCAAGCCCATAGGGAAATTCGTTTTGCGAAGCGCCTCCAAAACGGAAAACCCTTTCGTCTAGCGGGTTTTTCGTCTTGCGAGGCGTTCGTCTTGCGGGGCACCACTGTACTCACCTTCACTCTCATTTTTTTCTAGCGCATGAGCGATACAAAGGATGCTGAAGCTCTCTTCTCTCTCATTGTAGAAAGTTTCCTCAAAAAGAACAGGCACTGAGCAACGAGGGCTGAAGCCAGCCCCAAGGATGATCAAGCTTCCTTGTATGAAGACTTCCTAAAGGGACAGGAGGAAGGGAAAGGCAAATGAAAAAAGATCAATATCAACGTGAGCAGTATGCAAGCAGAACAATTATTTAGGAACAGTGGTTAGTCATGCAGATTTTGAGAAAGATAAGGTAGCTTCTCCAAAGCAAGACAGTTGCAATCCAAAAGTTAAAACACACTACTCTGCTTTTGAAATGGTATTACAGAATTGATTTTTAAATGTTTGATGGAAGGGCAAGATTGTCCATCAGTTTTAGAGTAAGAAGCCTTCTCTGTTTGAGCTCTTAAAGCATTACTGTTGTATTCCTTTAGAATTCCTTTATTCCACTGAACTTCATGAGGCTGAAGAGTGGGCTGATGCCTCCACCACTCTCAATGCAAGACTGCACAGGATCCCTGTCCTTAAAATACTTTTTGTACCTTTCCATTCACAGTTTGAAAGTTTTCTTCCACAGACTTCAGAACGTAGGAGTCAAACTGGCAAGCTGAGATGCTGCTGCTTGAAAGACTTCCTTTGCATGGAACTAGCACCTAAAGTAGTAGTAAACATGGAGTCAGGTGCATGCATGCACGCACACACACAAAACCGATAAATCCTTAAAGTATTAACATTTTGCCAGACCACACTATTTTAAGATGCCAAGTTTTGAAATTAGGCAGTAATGTAGTACAGATCAAGAAACCATTACTCACCGGGAGGTGATCTTCAATTACCACAAATGAGGACAGACCATGACATGGTGCAATGGGCTGGGGGAAGGAATACTATATTGTGGGAGGCCACGAGAGCCACCACTTCATATCTCAAACCCTTAATACTTTGACGCAATGTTTTGTATCCCACCAAGTCCTACTCAGAGTAGACCTACTAAACTTGACAAACCTAAGTTAATCATGTTCATGAACTTCGATGGGTCCACTCTGTCCAGGAGTAGCATTGGACACCACCCAGAATTTCCTCCAAGGGCAGCCATACACAAGTTCAGAGAAGAATAGATTGCACCAAGCAAGTACCTTTGTAAACCATTTAAAACTTTGTTGATTTAAAAATTCTGGATTCTCCATGTAGAGTCATCAAAAGATATTCTCATAACAGGACTAACTCTTGTGGCAACCATTTAAAAGCACCTCACTGAGTGGTCTCTCTACAACTATGCATAGCTCCTCCACTTTTTCTTTTTTAAACATTTTAATTTTTTTTACACAAAACTTATCTTTAGAATAAGGAATTGGCATCAAGCAACACCCTCCTCCCATTCCCAAAGATGCCTCCACTTTAATGCTTTTGTCATATGTGCAACATGTGTGGTCAGATGGTACAAAAAGCAAGGAAACTTAATAGTATACCACAGCAAAGGTGTAGTTTGCCCATTTTTCCACATCTGTTAAATAGACCCTCTGAACCCGAAGTCCGAACTCATTCCCTGCCAAGCTGTAGGACCCATTTTCTAAAGGCATCAAGTTTACTTACAATTCCGTGGAATTCTGCAACTTTCCTGCAGAGATCAGGACGTCGTTTCTGCATAGCTAGATAAAAAGGGTTCTTCAAGAGGTCTTCATCATACACAGCCATATGGACCCCCCAAGAATCCAATTTAGAGACTTTCTAGAAAGCAGAGAGAGAGAGAGAGAGAGAGAGAGAGAGAGAGAGAGAGATCTCCGTGGTCAAAACCCAATTGCTACCATTAGTAACCAGAAGAAAGACACTTCCCATCATTCTTCCCACATACATAGGCTGCAATCCTATAAGCACTTACATCAAAGAAAGCCCTATTGAACTCAATGGCACTTGCTTACATAGGATTGCACCACAATACCCCTCTCAACCATTTGCATAATTATGTACCACTATTTCCATGTACACAATTATATAGAAGAGTATGAAAAAGTCAAATTCTAGAGGGACTGGAGAAAATGGTGCATTTAGGTCCAACTCTAGTATTAGGCAGAGTGAGAAGGCAACTGTTTCAGGCAGAAAATGTTGGGAGGCAGGGAACAGTATGCAACCTGTGTGTGCCAAGGAATCTGCTCTGCGCCCCCTCCAAGCTAAGTGTTGCTGCCTTCAGGGGCAGTGGAGGCAGCTGCCCCATCACCAGTGTTGAAGAAAGTCAACCAACAGTTCGGTAGGTTTCTGCATATGGACAGGAATGGGTGCCACCCCATCCTTTTCCCCCCTCAAGCAGCAAAATGTCCTGGGTGTTTTCCAGACTATGTGACAGGAGACCAGGGGTGTTTGTTTCTATGCCTTGGAATAGGTGTCACCATCCCAAATCAGTCCCTTGTAACACCAGACACCAGGGATCCACCAGTCATTCACTTTCCTCTTCTAAAGGGACTTCTCAGTAGAGACTGTTATCCCCAGTTGGATTTTAAATTGTGCATATATATATATATATATATATATATATATGCAATTGTCATTGTTTTTATATATGCAGTTGTTTTACTACTTTTTACTAAATTGGAAATGATTCCTGAATAAAACCATTAGTATTCTTATTTATTAATTATTCACTGGCCCCTGATGGATCAGAAACAGTTTAGACCAACTACTTTCCCGTATTGCACCATAAAGGAAACACTAAGCTCTGCTTCAATATATAGCTGAAGGTTTTGAAGTATGAAAAGGAAAGCAAGAAGACCACCATACCAGAGGACTGACTACAGCCTTTGTCTATGCTTCTATTGTATACTCAAGTTTTAATTTCTCTTCTTGCCAGGGACAGTTAAAACCATGCTCAAGGCAGTTTACAACATGAAAAAATACATACCGTATTGGCCTGAATATATGCTTCACTTTCCCCCCCAACTTCTGACCATATGAAGTTAAAGTGTGGCTTATACAGTATTCGCAACCTTACGGTATGCAGCCAGGAGCGCGGGGCAAACAGTGTCAGTCGCGCAGCAAAGAGGCACCCGCCCCGTGCATAGTCCCCTGTCCTCTCCCCCAAGGCCAGGAGAGAGCAAGGAAGGGGAAAGGCCATCAGCAACACAGCGCAGCCCCCCAGTATGCAGCCAGGAGCAATGAGGAATGGAGCGGCTTATATTCAGGTATTTTTCCTTTTTTTCTCCCCCCCCCTCCAATTTTAAAGGTGCAGCTTATATTCAAAGCAAAACAAAACAAAACAAATAAAACCTTAAAAAGTACACAATCAAATTGAACAATTGCCACATATATAATAATAAAGATACAAAATAAATATACAAAAAATTAAAATCAGTAACAGCAACAACAACTACTCCTAACAATACCCCAGCCCAATAGTTTGTTGGCCCTCAGCTTTTGTAGCAGGCATCTGTCATGGCCCCACCCTCCTAGACCAGGTGGGGAAAGGCCTACAAGGCAAGGAGCAGGTCTTCCAAGACTCACAACCAAGCCTTCAGTCTCAAGTCATGTTCAACCCTTCCCAACCAATCTTGCCCACTTCAGAATCCATCCTAGAATCTTAAGTTTCCTATTCCCTCCATTTAAAAAACAAAACACCGGTAGGGTCTATTCATGGTATTTTGCTTCCTTGGGTGAAAATTTAGTTTGCCAAATCCCACCACCACCACCACCACACAAAAATGTTGTAAGTGAACAGGGACCACAGGTCCCCCCCCCCATAAGGGCCCCTAAGCAGAAGCACCTTTTCCCCATGCCATTCAGTTGTATGGCTCCTGTTTTAGAGGAAGAGAAACCACCTACAACCAGGCTTAAAGATTTCTCATCTGAGGCCCTCTCTCTGCCCCAGGGGTGGGGAACTGGATCCAACTGGCAGGCCCACTCTCCATGGACCACTTGGACAAGTGGGAGTGCCTGCCTACCTGTCAATCATCTGACATCAGGTGATCCAACTCTGAACCCAAGGATCAGGAGTGCACTCCAAGCATGCCCCACAATGCTCCCTTTGCAGCCCAATCTTTAATTCAAGCCTGTCTTCCTTTCCAGTTGTAATCTGGTCCTTTTTTAATTTGGCACCTTTTTCTTGTTGCTGCACACTCAGAAAGTGCCCGCAACAGGAATGGCACAATCAGAAGAGCATTTATTATTACTAAAGCTATTACCCATCATTCACCAGCAAGTAAAATGCGGTCTTGACTATGCTACCACTCAGTGGATTTGTAACTGGCTGACTGACCGAACCCAAAGGGTGCTCATCAATGGTTCCTCTTCATCCTGGAGAAGAGTGACTAGTGGGGTGCCACAGGGTTCTGTCTTGGGCCCGGTCTTATTCAACATCTTTATCAACGACTTGGATGATGGACTCAAGGGCATCCTGATCAAATTTGCAGATGACACCAAACTGGAGGGGGTGGCTAACACCCCAGAGGACAGGATCACACTTCAAAACGACCTTGACAGATTAGAGAACTGGGCCAAAACAAACAAGATGAATTTTAACAGGGAGAAATGTAAAGTATTGCACTTGGGCAAAAAGAATGAGAGGCACAAATACAAGATGGGTGACACCTGGCTTGAGAGCAGTACATGTGAAAAGGATCTAGGAGTCTTGGTTGACCACAAACTTGACATGAGCCAACAGTGTGACGCGGCAGCTAAAAAGCCAATGCAATTCTGGGCTGCATCAATAGGAGTATAGCATCTAGATCAAGGGAAGTAATAGTGCCACTGTATTCTGCTCTGGTCAGACCTCACCTGGAGTACTGTGTCCAGTTCTGGGCACCACAGTTCAAGAAGGACACTGACAAACTGGAACGTGTCCAGAGGAGGGCAACCAAAATGGTCAAAGGCCTGGAAACGATGCCTTATGAGAAACGGCTAAGGGAGCTGGGCATGTTTAGCCTGGAGAAGAGGAGGTTAAGGGGTGATATGATAGCCATGTTCAAATATATAAAAGGATGTCACATAGAGGAGGGAGAAAGGTTGTTTTCTGCTGCTCCAGAGAAGCGGACACGGAGCAATGGATCCAAACTACAAGAAAGAAGATTCCACCTAAACATTAGGAAGAACTTCCTGACAGTAAGAGCTGTTCGACAGTGGAATTTGCTGCCAAGGAGTGTGGTGGAGTCTCCTTCTTTGGAGGTCTTTAAGCAGAGGCTTGACAACCATATGTCAGGAGTGCTCTGATGGTGTTTCCTGCTTGGCAGGGGGTTGGACTCGATGGCCCTTGTGGTCTCTTCCAACTCTATGATTCTATTCTATGATTCTAGGTCCCAGGCCAGGTTACAACCATTTAGAATTCAGAATGGTTAAAATAGATTACAGCTACATAATAGGGTGGACCTTAAAACACACATCTCAGATGCCAAAGGTGAGGGCAAAGAGGCACATACCATATTTTTTGCTCCATAAGACGCACTTTTTTCTTCCTAAAATGTAGGAGGAATTGTCTGTGCATCTTAAGGAGCAAATGCGTGGTCCCTGGAGACAAATTGCCCAGGGGCAAAAAGCAGATCATGCTTTTTTTTGTAAGAGGGAAGTGGGTGTTGAAACAAAGCCACTGATCATTTGCTGATTGGGGAGAAAGATAAGGGATGCTAGAGATAATGGAGGCTGCCTGGGAGGGAGGAGGAAAAGACAGCAAACTTGCAAAGGGGGGAAACAGGAAGACTAAAGCAACAAGGAGAGAAATTAGAAGAAAAGGAGGAGCAAAAAACTGCTCCAGCTAAGGAAAAGTCACTACACTAAGGCAAACAAGAGGGAAGGGAGTGTTGAAAGGAAACAGCTGATCGGTGGGATTGGAAGAGAGATAAGGGATGCTAGTGGTAGCTGCCTGGGAAGGGGGGGGAGGTAAAAGCCCATGGATCCTCAGGATTTTTACATTGGGTCACCCCAAATTCACCATCAGATCACATAGCAAGTCCATGGCTACAGCCTGCACCAAAAAAATCACGCACCCACTGTTTCCTGGGGCTGCAATGGCGCAAAAATGTGGTTACAAAGCACACATCCACATGGATCCTCAGGATTTTTGCATTGGGTCACCCCAAATTCACCATCAGATCACATGTCTGTGGCCACAGCATGAACCACAAAAATCATACATCCACTGTTTCATTCAGAATATTTTTGTTCTTGTTTTCCTCCTCTAAAAACTAGGTGCGTCTTATGGTCAGCTGCGTCTTATGGAGCGAAATACGGTACTTAAAAGGAAGTTCTTTATTCTTCCTTTACAATTTGGCCCTAAGGGCTGATATGTCCTGTGCCTGACAGTATCTCATCAGGTGATGGACAGGTGGGCATGGCATGGTCCAAACCATGCTGTGGGCTAAATGGGGAGACCAGGCAGACCTAACTAGGATTCCCCACTGCTACTCTACCCAGTGCATGAGACTATCAAGAGTGCTGGAGCCTCTTGATAAAGCCTATTGATTAGGACAGGCCCATTTCAAGAAAATTTGGAGTTCAGAATCCCTGTATAGTCTTGAATAGATCAAGCAAAGATGCCCAGTTTGCAGCTGCCAAGAGAAACCTGAAGGATGCCACTAACTAGTAAACACAACATAACTTTATAAGCCAAGCAGTACCAACAGCTACAATCATTCTAAGGGCAAAAGCGATTGGTGCTTTTTAATTGTGAACGCTGCTGCTTAGTTATAAGTGTAGCATCCATAGCTCATGGCCAAATGCAGATGGGATCATAACGCAAATAGACAGTGATATAAAGTAATTTTGATATTGACAGATGGTAGCTCTGATGGGCCAGAAGAAGTAGTTCCAAGTGATGGCAAGACAGCAGGCAATTCCCAGCATATGGGATTACACGCTGCAAGTGACAAGCCTAAACTGCTTAGTAGCAACAGAACAGATACAAGCCAAGCCACACTAACAGTTGCTCCCAGAACCAGCTAGCAGACTACATCTTCTCTCCAACACTTCATTCTTCCTTAGTTTACTTTATGCTGCGGGGTGTTGATGGACATACCCATGGTCAGCCTCCTGGTGACCCAGCAACCAATCAGAGCTGGTTAAAACAATTCAAAACTTGACAGTTAAAACTGTTACCGTAGATAGGGGTTGACGACCTGCAGAGACAGGGACCAGTTCTGATGGGGATTTTGGGGTTATCTTGGCACAGCAAACTACTATGATTCCTGAAGAGTAAAAGTCCTAGAAGGGGTTGTGAGAGTGTTCCCCCTGGGGTAGTAATACTAATAGCCATTCTAGATGGAAATAGTCTAACTTGAGAAAAGGTTCAGAGAAGAGTGCTGAATAATGTAGAATATGGAAAAACAGGGGAATATGTCAGATGCAACCCTAGGCCCCCTATCTGCCCTGGATTCACACTTAGCAGGTGTGTTGTGATACCTTTAGCATTGCATTACGTCTTTTCTCAGAGTGGCTCAGGAAAACAGAGGGTTATCCCCTTTTTACAGTCAACACCACTCTCCAAAGTAGGGTAGGCAGAGGGATTGCAATTAGCCCAAGTTCATAGAAGAAAATTTGAACTAGAGCCAAAGCCATGTTAGACGTTTAGAAGAAAACCACATGACCCAGCCACCAGAAAAGCATGTGGAGGAATCACTTGATTAATGCGCTTGCATATAAAAAAGGCTCCCTCCTTATATAAGGAAGTACTAGCCTAGCCCTCTCCTCCTAGAACATTAACATGGAAGATTATGTATCCCTGAACCTATATTCTTATACCCCAGGAAGGATTATCACTAGATTATTTTTTTTAACATGTGTTACTGGATGTGGTCATGTGCCGATACCACACAATATTACCCTGCTTAGCAAACAAACATTTCACAGCATGTCTAGCAGGTCACATTTGTTGGATGGTTCTCGCATAAATGCCACAAGCCCACCTCTAAACAGGTTTAGCAAAGCCACTTCCGGCCTGCCCAAGAGGTGGGGTTGCGGGCTTCACGCCCACCCCCCACGTGAGCGGGGGCTGGTTTCAGCCCCCGCGAGAGCAGGGGAATCCCGGCCGTGTCTGCCCTATTTAGGGCCGGTGCAGAGGGGGCTCACCCTCTTTTCGCCAGCTAGCCCCCACGTTTTCCCGCCCTCCCTCCCTTTAGGTAGGCTTTAGGTAGGTCTCTGACTTTGCTATGGACTTCGGTCTGTCGCCGCATGGGGCATGGTAGGAATTTTTCCCAATTGGCAATTTACAGCCATTTGGTTTTTCGCCTACCTCGTAGCAACTCGTCACAACTCTTCAGCATTGGCGGTAGGCATTGGTAAGAAGGGCTTAAGAGGATGTGGGGGGGGGAGGAACGCCATCACCTCCCCCCAGTGAGCAAAGGGTGGTCCGTTAAAGGACTCCGGGGGGCGTGGCCCTGTCCAAAGCCTATGGAGGTGTGGGCCAAAGGCACGCCCCCAAGCGGTGACCCGGGGGAGCTCCTAGTTGACGTGCCTCGGCGGGAGACTCCCCCGATATAGTGTTAACCCTTCCCCGTGTCTCCAGCAAATGGGCTGGAGCCGGATAGTCATTAGGACCAATGCCTAAGCCAATGCCTCTCATTCCTGAATTCAATAAAGTTGTGGCCTAATTCACCCATTTAACCTTAAACCATGGTGTCTCGTGTCTTTATCCTGGTGGGGGGCGGGAACTCGCCACGCAATGCAAGACAATCAAGCATGCTTTCAGGAAATATTTCAAGGTCACTTGTGTGGATGAGTCATCTTCTGACATTGTTAAGTTTATGGGATGGCTAAAGAAGGGTCTGTTTTTGCATCTGTTAAGCAGAGCATTTTCACAATGACTAAGGCAGTTAAACTAAACTTCAATGGATCCATTCTTTTACAGCTACAGCATCAAATGACTGGGGGAAAAGGAAAGCAAATGATCTCAAGTACATCCCACAACCATGTCAGACCCCAGGATATCCTGCAAAGTTTGAGGCAAAAGCCTAGTAGTTCTGTCTATGAAAAACATACCCACTTAATATTCTTGTATATCCCAACACATAACCAAGTTAATTTAAAAACTGTACTATTTGATAAGACTATTCTCTTACATCAGAGATGGGAAGCCTCAGGCCCAGGAGCCAAATGCAGCCTTCTAGGGCCCCTTTATCCAGCCATTGGCCTCGCCCCAGGCCACACACCCTGGTTTTTAGGCAACACCCCTCACTAGCTCTGCTTTGCATTCCTCCTTGAGTGTTTTTGCTGGCAGAACTATGTTCCTGATTTCTGATAATGCTTCTAGCTTGTGTGAATGAAGGACAGAGAGGGGTGTGTATGTGTAGAATTTAGCCTCTTGTACAAAGATAAAATTCACATTTGTTGCTCTGCCCACATTTGCCTATGGCCAATCCCACAAATGGCATGTGAATGTGACACTTGAGCTGAAAAGTTCCCTGCCTAAGCTGTACATGGCTTTACAGCTTCTGGCCTACTACTCTTAATGGCCAGCTGATAGGAACCAATTGCTATGAGATAGTCAATCATCCTTCCATTGTGTCTGAAGAGATAGCCAAAGATTCAAGGTGGTGACTCCACACACATCAGTTAATGGAAGGGGCTGAGCAATAGTTTGGGCATAAATGAGGCAGAGCAGTCAGAATTAGCTAAATGCTAGAAGTATATCTGGGGTCTGGCCTGTTCTCTGGGGATTTGATATGGTGTAATAGATCTTCTACTTCATGGGGTGTCTGCCCTTTCTCTGCATTCCTGTTTTACTTGTTTATTTGTAGATTGAGCAAAGAAATACAGTTAAGCGCTCCAATCCAGAGAAAGCTAAACTCAGAGCAAGCTACCCCATAACTGCATTGCTCAGGGAAGTGAAGAGTCCATGCCACAAAGGCTGGGTATGCACTCCCATCTTTTCTGAATCTAATGCACACCCACCGCTTATTTGGGAAGTCATGTACACACAATGTTGGCTCCAATCTATATCTATCTATCTATCCTGTTGCATCCTGTGAAATTGAGAAAAAGAAGACCTAGCTGTATTTTAAGATGCCAATGTTTCTAAAGTCAGTATTTTGGCTTCAGACCAAGAAGTTTATCTCCAATGCTCACTCCCACCTTTTGAAAATCATTAAGTTCTAATTGTACTCACTTTTATTTGGCCCACTGGTGGTAACCTTCTCATCTATGATGTCAGACAGATCCCCTCAGGAAATCCTCTATATTATTATATCATCATCATCATTATTTGACTAGCAGGAAGTGCCCAGTGCTGCATGGGTATTTTTAGAAACCTTTTTTTAAAATGGATAATGCAATTTGTGAGTTTGGACCTGTGACACCAAAAATAAGGTGCTGCCAATCCAAACTCATGTTTTGGTCCACCATCTTGATTCAAAATGGTGCCTGGCATCTAAACATCAATGAAGACTGCAGTCCCCATCTTGGGAAGGAATGTTTGTGCCAAGTTTAGCAACGATATCTCAAGAGGCGTCTGAATATATAGAGAAGAAACAGAAGACAAGACAAACCACTTTCCAAAATATACAGTGAATTGATTGATTGACTGATTCATTCACCGCTTTAGTGGTTTACAAATATAAAACCAGTTTAAAAAGGATGACCATGCATAATTAAAATATGCAATAAAACAATGTCATAAAACATCAAAATATTCATAATTAAAATGCAAAACAAACAAAGCCTTTAAAACAACCTATATATCTATAAATACACAAACAATTAAGTATGGCTTCCTCCCCATTCCCCAAGCTACTTAGGAAACTCACAGCATCAGGAAAGTGCCTGCTGCTCTCAGTGCAGTAAATGAAGACCACCTGTAGGGCCACTTAAGAGATTTGTAACACCACAGATCTATGCAGCTAATATCTGATGAAGTTCATGCTGCCACTTAACTTACAAAACAGGCATGCAATAATGCAACTTGATAATTGAGCCACGGAGTTCAGAGTGCAGAGTTTGTGGTCTTTCAAAACAGACTATTCAAAACAGACTATTTACAACAAGAAGCTGTAGTGTGGGTGGAATGCTCTGGTCACACTGCCATCTTCCATAATACTCTGCTCCCGCTCCCTCTGCCTCTCCCTCTCCCTCACTCACCCACACACCCTGATCAGCATTATGTGGTCAGTGAGGACACAATCTTCACTGGGCTGCGGGTCTGGGGGTGCGCCCTTATCCCCCACCCCCAAAATAAGTTGGCTCAAAACACTGATGAAGTTGCTGCTTTGACAAACTTCAAAAGCAGTGTTCGTGTAAGCTCTTTCCGAAAAAGTCAGTTGACAAGATGTGGTGCCAATTTAAACGCCCAGCCACATGACTTATCAACGTTCTACTTAGAAATGCTCCATGCATAAGTTTTGGTAACTCAAAACTGATGCTCCTATGTTGTTTTGTTAACTGCATACAAGGAGTGTGCTTGCTTCCAAGCAGCCACTGCTTTCTAACACACAAGCTTTTAGCATAATGCCTGCCCCTATCTTGGAAACAAAACTAGTGAATCTAAGCAAAACAGCAAGTGGAACTCAACCTCCATGTAGATAAAAACCCTCAACTGATAAAAAGGTAGGGTACCAAACCCCAACATTTAACTTTAAATAAGGGTGTGTGTGAATGCTAGTAAATGAAGAATTGGGCTTCTGCTTGGATGTGAACTATACTATTCTTCACACACAAGTCATCGTGTCCCCCACCCCACTCCCAGAATTCGTCAAAACTCTTAATAAAAATGCTTTGTTACACTTGTTTCTTTGTATTATGCAAGGCATCTTGAAAATTACAAATAAAAGTTTCACTTTGAGAACATGGCCTACATATCACTTAAGTCATTGTGTTCTCACCCATGTTTACTCAGTAGCAGGTGCCTGCAGTGGGATTTATTCCTAAATGAGTGTGTCTAGAATTGCAGGCATGCAACCCAACATAAATGCATGTTTGTTCAGAGTCAGGCCCCCACCAAGTTCAATAGGGGGCTTACTCTGAGCAGATACTATGCATTGCCTCCTTAAAAATCCTATACTTATTGGAAATAAGATAAAACAGAATTTAGTGGACCTCGCATCAAAGCAGACAAGAGTAGGATTCTAGTCTCTTGAACACCAGTCTATGGAATGGTAAAGCCAGTCACAATGCAACTCTATACATGCCTACACAGCAGGAAGCTCCACTGGACTTACTCACAGGTAAATTGATATAGGGTTACTGTCTTAATTGCTTAATTACTGTCTTTGCCTGCTAGAAGGATACTATGTCATGGTGGGTATTTTGGAATATGTGCTTTTAGCTACTTTACATAAAAGTTATCAATATCCTGTTTTCCATCAAAAAAAATTAAGTTTACCCATGTATTTATTTATGTGAATTTAAAGCATTTATGAACTGCTTAATGTTTCAAAAATGTCCAAGGGATTCAAACATGTCCTTCCACAGAGGAGTTACAGAGAAGCCCACACTGGAAAGACTGCAGACCACAACTTCCTGTGTGGACAGAAAGTACCTACATTGCAAGAACTCCTCTTTTCAGAATCCTATGCATAACTACTTGGGGGCAAGCCCCATAGAGCTCAGTGGCATTTGCTTCAAAGTAAAACATGCAGGATTGCACCGCTGCTCATTCCCGATGAAGTCTCCAGTTATAATCCCCGTGGTTGACTCGGCTTAATATCTATTACCAGCAAGGGACGTTATGTAGCCAGAAACTCATTTCAAACACATCTTCAGCTGCCTATTTCTTCTCCAGTCAAGGATATTTCAGGCCACACACCAAACACTTTCCAGGGACTGCCTCAAGAGAAGCGATAAGCCCCTAACGCTTCTTCCCCTCTGAACTTTTCTGCATCACCCTGCAACTTCACTCCCTTTGCAAAGCAGCACTTACTGAAAAGACACGTCCGAGCACCCCAACGCCCGAAAGGCAGGAAGCGGAAAGGAAGCAGCTCACGACACAAGCGACATTGGGCTGCAGGGCCCCCCAGCTCCCTTCCAGCCGCCTGCCTCCAAGAAGCGCCCGCACTGGCTCAGGCTGAGGACCAAACCCCGCAGGAGAGGCCTGGAGGGAATCCGCTGGCCGGGACGCCTCTCGGCCGGCGCTCAAGCGCTTCAAGCTCTGGCCCCCCCGGACTTCCTGGCTCACTTGCCTCCTGAGCCACCGAGTGCGACCAGGTCTCCTTGGCGGCCGCCCTCGCTCGCCGCCTTCCTGCGCCCCCGGCCCCCCTGCAGCCGCCCAGAGCCTTGCCTCTTCCTCGCCAAGCCACCGAGGCGGGCACTTCCCAGCAGGCCAGCCAATCCGCCGGGCCGTTTCCACAGCCGCTTCGACCACGTCTGCTCAGTAAGCAGCCCGAGAAGGTGGAGCTTGGGGGGGGGGGGGAAGGCTCACCGAAAAGCAGCAGCAGGAGCAGGCGGAAAAGCAGATGCGGCGTTCGGCGGAGAGAAGAGGAAGAGCAGGAGCCCGGCGGTGGTGGTGGCGGCGGCGGAGGCGACTCTGAAAAGGCGGGCTGGGGGCCCCTGTGATTGGCTCCAGAAGCTCCAGCTGTGCGCTATTTAAGGCCGGCAGCCCGGCGCCTGCTCGGGAGCCCGAGCGCGCTTAAAGGGAGCCGGAACGGAGCTCAGTCTCACGAGGAAGGCACAAGTCAGCGAGGGCGGACAGCTAGCTCTCTTGACACCTGTCTTTCAGCTCCTGCGGTGGCGTTTCCTAAGGATGCTGGAGAGCAACCAGACCAGGGCGAGGTTCTTTCTCGCTCGCCCAAGATCCAGGCGTTGCGCTGACTCCAGCAGGCGGTGAGCGGCGCGGGCTGTGGGCGATCGGGGGGCTCTGCCATGTGCGCGGGGTCCGGAGACGGAGCCACCGGGGCTGAGCTTCGAAGGAGGGGCGGCGGGGGGAGGAGGAGCAGCGCGTAGGGCCGTGAGAAGCAGCGGCAGCCCGGCTGCCCCGGCCGTCGCGCGCCATGGCGAAGGATGAGTGCAAGGCGCTGCTGGACGCGCTGAGCAAAGTGACGGCCTGCTACCGGCACATGGTGCTGACCATCGGCGGCACCTCGGACTCGCAGAACCTGCGCGAGGAGCTCAAGAAGACCCGGCAGAAAGCGCAGGAACTGGCGGTGGCCAACCGCAACAAGCTCACGGCCGCCTTGCGGGACAAGACGGTGAGCAAAGAGGACAGGGCGGAATTCGAGCGGCTTTGGGTCCTCTTCTCTACCTGCTTGGAGATCCTGGAGACCGACATGCGGCGCGCCCTGGAGTTGGGCCAGGAGTTCCCCCTCAACGTACCCAAAAAGCCGCTCATCCAGACGGGGATGAGCGGCGGCACCTCCGGGGTGGCCGCCCGGGCCATGAGCGTCCAGAACATGAAATACGAGGCGGACAACAACATCGACGTGGTGGATTTGAAGGACCTGGAGAACGAGATCAACCAAGTGGGGGAGATGATGTACGAGATGGAGATGAAAGTCAGCGTCCCGCAATGGACGGTGGAGGCCAAGCAGGACCCCGGGGCGGAGCTCAAGTCCACCATCAGCGTGGGCGCCTCCTCCATCGGCATGATCGAGGTGGAGGAGAGCAAGGCCTTTTGCGATATCAGCAAAGTGCTGGCCGGCATCATCTTCACGGCTGTCCTCCTCATCGCCATCATCCTGGCCGTGTGTGTGGCAAAGCTCTCCTAAGGTGGGGGATGCCAGGTTCAGGAGAAGAGTTTGGCTTTTCTTGATGAGGGAGAAAAAGGAGAGGCGTTTGTTCCCCCAGATTATGGTTTTCCAAGCGGGAGGGAGGAGGCGAGTATGAGATGGGATCCCTGGGCCGGAATAAGGGGCAGGGGATGTGTTCTGTTCAAGTCCTAAGCCTGAGGATTTGTGCGATATTCTAGCTTTAAAGAACAGTCCATCTAAGGTATGTGGGTATTACAACTCCCAGCCATAGTAGGGATTTGTTCGCTATTTATAGATGATTATTCTCAGTAAGCAGGAAAAAAAAGTATTGTTTGTGAGTAGGTTCTACTGTTGGTCCATGTTTACAAACTGATTACAAATTGCACATGATTTGGAGATGGGAATTAATTCAGTGGCAAAATGGAGACACCTATAAATTTACATATAATTTCCTACAAACATAAATGATGTTGTGGTCCTGAGCTGAAGATTTGTTTTCTCTCTCTAAAAGAAGTGTGCTTTTAGCCCTGGGTGCTAAGCCTGATAGTATTTATTTTATTTTATTTTTTGGTGGGAGGGGGAGTTTAGAACCAAATGGTTTAAGAGATCTGAACTTCTTTTGTTTTATCGGAACTAATTGCACTTTGGCACAGCAGACACTGTGAAAGGCAATCCAAATCTGCAGAAGAAAGATTAAGCACCATTTACAGAGACCTTAAGAAGCTCTGTGTTCAATTCACTGTTGCATAACATATTCTACCACTTATAGTTTGCTGTGGGGTAGAACCAGTTCAGCTTCTTTGTTCACTGTCAGTCAAGTTTAAATGCCCGTTCGGACCAAATCTTCCAGAAAGGATGCTGCATTATACCCCCCTTATACAGTGTGCACACATGCTTCATTATATATAATGCATATATCACATACCCACAGTAGGATTTACTCCCTAGTAGGTGTATTCATTGCCTTGAAATCATGTATGGATACACATACCTGAGCTGGGAGCAAGTCCCAGTGAATTCAGGATTTAATTCTGAGTAAATAAGATCGCACTGCACAACTCCCCTGGTTTGTGCATGGAAGGTGAACAGTGGTGTTTCTAAAACAGTGAAGCTAGAGTGCAGCAAGATCCCAAGTATGTTTACTCAGAAGTAAACTCTACTGAGTTAAATAGGACTTGCTCTCTGGTAAATGTGTTTAGAATCGAAGATTTAAATGCAGGCTCTGGCTATAATCCTGAGCATACTTATAAAGAAGATTCCATTTATTTCAGTGGGACTTTCATATAATGTGTTTCAGATTTGGGGTGTCAATGTGGCCTAAAAACAAGCCACTATCACTGATTTTTTAATGCTGTAACAGGACATTAAAACCTATGAATCTGCCTTGTGCCAAGTCAGACCATCTAACACAGCATTATGTTTCTTCGCTCACTGGCAGTGGCTCTCCAGGGCTTCAGACAGGGGTCTTTCCCAGGCTTACCTGGAGATTCCAGAGAACCCTTTCCTGTGCTTGAGCTCCACTCTGATTCTATGGTGCAAAGAAGAGGCATGATCTCACGTTGACAGTCTGAAGTTTACACATGTACATCTCCTATTACTGTTAATGAGATTTACATATGTACCTGCCAGAGCCAAGAAGATTAGAATCAATCTTATAATCCTGACATACCCAAGACCTGGCACAAATGTGACTTGGATGGCAGCATTTGAGCACAGGGCTGTTGGAGCTAGACAGTGGAGCTAGATAAACATTATGTAAAAGAGAGCATTGCTCCTCTTTTAAGCTGTCTGTGGAACAGTATCTTTAAAGGGGATGCATGAGGCATTCCTGTGCAGACAAGGCCCTATCTGAAATGGCTTTTAAAGCAGAGTTTCATTTCAGTCACAGCAGATTGTCAAGAACAGCAGTTCCACTCATTCAAACTACAAAGGTGTTACTGAACATTTCTAACCTCTTTAGCAGCAATTAGCAGTTCCAGGCAACAAAGTTAAGCAACTGAAAGTGTGGTCCCATCCCTGTCTACTTAGCAGTAAGTGAGACTTACTTCTGAATATACGTGCTTAGGACTGTATTGCTCATGTACACAAAACATGCTTCTCTACTTGCCCCTTGAATTAACTGAGTTAATTGAAGTGGTGAGAAGATTTACAGGTCAACCTCTTCAAACTTTTAAGTGCACAAGTCGGTGAAAACCTTAATCTGAACCCTTGGGTCTAACAAAGCCATGAGTTACAATTGTCCAGTGTCAGATTTCCTAGCAATGCTGATATGAGTTTTGGACCGGCATTGAGATAGTGATATACTTTGCATGATAGGATGCCCTAAGTTCCTTTGCACGAGTTCCTTAAGAGCTACTTCCACTTTCTCTATACCCATGATGGTGAACCTTTTTCAGCCCAAAGTTCACATTCCCTTCTGGGCAACTTTCTGGGGAGGATGTGTGGCCTCAGGAGAGTTCCAGTAGCTGCATAGAGAGACCTGGGGGCACATTTGGGCCCCAGACCTGAAGTTCACCCCTGCTCTAGACAGGACTGATCTACATGGTCTAACACTATGGGCTAGCTCATTACATTTAAATCAATTGGCTAACTCAAGAGCATCCACCCACCCAGCAACTGCTACAAGGCTAACAAGAATATATTGTGTGATTACTAAGAAGCAGGCAGCAGAATTTTTTACCCTGACCCTAAGTCACTTGGGCTAAGAGCACGAGTCTCCTATTGACAAATCTGTTAAGTTTTATTAATAGAGCTATCCTGAATGTAATACTTGGAATTAGGTCCCATTAATTTCAAAGGAACTTCCATATGGCATGTTTAGGATTAGTATGCTCGTCTCATTAATGTCCTTGCAAACTGGATACGTGCAACCCAGTTCTCTGTATATTTACATGGAAGGTTATGTTGGACTCAATGGATGTCGGCAAACCTAAAAACACTTGAAAGTTAGTCAACATTGGGATAAGTGGGACCTACATGCAATAGGATCAGGCTGCACAGCTGCAATGCTTTTTGTACTTACTTAGAAGTAAAGTCCCATTGAACATAGCTGGACTTTAACTTCTGAGACAACATGCATAGGAGGCGGGGCTGCCAGTGAAAATCTATAGGTTCTGCCTTCAAATGCATATACTTAGGTATGTACCTGGCAAATCTATTAAGACTAATGATTTACTGACCATTCTTGAACTCTTTCTATGTGAGTCCTACGTCATACCCACATTAGTTTCCTTAGAATTTTAAGTTTACACTTATTTACTTGTAAGCCAAAACTTAAAATTATCTGCATACAGGTAGACCATATTTCAAGTCAACTATGCTCAAGATTGACTTCTGTCCTACAGGGATTTTATGGAAAAGAATGCCCCGTAAGTATGCACAGAATGAGAGCCTAACTCTGTAACTTGCTTCTCTTTAGGAATGAACCATTAATCTTCCTAAATATAAGTTATCTGAGTAAACTGGCTCAGGCTACCCATTAACAGCAGTCTTGTTAGTAAAATTTGTGCTGCATGTTTGCAGGCAGCACTGGACAACAAGTCTTGGTTCTGCAGAGGTTGCAACCAGGCAAGACTTCAAAGCATGTTAACACATAAATAAATCCTCCTGTGTTCAATAAGCAAGACAGCAGCCTTAATTACTCAAGGTATCAAAAGTGTTTTGATATTTGATTGTAAATATGTGTTTAGTCCAAAATGGAATTGAGAGGTGGGATTTGGATTTTATGTATTTGATGTCAAAACTGTGTACTCATATTGGTGCTAAAGTACCTATCTCTGCATATGTAGATAGACTCAAATTGCTGCTATTGATCCTGTGTTCTGACCACTGTTTCACTTAAAACATTGTTCATGAGAGGTAGTGATGGCTGTCTTCACTGCTACAAGGGCTAGACCTTTTTCTTCAGTGTGATTCACAAACCTTGCACTTAAAGCTGGTCTGCAAATGGCATTATTAAGCTTGAGAGTGGGGGAACTGCATAGTTGGATTGCAGCTAGCAGTATTTTAATCAGAAACAGATTCTATATTCTTTGCTCATTTAGAACTCCAAGCGTTGCATTTGTTCTGGAACAAACAGGAAATCCGGATTAATAACTTTTTTTAGTTCCAACTTGGGTGTAGTCATTTCTCTACTCATCTTTGTAAAAGTTTCAGGTTTGAGATGTAAATCTATTATGCTGACATACAAGATTTGTTTTCCAAATGATCTAAGACACAGGATTGCCACTATCTAATTACCTAATGGGTCCACCATTAATCTCCCATGTACGCCCAGTGTAATCACATGCGCAATGTGACTTAGGCACAGCTGCCTGTCGCCTGGTTTACTAAGCTGACCAGATGCAAAGGGGGTCAAGACTCTTGTACCTTTAAATAGTGATATGGAAGAAGACATTTGACAAGTTTAGCCTGCTAGGCAGAAATCAATGGAATAAAATATAACAGCTAAAATTCTATGGAAATGTGAAAGACATGAGACACTGGAAGAACTTTATGACAGTAAGAGCTGTTCGACAGTGGAATGGACTCCCTTGGAAGATGGCAGTCTCTACTTCCTAAGAGGTTATTAAGCAGAGGCTGGATGGTCATCTGTCATGGATGCTTTAGTTGAGATTCCTGCATTGCATGGGGTTGAACTAGATGAGCATTGGGGTACCTTCTACAGTGCAATTCTATTATTCTGTGTCCTCTGCACTGGTCTCCCTATGGGCAATGAGAGCGGAAGGTAGCAATCATTCCAGCTTGTTTTGTGGGAATAAATTACTGTTGAATTATTAGAAGTTGCACTTCAGGCCATCCCAGTCAAAACTTGGTTTCACCAAATTCATGGACATTTGTCACTGCCAAAAATAAAAGTCCAGCACATCTCCAAACCCTCCAGAAGTTTTTTAAAGCCTAAGGGACATATCTTGATTGATAAACTGCTTTAGAGGGCATAAGAGAGCTTGAAAATGTTATCCATGTTTTAGAGACCATTTGTAAGTTAAAAGGTGAAGTGAGAAAAACCAGAAAGCTAAGTAGTAAGGACTTTTCATAATTTCCCTTTTTGTGGTAGAATTAATATATGTCCATTCACATATTTAAACTTTGTTTTGCATGAGCGTGCCTAGCTGTCCTGGAAATATTACATATTGCAGCAATACAAATTAGTTTCCACATTAAGTACTTCACTTTAAGCAACATAATTAAGCAAAGAGTTGCTAAGTAGTATAACTCCAGTAAATTTACATTATGGGTCTTTATATCCAAGTTGCTATAAAGCAAGGATAGGGAGCCTCTGGCCCAAGGGCCTAATGTGGCCCTCCAAGTCTCTGTCTAGCCGTTGTGACTTTCCCAACAGCACACCCCTTGCCCTTCATCAGCCCTGCTTCACATCTTTCAGTTTTTGCTTGGCCCAGAACAGGCAATTAAACGGCCATGTCTGTGAGCACTTAAAAAAGGACGCTGTGATTACTAAGACCCAGCATGGCTTTCTCAAAAACAAGTCAAGCCAGACGAATCTCTTTTTTGGTGTTTCAGGGGAATGCTGTGGACATAGTATATTTTGATTTCAGTAAGATTTTCCCATGATATTGTGGAGAAGTTGGTAATGGTTCCTTGTCATCCTGAAAAAAGTGACAAGTTGGTGCCACAGGATTCTGTCCTGGGCCTGTTGTTGTTCACCATCTTTATAAATGACTTGGATGAAGGAATTGAGGGTATGCTCATTAATTTGCAGATGACACCAAACTGGAAGGGGTAGCTAATGCTACAGAAGACAGAATTGGGATTAAAACTGACTTTAACAGATTAGAGAACTGGGCCCAAACAAACAAAATGAATTTCAATAGGGACAAATGTAAGGTTCTACACTTAGGCAAGAAGAACCAACTGCAAAAATATAAGATGGGGGACACCTGGCTTGCCAGTAGTATATCTGAAAAGGATCTAGGGGTCTCAGTAGACCACAAGCTTAACATGAGTCAACCATCTGATGCAGCAGTAAAAAGGTAGCACTAAAGGCTACGTCAACAGAAGTTTAGTGTCTAAATCAAGGGAAGTAATAGCACCACTATTCTGTCTTGGTCAGATCATACCTGGAGTACTGTCTCCAGTTCTGGGCACACCATTTAAGAAGGATAATGACAAGCTGGAATGAGTGCAGCAGAGGACAACCAAGATGATAAAGGGTCTGGAAACCAAGTCTTATGAGGAAAGGTTGGGGGAGTTGGGTATGTTTAGCATGGAAAAGAGGAGATATGAAGGCCATCTTCAAATATCTAAAGGGCTGTCACATGGAAGAAGGAACAAGCTTGTTTCTCCTCCAGAGGATAGGACCAGACCCAATAGATTTGTGTTACAAGAAAGAAGATTCCAATTGAACATTAGGAATAACTTTCTGGTGGTAAAAGCTCTTTAACAGTGGAATGGACTCCCTCAGGTGGTACACTCTCCTTCATTGGAGCTTTCTTAGCACAAATTGGATGGCCATCAGTCATGGGTACTTTAGTTGAGATTCCTTAATTCAGGCTTCCTCAACCTTGGCCCTCCAGATGTTTTGAGACTACAATTCCCAGCATCCCTGACCACTGGTCCTACTATCTAGGGATCATGGGAGTTGTAGGCCAAAAACATCTGGAGAGCCAAGGTTGAGGAAGCCTGCCTTAATTGCAGGAGGCTGGACTAGATGACCCTCAACTCTACAATTCTACGATTTATATCTTAGTGCTTGAGCCACTAGATTGTGATGTAAAGGTAAAGGTAAAGGGACCCCTGACCATTAAGTCCAGTTGTGACCGACTCTGGGGTTGCGGCGCTCATCTCGCTTTATTGGCCGAGGGAGCCGGTGTACAGCTTCCGGGTCATGTGGCCAGCATGACTAAGCCACTTCTGGCGAACCAGAGCAGCGCACGGAAACGCCATTTACCTTCCCGCCGGAGCAGTACCTATTTATCTACTTGCACTTTGATGTGCTTTCGAACTGCTAGGTTGGCAGGAGCAGGGACCGAGCAACGGGAGTTCACCCCGTCACGGGGAGTCGAACCGCCGACCTTCTGATTGGCAAGCCCTAGGCTCAGTGGTCTAACCTACAGCGCCACTCGCGTCCCAGATTGTGATGTACTGGATATATTTTACACACAAGATCACATTCGCTCGGGTTGCACATAACGGTAATCTGAACAATTTCTTGGCACAAATGTACAAGCATTTAGACTCCTAGAGGAGAGATTGCTGCCACTTTGCTCTTGGTCTAGTCTTCTGCAGCTGTGAGCTAAGCCATGGTTTAACCTAGTAAGTCATCTGACCCTGGGCTCATAGTTTGTCCCCTCCAGGCAAATCATAAGCTGTAAGCCAAACAAAACTCGGTTACAGCTCATGGTTTCTTGGGAATGAAACAAACCACAAGCCTTGTGTGATCGTCACACCTTGGTTCAGACAACATGCTGCAGGAATGAAGAAGCAAAGCAGCCACAATCTCCATTTGGACCAACCCATGGTTTGGCTTAGGTGTTATATATAAACTGGATCACAAATTTAAAGCAGAAGCTTGGCTTTTGTGTACGTACACACACACACACACACACACACACACACACTTTTAAAGGCCTGGTTATTTTCTTACGTTTACAGCCTTAGTAATTTTTAAGAATGTATATATTCACTGGAAAAGGCAGAGGGAGTCTCTTTTTTTTTGTAAAATAAGATTTTTAAAAAATCTAACTTTGCTGTATTTTACAGAGTATGACAAAGTAATGTATTACGACCATGATGATAGCCCAGTAATTATAAATACAGAGTGTGCAATATAAAAGGAAATAAGCACTTTTGATTTATAACATCCAGGTTTTACTTCAAAATGTTTTGTCAGGTTCATATTACAGAATTGTTTTAGTATGAATATGGAAGTGTTAAAATATTATAATGAACTGGCATCATTCCATCTGAGCAAAAGTGTTGCTTTTGTGCTCAGGATAAAGCCTGTTGCTATTATTTATTTAAAATAAAGCCTGTTCTGTCAACTTGCCAGCCTGTTTGTGACAGTCATTTTTTTCAAAAAAAGACAGATGCCCAAGCATAAGCTTATCAATCAAACTGAGTTACCCATACTGAATTGCCTACACACTCCAAATAACCTATTTCATTATTATACTGTGAAACACCACCACTGCATTAGAGAGTTGTCGTAAACTTCCATAGTTATTTTACTGAGTGGAATCTCGCCTGCAAAGAATTTATTATTGTCCCCATATATGCGTGCAAGGCTGAAGCGCAAAACACTGTTTAAATATTATCAAATCAGCTGCTTCCATCTCACGACAAGCACAAACTTTTTCATCTTTATATATAATATAATGCAATGGGAATTTGCTTACAGATGACTTTGTGAATTCCATTTTATAGCAGTGGCACCTAAGCTAATTCTCAGAAATATAACCACATTCACTTGGAAGTTCTATTTTTTTTAAAGTGTCACTACCTTTAAAGTAAATAAACTTAGATGGTGGGGGTGTCAGCTTTTGAATTACTCCAGCACACTGACTCTTAGAACACTGTTATCCTACATTCACCCTAAGATTCACAGCAACCAAGAATTTTGGAGATCTATAGAGAGATCTCCAAAAGATCTAAAGAGATCTAAAGAAAAAAATTCAATTACAATTTATGGTGATGTGCTGAAGCCAAGGGGTCTGCATCTGGAAAAATCAAGCACTGAATGCTGATCTATGCTTGTTGAACTAAAGAACCTTAAAGGTTTCATCTGTTTTCTGCAGGTTAAAAATGATCAAACCAAAATCAGTTGGAAAGATCCGGTAATGAAAAAAGAAATATTAAATTAAAAATCAAAACAACAGAACCCGGAAGGCCATGTGTCACAGGATTGTTTCTATATATAAACAAAATCCAAGAGGTATTAAAGCTCCTAGCCTTCCGGCTAAAAATTAAGAGTGCAGAATAATAATTTGAATATAAATAAATGTTTGTGAAGCTCCTCATCAACATATTTACCCTTCACAGATTTTCATTATGTAAAAAGTCATTCAGGAAGACCAGTGGATTATAGTCCTCTAAATGCTTTCTCTCAATACGATTATGTTAGTCTTTTAATGCAGGCTGAGGTCTGAGTGGAATAGTAGGGCTACACGTGAGCAGTCAGCTGCAGTCTACAGTACAACTGGGATTACTGAAGAATGACTGCTTTCTAAATCTTTTGTGAAATTGTGCATGTGCCAAGTATCTGAATAACATTACAGCAAGGAATAAGAAGTCAGTCTATATGAAAGTACATTGCACAGATGAGATGACAAAACTTCATGTTATAATTCCACCAGGCATATTTTGCACAGCTAAGCACTGCATACAGACCAGGAATCTTAGTTTAAAACAAACAATGGTAACTTAAACATGCCAGCTATGGTTTGATGCTGGCTCATTTTGAAACTAACCATTTTCTATTTTAATCTGGATGACAAGCCCAAACTTCAGTTAACTGAGTTTGTATACAATGCACAACTATGGCTAGTTCTAAAGTGAAGTAAGACTTCACTTTCGTTTACGTACAGAGAAGGGAGAAGGCTGTGAGGCTGTGTCTGAACTGGGCCTTACATTATTTCACTGCAGATTTGAAAGCAAGGCAGGTCTTTATGTAGACATTAATCTTTTTCTTACAAGTCATGTTGACAGAAGGATAATGAGAAATCAAATCAATCTCTATTTTCTTTATTTGGCAAAATCCATATCTGCTGCACGTAAACTCTGGGAAGCCTATATTTTTTCATGAATATTTCAACGTTTAAAAGTAGCTATTAAATCAGAGCCCATCATGTAACTTATTTATTAATCTCTTCTACAGTTGGCAAGGAAATTAACATTAATACAAAAACCTTAAGAATGCAATGTGAATTTAAGAAGATTTTAAAATAATTTGACAGAAATCAAATTCAGAGAACAGTCCAGATTCTAAAAAAATGACTACAGTGGTACCTCGGGTTAAGTACTTAATTCGTTCCGGAGGTCCGTTCTTAACCTGAAGCACCACTTTAGCTAATGGGGCCTCCTGCTGCTGCCGCCGCGCTGCCATAGCATGATTTCTGTTCTCATCCTGAAGCAAAGTACTTAACCCAAGGTACTATTCCTTGGTTAGCAGAGTCTGTAACCTGAAGCGTATGTAACCTGAAGCGTATGTAACCCAAGGTACCACTGTACTTGTAATTAGGGTGCAGATTAGACTTTAGAACAAAGACTAGGTATATAATAGTTTCTAAATCTCCAGTTATAATGCACTTAGTTAAAGAGGAGGAAAAACAATTTCACTTAGCTACTTCATAGCAGTTAAATGTTTACTAGCACTTTTCTGGAAAAGATGGGAAATTAATTTAAAGGAAATATCGTAACAGGTAAGTCCATGAAGTCACTTACAGATGATCCCTTGTTTTGTATTAAGAATGGTTTTTATCCTTTAAGGACATTGAAAAAAACTTTACCTCAAAAATTAAAATATCTGCACATATATAAGTCATTTATAATATTAGGTTATTAGCATTAGGTCTAATGCTAGCTATACCAAGAGTAGACCCAATTAATACACATGACTAATTTCAATGGGTCTACTCTGCATAATACCTAGCTGGGTACAGCCCATTGTCAGCCGGTTACCAAAAAAACAATTACATAACTTGGTAACCATTAAGAACTGGTACCTGAATTTGCTTGTTTTCCCCTTGTCATGACTATTGGACTACAGGCCTATGGATAAGGACCGTGTTATTTGTAATTTATATACAGCACCTAGAACTCTTCAGGCATTCCATGAATGAAAGAAAAATAGCAATAATAATATTGCAATAAAGGAATGCCAAATAATTCTCTACATTGTGGGTTGTATCCAGTGTGGTGCTAAGTTAAAGTCCCTTGGTACTGGAAGTACTGGTTCCGCTGGCAACATGTTTTGTATTGTTTCACAACAAAATGCAGAAGCAGGTTGCTGGTAACTTTGCTGCACAACCTCACGAGTTGTGCAATGAGTTTCCTCTACAACTGTTGCGAACTGGATTCTTCTGCTGCGTAACATTAACATTCCAAAAAAGTGAAAGGGCAAACAGAGAATGTTGGATACAGCCCCATATCTATCATATTTAAACAGGGCAATTTTATACTTGACTATTCATAAGTCAGCTCTACTGAGTTCACTGAACCTTACTAAAGAGTGCAGTGGTACCTCGGGTTACATATGCTTCAGGTTACATATGCTTCAGGTTACAGACTCCGCTAACCCAGAAATAGTACCTCGGGCTAAGAACTTTGCTTCAGGATGAGAACAGAAATCATGTTCCGGCGGCGCGGCAGCAGCAGGAGGCCTAATTAGCTAAAGTGGTGCTTCAGGTTAATAACAGTTTCAGGTTAAGAACGGACCTCCGGAACGAATTAAGTACTTAACCCGAGGTACCACTGTACTGCAGACAGGAAATGATGAGAAATATTAAGAAAAAATTAATGATAAACAGTTTGTATAGCATATAAGAGAAAGAGTGAGCAGATGTCCAGTCTTGCGTGTGTGTCTGATTATACTTATGCTGGTGTTTCGTCCCAGTTTTCCCCCCAAACATAATCATCCAGCTGGCTGACCTCTGCTACTCTGCCAAGCTAGCACCAAAATGAACTTGCAGTCAAGCAGTTTGGTAAGCCGCAAGAGCAGTTTACAGTTTTCAGCATTCTTTTTTTATTTCTCAAGCGATTTCTATACCACCATTCCCCCCCCCAAAAAAAATCACACAGCGATTTACGACAATAAGGTAATCTAAAAACACAAGAAACAGAAACATTAAAGCAATGATCCTAAGTTACACAATTAACCACATAATAAAAGTGTCTTAATCCATCAGCTTCCAAAAATCTGAAAAAATGTGAGTTTCTACATGGCATCTAAAAGAACATAAGGTTGGAGAAACACACATTTCAGTCAAGAGGTCGTTCAACTGATGTAGAATCACCAGTGAAAGGGCCCTTCCATGGGCCTCCACACAAACACACTTCATTTAATGCAGGGACCACCAGGTGAGCCTTTTCTGCTGATCCTAATGCATAGGCAGGTTGATATGAGAGAAGGCATTATTTCAGATATTTATGAACATGAATTAGTAAGCACTGAGGGGGTTTCAGAGTTTACACTCTGTACAAACTGGCATGGTCCAACTCAACAGTAAAAAAGAAAAAGAAAAAAGTTGGTCCATTAGCCCCCACTACTGACAAAACACAGCAAATGCATTCTCCATTTCTCAGAGCTACCTAGTTCCCATGGAAGGGAAGGGAAGTACTGTAATAAAGTGTGGAGGTGCAATTTTGGTATTCTGCTTCCTGGCTTAATTGAAAGACAAATTAAAGGACACCAATCATGGAGAAGCTACAGACTGCATCTCCTAGGAAGGCCACTACTTTCAGGATAACAGAGATTCTAGGGAAGTAGAACGGTAATCTTTTGGATTTTGACACAGACTTGATTTCTCCTTGGCCATGGTGGTCACTGTGCGGTCATGATCTCACTCCTTCCTCATCTAAGATCACTCCCCCCAGTTGCTCTTTGCTACAGAGGATGTCACATCCACTGGCCACAATCTCACTATCAGCTCCCTCTCCCAGACTGTCACAGTCCCATCCAAAGGCTGCAATTGCTTTAAAAAAACAACAAGGCCAGGATAGAGAATGCCAAATGCATTGTGTATTCTGGATCTTCTTAGATGCATCTGTTGGCCTACAGCCAAAAGCACTTTATGCTGCACTTCTGTGCAGTTAGCCACACTTAAGACCATTGATTTCAATGAGCTTAGGGGGTGAGATCAGGGAGCAGTGTACAATAATTTCAACTGCTACGTTGACTGGATCAGGGGCCAGCAAAATTTTTAAGCAGGGGGCTGGTCCACTGTCCCTCAGACCTTGTGGGGGGCCAGACTAGATTTTGAAGAAGAAAAAGAATGAATTCCTATGCCCCACAAATAACCCAGAGATGCATTTTAAATAAAAGGACACATTCTAGTCATGTAAAAACACGCTGATTCCTGGACCGTCTGCAGGCTGGATTTAGAAGGAGATTGGGCCGGATCCAGTCCCCAGGCTTTAGTTTGCCTACCCATAGATTGGGTGGTAAAATTTCAAAGCTCTTACAATAGCATCAAAATGTAGATATGATATTAATAATGTATAAATATACAAACATATGTTTAGAATCATGGGAAATGTGTGCACTTCAGGAAGCAGGTTGAGGCTCAATCACTACAGGCACACCACATGCTGCCTATACTTGTTGTATAAATTTTCTTTTGGACAGCTTGTCTGTAGATTCCCAGGATTCCCTAGAACAGTGGTGCCCAACTGGTGGGCCATGTACCCCAGAGGTCCGCATAACCCACCCGGGGGTCCATGGTACCGTTCACATAACAAAAACCACTGAGATATAAAAAATTTCACAAGTAGGGGGTGCATGGCTTGGCTTTTGAAAAACGGTACTTAGCTAATTGGGAGTATACGAATGTATACCCATGTAACTCCAAACAAGTGTTAAACCAAACCAAGGTTCATAAGTAAACAACTACCCATGGCTTAAGATTTTGGTTTGTTGGAAGTAAACAAATGGGACATGGTTCACAGGTTCAATAAACCATGGTTTAGCAACATATGTGAACCAGGCTACTGAGTCACCTTCCCAGTGGACTATATACAGCACTATAGAAAGGTCACTTGCCAAGGAAGGAAGCAGATAAGTCAGCACTTTCCAAGAGTCATTATATGTGTGCATGCAGAGCTCTGATTACGTGACACGTGCTGATCCCTCCTCTGCTGCATTACAGTACTTGAGAAGAGAGTAAACACAAGTCAGGAGGAGCAGTGAACAAGCGGCAGAGAGCTACTGGAAGACAGTGTAGCATGTGCCATGTGGTATGCCTTGCATAAGTTAGCCTGCCACTAGTACTGAAGTAAGCTTCTGTACATGGGATGAGGGTGGAGCACCATCTTGTCTTTTGCCTCAGGAACCAAAAGATATTGGATCAGTTCTGCAAAGCTACCATTTACTGTGGATCATCACTGTGGATGTGCAGACCTTACCCCTTGGTATTGTACATTATAGACCCAAACACCTTATTCCATCTCTACTGTTTCACATTCTGAAAGGAATCTTTCTTATTTATTTATTCTTGGAATAAAATGTCTAGATGTTATATATTCCTCATGTACGTATACATCTCAAGACAGAAAATGTGTGTTTTATTCTATCAACAGGACTCCATTTGAAGCAAGGTTTGTCAGAAGTGAGTCCCACAATGTTTTGTAAAACAATATACAATAAACCATTGGCTGCAGAAGTACCGAGTGGGATTTTTCAAACAACTGAAAATGAATCTGAGTTTCTACAGGGTGCGTCTCAGTTTAATGCTGGAGACCGCCCCTCCTACACACACCACAATTTGAAAATAAGGAGAATATTTGAGCTGCCTATTATTTTTAGCCCACCCTTCCACCAAGGATGTAAAGTCAGTCTCTTGTGGCTGTAGTCTAGCTAACAAAAAGTGGTTGGCTTAGGGTCACCTAATGAACTTCATGATTCAGCAGGTATTTGAACCAACATATCCCAGGTAATATACACACACACACACACACACACACACACTTTTTAAGAAATTTACCTTTCCCCTAAAGTTCTCAAGACAGTTGCATACACTCCACCACTGTATCCTTACACCCACCCTGTGAGGTATGTTATACTGATTGTGGGCAGATGAATACAGATCCCAAGTCCCTTCAATTGAAATTCAGGCTGCAATCTCAAACACACACAGAGCGTAAGCCCCAATTTACTTCTGACTCTGACCTTGGCTGCTTCCTTTTCGCTAATGCATTTCACAATGGTTAACTGACACCTGTTTTTAACTCTCTGTGGGTTTTATTGTGTGGTTTTAAATTTTATCGCTGCAAGCAGTTTTGATATATTTTTAATGACGTAGTGGTGTATAAATATTTTTTAGAAATAAATAATAAAAAATGGGCTGTGGCAGCGTATCTTTTACACTCATTTGTTTTCTTTGTCCCAGCCTGTAATTGTGAACTTTGTGTACATTTGCTTTCACTTATCCCGTATACTTACCATGCTCACGCCATCTCTCTTTTTTCCGCTCTCTCCTTCCTTTGTTGTTCTTGGACTTCCACCTTCCTTAATGTGGCCTCATACCTGTTGAGCGAAATATTTGTTTATTTATTACATTTTTATATACAGCTCTTCATCCGAGGATCACAGGGCGGTTTACTGCATAAAACCACAAAATGCGGGACATAATAATTATAATGAATATACCACACAAAAACACATTTAGAAAGCCAAAGATCGTTCAACAGTCGAGGGCTGTTAAAATAACAATACTAATAATTTAAACAATACCAATAATCATTTCAAAAGCGAGACGCTGCTGCCGGGGGGCGCCGTTCCCTTTCCGAACGCCGGCCTGGCAGCCCTGAGGAGACACCGCGCCTCAAAAGGCGAGGCCGCTGGGTGGCAGCGGCTGCAACAGGCCCGCCCTGAGGAGGCGGGAACGTGAGGGCACCAGACTCACCCTTGCCACCGGCCCTGGAGGCCGAGGCGCGCAACATGAGCTGGCGGTTGCGGCACTGGCGGGAGGCTGCGACGCTGCTGCTGGCGGCAGGTGGGCCGGGCGCGTCTCCCCCTCGGCCCACGGCAGCGGGCGCCTTCGACTACGAACTGCTCCTGCTGCGGCGGAGCCCGCGGAGCGCCTTCCTGCCCAGCGCCCACGTCTTCCCGGGCGGCGTGGCGGACGCGGCCGACTTCTCGTCCGACTGGCTGCAGCTGCTGCCGGGCGGGCCGCGCTGCGGGCTGGGCTCGGTGCGGGGCGAGTGCCCGAGGGCGCCGCTCTTCGCCGCCGAGCGCCCGGAGCTGGGCTCGCCGCTGCCGGGAGACGTGGCCTTCCGCCTCTGCGCCATCCGCGAGGCCTTCGAGGAAGCCGGAGTCCTCTTGGTGCTGCCCGGCCCGGTCGCTGATGCCGCCGCCGCCACGGCCGCCACCACGGGCCCGGCCCGCCTGCTGCCGGCCGAGCGCCTCCCGCCGTCCTCGGAGCTGGCTGAGTGGCGGCTGCGGGTGCAGCGGCAGCCCGGCAGCTTCTTGCAGCTGTGCCGCCACCTGAGCTGCGTGCCCAACATCTGGGCGCTGCGCGAGTGGAGCAACTGGCTGACCCCCGTGGGCCGCGCGGGGCGAGGCGGCCGCCGCTACGACACCGCCTTCTACCTCTGCTGCCTCGGGCAGGCGCCGCCGGTCGCCTCGCACGACGACGGGGAGGTGACGGCCTGCCAGGTGAGCGGGACGGGGACGCGAGGCCGCGGGAGAAAAGGCGCGCTCTCCTCACATGCTCGCTTCAGACATGAGGCGATTTTGGTCGTCGTTGTTATTATTGTTGTGTTGTTGTTGTTGTTGTTGTTGTTGTTGTTGTTGTTGTTGTTGTTGTTGTTGTTATTATTACTAGTTCTACTACTGTACTACCAATGCTATTATTCTAGAAAAAGAGGTGCTGGAACTCACCACGGACGCCTTCCCTTGTTCTCTTATAATGGCGAAGGCGCCCACCTGAGAGGTGCCAGAACTGAGTTCTGTGGCTGGGGGAAAAGCCCTGGCTACTACTATTGTTGTTATTTATTGTTGTTAGCAGGGGCAAGGCACGCGCCATCTTCACATGCTCAATTCAGACATGAGAAGTTTTATCATTTTTATTACTACTATTATTGTTATATTATTATTAGCCCAGCGAGGAGAAAAGGTGTGCTGTCCTCACATGCTTGCTTCTGACACCAGACTGCTATTATTATTATTATTAGCACGGGTGGGGGGGAAGTATGCTGTCCATTTGCTTACAACATGAGGTGATTTTTAAAAATTATTATTATTATTATTAGTGTGGAGGAGAAAGCACGCTGTCTTCAGGCTGGAGGCTTTGCATCTACACAAGGGAAACATTTACATTTTTATTAGATTTATGATGTCGCTCCGCCACGGATGTCAAGACGCTGAACAGGATTCCCTCTTTATCCCCAGTGCCCATTTTATCCTCACAACAACTCTGTGAGGTCTGCTAGGCTAGGAGATGGTTACTAACCAGTGGCCACTGGCCAGGAGAGTGCCAGTAAATTGAATGCCAGTTGCTGGAAGCCACAGGAGTGAAGAGTGTTCTTGTGCTCAGGCCCTGCTTTGGGGCTTCACATTGGGGCATCTCCCCAGCCTCTGTGAGAACAGGAGGCTGGGCTCTGGATGGGCCCCCTTTGGCCTGATCCAGCAGGGCTCCATTAGGCAGGTTAGGCTAAGGGATGCTTACTAGTCAGTGGCCACTAGCCAAGAGGGTGGCAGTTTGCCTCTGGATATCAGGTGTCAGGAAGTAAAGGGCTGTTGTGGTCATGTGCTGCTTCTTGTGGCTTTTTCATTGGCATCTGGTTGGCCTCTGCGGGGACAGAATCTTGGGGTCAGATAAGCCTCTGGCCTGATCCAGCAGAACTCTTCTTCTTTGGACTAGCCCAAGATCACTCAGCAAGCTTCATAGCTGGAGGGAAGCTTGAACCCAGATCTTCCCAATCCTGCTCTCTAAATAGCACCCTGCTGGCTCCCTGGCATCAGCATTCCCTTCTCTTGCCTCACATAAAATAGACATTCTCTTCCTTAGACTGCAAGTCTCAGCGTGCTTACCAGAATGCAAGGCCTGCGTAGCACAATGGGATTTATGATTGGTCGAATGGTGATGAACATGTTCACAGTCTGAGCCTAGAGACTGGCAACAAGTTATGGACAATGACCTTGGCCACACGTCGCTTGAAACTACACCCTTCTGGTGTGTTCCGTGTAGAACTGGTAGGATGCCAGGTTCAAGTCCTTGCTCTGCCCTGAAGCTCACCTTGGGCCAATCCTTGCCGGTTTGGGGCAAATAGCAGCTAGAGAAGGAATACTTTTTAGCAAGACACAATCAAGTAGCCCTGATCTGGATCAGGAGAACGTTTCAAATTTGGTCTACCTGGCTTTTATTTCTTTGTAATAGAAGCAACTGGTTTTAAGCATTTTTTTAAAAAGCAAGCACAAAAAATATGTTGTTTGGCTTTTGGTCTGACCAACCTCATAAGATTGCTGTGAGGGTAGTAATGGGGTGTGCAGACTGCTGCCTTGAGCTTTTTGGGGAAAATATGAGATCAAGCTGGAGAATCCATAGTGTAGCCTTTTGTAAAAACTCTGCCCCTAATCTTCTGACCTCTCCTTTGCTTTCCCATAGACCTGAAGGCACAGACATCACATTTATTTGAGCATTTAGAGTTGTTGCAAATGTTGCAAAATTATATTTTAGTGCAGAAACGATTCAGATGATTCAGAATATTCCTTTCAATGGGAATTCACAAACTATGGAGATCAGCTTATTCTTCATTCTTTTTCAGTGGTCAACGCCCTCAGAAGCTGTTGAACTCTTTAAGTCCCAAGACATCTCGATAGCACCACCTCAATTTTATGAATTCTGCAGGCTCTGCAATTTCACATCACTTCATGATCTGCATAGGTTTGCCTCTGAACGAGCCTTAGAAGGATGTGAGCGTTGGATGCCTGTTCTGATGATTGCTTCAGATGGCCATATGCAGATTTTACCAGGTAGATCAAAATGGCATTTGGATTAGTTATTTTAACAATGATAAGTTTATTTTCATTCTTTGGAAAGAACCATTACTTTCAAATTCCAGTGCATATTATTAGGATGATGTTTTGAAGAAGAATTGATTTATTTACAATTTCCCAATAAGGGAGGTCTATTCTGAATTGTCTGGTATTAGCCACTAGTGTAATCTGTGGATCTTGTCTATTATTAGGCTTAATGCTTGCTTCTTGAATGATATTATAAATATTTCTATGCAATTCTATGCATCTTTTCTCATAAGTGAGTCCTACTACGTTCAGTAGGGTTTACTCCCAAATAAGTGTCCATAGGGTTGCAGCCTTACTGTGCAATCCTTTGCATGTCATTTAAGAAGTAACCCTGACTAAGTACAGTAGGGCTTCTTAATAAATGAGTTTAGGATTCCAGCAGTAATTATTTATCTGCCACAATTGTGAAACTAGTGTGGCTCCTTTCGTTTAGTATCGTCAGTGTACTGACCTTGACCTCTGTGTGAGGTCTGCTACTGACATAGGCATTCATTTTCTTTTTATATTTTGCCTTCTTAATAGCCTTTTAAAAAGCAAGAAAACTCAGTTACAGGTTTAGCTACAACTTTTCATTACTCAGCAAAGCAGGCAAAAAAAGGGGGGGGGATTCAACCTTGAACCCTGCTTCTTCCCATAGCTATAATAGTTGAGCTCCAGATTTTTAGTATTTATATCTGGCCTGTCTTCCATGGTGGAACTCATGGCAATGTAGACAGAGTTCCCAGGCAGTCTTCTATCTAGGCCAGAGGTCGGCAACCTAAGGCCCATGAGCTTCCTGGAACTGGCCCACGGCCGTTACGTAGATTGGCATGGGGATTCCGTGCTATTTTCTCACGGTGCCAATTTTTTTCTCGCTGCGGGGACCGACTTCCGAGTCGGGAGAGTGCCAGAAATAGTGTGTGTGCATGCGCACAGGCGCTCCTCCGTCCCGGAAGTGCGCCAGAAATAGCTTGAGCACACACGCAGGTGTGCACGCTCCAGCTCACCGAGAAGTCTAGCAGGGAGTGGACCGGACCGGCCTCAAAAAATGTTGCCGACCCCTGATCTAGGCACTAATCAGATCCAGAGGTGCTTAGCTTCAGTAAAGTGGATGCCTCATGTGTATTTAGATCATGCCAACAAGATAAGCAGGTAAACAAAAAGACTGGATGAGGTGGAGTATCAGGAAAACCCAGAACTGCCTCTTTGCTTTACTGGGGAATATAAATGTATATTATTTCTCTCCAGTTTATAGCTGGCAAACCCAAAAACAAATAACCTTGTCAGTTTTCTGTTTTTGGTTCAGCAGTGTTGTGACCATGCATGTAACCCTGTGTTCTGCAGATACTCTATCAAAGTTCCTTTTTGCATATACCGGTACATCTTAGTCATGCAGAACTGTGCAACTGCTCTATTCTAACTGCAATTCAGGCAAACCAGGATTTTGGTTTATTTGAACTAACTGTACTTAGAATAAACATAATTTCCCATTTTGGGACATAATAGGAAAATGTTTTCTTCAAAACCATGGCCAGAAGCACTAAATTTCTTTTCTTCATCCATAGAGAGGATAGAATAGCCCAATGCTACTTATCCTTGTAATTGTAACTCTCAGTATAGTATTATGTCTGAACTGAGCATATTTGTATGTGCAGGCTAGGCCTTAAAGCTCTTGTTTCCCTATAAATTCATTGTTCATAATATATTCCTTGGCACAGATAGAACAAGACCCACTTTATTAGTTCATTGGAATACTTGATTACTTGCATTCTTGTATGCCAAGAGAACCTTTATGAAAAATACTGTCACAAAACCAGTTTTGAATCTTATCAAGCCATCCAACAGCAAAATAGCTTAAAATCTCTAGAAGTACCTAAAATGAAGTTCACTGAAATACTGAATATTACATACAAATTTAAGTTATACATTATATTTTTTAGGTGATGAGCTATATCCAGAAGACCCCGATTTTACAGGAGAAAGAAAACCAATGTTGATGACAGATAAAAAGATTGAAGATCTGATGAAAGGCGCCAGTAGACTTCACCGGATAGTGACACAAGACCATAATAATGTTAATATCTATGTGAATATCCAGCCCAAATATAAACACATCAATCCAATAACAATGGACTTTAAAAGGGGAAAAAATGCAGATTGCAATAGTAAATTATAATACTTTAAAAATAGTTTACATATTTTTATATCTACCAACGCAATGGCAGTTCCTGAATAAGCTGCCCTGGGGGCGTCACATCTTGCTAAGCAACATGTATTTCAAACGTAGCTGGAATTAATACATTCTTGTGCCACTTTATCTACATCAAGCCTTGTGTGAATGATTTAGGCTTTCGTTTGTGTACCACAGTAATTATTTCCCTGGCTAAAATTTTGTGCAAATGTGCCAATTCTGGGGTGGACATCTGTCTGCTAAGAACTTGACCTTAATCTACACATTTATGGATTTAAGGCACTGAAGAGGCAGTGGAGCAATAGTTACCCATGGCTACCAAAGACCATTTGTAAGTATTGGGATAAACTGGTCCTTTATCAATATAATTCAGTATCTTGAACTATTCTGCTTTTCTCATTAAAATGTGGAGACACTATGGATGTTTACTCAAAAGTGATGCTCCCTAATTAGCTGGGATTCAAAATGGCAGTTTAGGATTGCAGCTTTACATGAGCATAAGTTCTGTAAATTCATTCAATAATGATTATTTTTTAAATATTCAGAAGCTCTGCTTTTGGAAGGCACTTTTCTAGACACACTAAGTTGCTAGTGCTGTCTAACAGCAATATAATTAATTCCATTATATGGTTGGGTTTTCAGTTTTTATATTTCAGAATGTCAACTGATGTGCATTTAAATTAGCATTTAAAACGCCAAATTGTAATTTATTTTTAGAATTTGTTTTAAAAATAAATATTTATTTTTAGCAACATTGCTTTGGCTGTTTTCATCATTGCTAAGATATACTGAGCCATTACACATCTTGTTTTCTTTAAAATTAAGAAGAGGCCCTATTAATAGTTTCTGTGTGTCAGGAGCTTTCTTATTTTCAGAAACATAAAGTTGAAAGTTGAAATTAAAGCCCTCCTATTACATTTCACGTGTGTCCAAACTGGAGCTTTTGAGCTGTGTCTGGCTCCTAACTAGTTTGAGGAATGAATAGAAAACTACTGAAAAAGTGTTCTCCATGTGTGCTGGTTACAAAGGGACTTGGGTTTCCTCCATCCCATCTTCCAGCTGGAATTAAGAAACTGAGACTTGATGTAACGTAAGGGGAGGAAGTAACACAGACCAAAAGAAATGTCTGTCTCTTTAGTTTTACGTTTTGGGTGTTGGAATAGCTAAGCAAAAGATAACAAACTGCAACCAAAGCAGTTTTACACAAATTGCCTTGCTTTGTCTCTGTTGTACAAAAGGTTTTAGAATGTGCACAGAAGATTTATTGAACCATCTATATTTAATGTTCCAACGCATCACTGTGTATATAGTTTTGTTTTTAGAGAAACAATTTACCAATCACACATAAATATTAATTAGGCTTAACTGAACTCTCTGACTATGCAGTATCTCTTAGAATGCTATTATATTAGCCGTATTTCAGGTTTGGTTTAAATATTTCACATCTGTTGTCAAGACCAGTTATCACAAATAATATCAGTCTGTGTCCAGCCAGCTCTTGCTCTCAGAATGTCTTCTAAAAAAAAACCCAAACTCTCAGATCTCTATACAGCTGACTCACGACATGCATGGGAGTTACATTCCAGAAATAGTACATAAAGTCATATTTGCGTATAGTCAGATCCAGGGGCGTAGCCAGGATTTTTGTTGGGGGGGGGCAGAACTTCAGATTTGTATTGATTTTGATTGATTAAGGAGTGCAGTTGCCCCCCTGCTGCCCTTGGCTACACCCATGGTCAGATCAACTCCTTGTAACTTAGGACTTGCCCCCCAAGAAAGGCAGAGAGCTGCTCTGTGTGGGGACAGGGGTCTCCAAACATCTCGACACCGTTAGCAAACTACATCCCCTCCCCCCAAAAAAATTTTTTGTGGGGAGTCACGTGCTTTAGATGTGCACTAAGTGCACCTTAAATGTATGATTGAAGAGGATCTGCATTAAGTTTATTTGGTGGCAGTGCAAGTTGTTCCCTCGCTTCTACAGTACCTCTCTTAACAGGCTCTAAGTGGGGAGGCAAGAGGGAGGCAAAACCTTAAAGTATATTTTGTTTCTCCACCGTGCAGCCTGGAGGTTGTGCAGGCTGAGCAAAAGTGGACATGCCTGATGCTGGAGAATAACTCAAAGAAGATGGCCACATTAGTACAGTACCATACGAACATTTAAAGCACTTTGACCAGCCATTATTTCCTGCAAAGAATTCTGGGAAGTGTACCTGATAAGGCTGCAGAGTATTGTTAGCAGGGATGGCCGATTCCATCCTTCTTATAATGAAGGAGTTGCTTGTTACCAAACAACTCCTTCATTATAAAAGGGATGGAATCCCTTTTAAATACAGTGGTACCTCGGGATGCGAACGGGATCCATTCCGGAGCCCCGTTCGCATCCTGAACAGAACGTAAGATGCGACTGCGCAGGTAGTGTGTGCATGTGGATGTCTGTATATAAATAGACATACACACACATTCATTTTTTCCTCGAATTACAGTCTTAATAGGGTTTTTTTAAAAAAAACAAACCACCAATTGGACAAAAATGATGTGTTCGTGTACACACAGACATACACACGCACCCTTTCTCCGCTTGATTAGTTTGTTTTAAAAATGTTAATTGTTGAGATGGAAAGAAGATAAAGCTCCTACCAGAGAAGAATGGCAGATTAAGTTGATGGATTATGCCAAATTGGCAAAAATGACGGAAGAATCAGAAATCAGGAAGACTAAAAATTTTCATAAGGAATGAGGAAAATTTATAATTTATCTTAAAAATCATTGTAAACAGTTAAAACTGTTAGCAGGACTGGAATAGCACTTGCAGTTTAATGGTAAATTTTGAACATAATGGAGATGTATTTTATGTTGGATGTTTGATATGTGATTATAAAACTCTGACCTGAAAACCAAATAATCATTTTTTTTAATGTTAAATGTTCACCCACAAAATTAAGGGTTTGGGGTTTTTTTAAAACCGCGACAAAAACAAAGCCGGCCGCCCGCCGCTGACACGTGCTCCGCCGCTGAGAAGCTGGGAGCGGTACTGAGCATGCGCGCGCGCGGCGGTTAAACAGCCGCCTCAGTTCTGGAGCACGCGGAAAGGAAAACGTAAGTTAACCGCCGCGGGTAGGAGACGGAGTAGGGGCGGGGTGAGACGAGGTGAGTTGAGGAGCGGGGCCCGAGGTTTGCATTTGAGGCGCGGGGAGGTGCGAGCGGTGATAAAGCAGCCGCGGGACGAGCTATTGGCCGGCCCAGCTGAGCGGACTTCTCTTCCTCAGAGGTGGGGGCAGCTACCCCCCCCCGCGCGTCGGGTGGCGGTTACGTATATTTTAATATACGGATACAGGTAGCTAGGCCACGTGATCAGTTTAGAACCATCGCAGGTGGCCACCTTCCTACTCCCCTCCTTCCTTGACACCCTAATTTAGCGTGACTTCCCTGCCTTTATTATTATTATTATTTAGCCCAGTGATTGCTGTTTTGGGACTACAACTCCCATCATCCCTAGCTAGCAGGACCAGTGGTCAGGGATGATGGGAATTGTAGTCCCAAAAAAACAGCTGGCGGGCCAAGTTTGGCCATCATTGATTTAGCCTAACTGCTTGCCACCACCACGCTTTATTATTATTTAGCCTGGCTTTTTACACCTGAGGGGCAATTTTTTTTTTTTTTAAGGACCTGCCTTATTCCCATGATTGCAGATTGTTACTAGTTGCTTCCTTCACAAATGTGACTGAAAGCAGCTTGCAACAACAAACAAACATGTCGTTATTTATACCCCGCCCCAAAAGAGCTGTGATGGTGTGAATGGGCAGCCTGTACCCGGAGCCGTTATATGTGCAAGGCTGTTCTCCTAATCTCAGTAAAATTTATATTCAGTGATTTATTTTGAGGACTGTGACCTAAAACAGCCATATGTTCTATGGGCAGTTTCCAGTCCTACTGCCCTTTTTTATTATTGTTTAAGATGGTTGCTGGGGGGGGAGGTTTAATTTATCAACTAGTCTGCTTCACGTTATCCCTCTATAATAATATTTTCAATAGTTTTTCAAATATATGTGATTTCACAGATGTGTGCAGTGCTTTGTAATGTTACATAACCCCTGTGTAAAATGGGGGTTGCCTCTATAGAGTGGGGGCCCCAGATGCATGTTTGGACTGAAGGCAGGTCCCAAATCAGACACAGTTGAAGAATACTGTCTTAAGTCGTAAAGAAGCTGACTTCTACCAGCTCAGACTGTTCGTCCATCAAACACAATCTTCAGTACCTGTTCATTACATTTCCTTGTTGCATTCAGAACATCTAACAACTGCAGGAAATCTCAAATACGCCTTTGCCCCATCCTAGTAACTACTTTACTATTGTCTAATTTTATTTTAAGCATTGGCCACCTTGAGAACTTTGCTTAGTAAGTAGACAGGCCATCAATATCATTAAAGCAGTAGTATATATTTTTGCTACCTTTCCCTTTCTCCAGGGAAAGCAGGGCAGTGGACCGGGGTGATCTTCAACATGTTTTATGCTTATAATAACTGTATAAAGTAGATTAAGCTGCCTGTATTCCTTGCTCCAGAGAAAGCTGGCAAAGAGAAGCCTGTACTGCCCTTTTTTTTTTGTTTGTTTGCTTGCTTGCTTGCTTGCTTGTCGGTCGGTCGGTTCAACTGATTGCACACCTAGGCTCCACTTCTAGGGGAGCTGGAGCTATACGGTATTAGTTTTTGGACCACTGCATTTCTAAAAGGAAGAAAAGCACCTGGACTGTGGCCTGGTTTTATCAGATTGAAAGTTACTTTTAAAGGAATGTCATTTTGTAAAAGCAGTTTAAATGCTTGTTCCTTTGTTGTATTTTTCAGAGGTATAGATAAAGCGTGTAAATCTCTTTGATGTAGTTGAAAAAGTCATTGAAGAAAGAAAATGTTTGAAGTGTTTATATTGAAGGTATTGTGGCTTTTTGGCAAGTTTTAGCATATGAATGTTCATTTTTGAGCATAAACCTTGCAGTGTTTTCATAGGACTCTAACTATGGCTTACTTATTCATTAGATTGAAAATCCATGGTGCTTTTGGGGCTACATAAAAGGAGGTGGAAGTATTGTAGAAAACGAAATGGAATATAAAAAACTTCAATCTGAAATGAATCTGTTCTATAATAAATTCCACAGATATGTGGATGATATCAAGCCATCTGTATTGGAAAAGGGCCAGGTAATTTTATGTACTTTATTTGCTTTAGTGGATATGAAATTGAAGAGGGGGAAAGGGAGGCTAGTGTTGGGATATTAATTCTACTTTCAATGCTAGTCCTACTCAGAGGAGACCCGTTGGATGTCATGAACATGACTTACTTTGGTTCATTAATTTCAGTAGTTCTATTATGAGTGAACCTCTTTGGATACAACCTTTTGTGAAAACACTGGATGACTTTAACAACAATGCAGGACTCAGCTAAAATGATCATCCAGCCTCTGCTTATAATATTATACAGTACATTTTATATTTGGGTTTAGCTACTTTTGGAAGTTTTTCTAGATAAATTGTCATATTTCTGCCACCTTTTGGGCACTGTATGAAATATAAAGCATGAAATATATAGCACATTACTGGTACATGTAGTTTTTTCCTATTGGTTTGCCTTAAAAGGTAAAGGTAAAGGTACCCCTTCCCGTACGGGCCAGTCTTGACAGACTCTAGAGGCCGGGAGCCAGCGCTGTCCGCATACACTTCCGGGTCACGTGGCCAGCGTGACGAAGCTGCTCTGGTGAGCCAGCGCAGCACACGGAAACGCCGTTTACCTTCCCGCTAGTAAGCGGTCCCTATTTATCTACTTGCACCCGGGGGTGCTTTCGAACTGCTAGGTTGGCAGGCGCTGGGACCGAGCAACAGGAGCGCACCCCGCCGCGGGGATTCGAACCGCCAACCATGCGATCGGCAAGTCCTAGGCGCTGAGGTTTTACCCACAGCGCCACCCGCGTCCCATTGGTTTGCCTTATATTCCATCAATTGTCTGCTAATCTCATGTAGAGTTTGTGTCAAATGAAAATGGATGTTTCTTTTTCAGGTTTGTGCTGTTTATTGTCAGGAAATGAAATCCTGGTGCAGAGCTGTTGTTAAATCAATCATATCATGTACAGATTATTACCTTGCTGAGTGTTTCCTTGTGGATTATGCCAAGAGTGTTCCTGTGAAAACAGACCGGTATGCTTTAATTATACTAAAGGCAAAGGTTATACACAATGAGAGTACTGCAACCTGGGACTAGCAAGCCCTCTGGAACCTGGAAGGTACGATCAGAAGGTTAATGTCGTGTTCTATCACACAAGCCCACTGAGTTTGTGTGATCCTTCTGATAGACCAAAGTGTATGGAGTTGTAAACTCCTACATTCAAATTTAATCTTAACCTTTAACTTGCTGGCTGGTCCGGGGCAAGTTTGTCTTAATCTTTCTTCACATTCACTTCACCCAGTAAGCCCCCAACGTAGGCACATTTAACTTTTGCGCATTCAGCTTTAAGCACACGACAAAATAAAAATAAAAAGGGGCAGAGTTCCAGGAAAAATGACTTTGGCAATCCTACTTGCCACTGAACCCAATGGGTTTTGACTATATGCGATTTTGGCTTTAAGTGCAATCCCTGGAAGGTAGCCCCCGAGTAAGTTCCGGGCTTACTGTAACAGCAGACAGACTACATTGCCCGCCTATCAAGGACAACAAGCAACACTCTGTTATTTACAATTTATGCTTTGTTTATAATTAGAGTGGCCACTGTGGTGCCTTTGTGACGTTTTGGAATACAAGTTGCATTATTCCTGACCGTTGGCCATGCTGGCTCTGGCTGGTAGAAATTGTAGCTCTGAACACCCAGAGGGCACAACATTAGCTACCCCTGGCTTATAAAGTATTAATTTATGTTAAAGGGTTTATTTTTCTGAAATTTCTGTTTTCAGGATTTGTGTTGCCTTGGAATCATTTATGAGATTACCCTACAGAGCAATGAAATTTAGACTGTATGGTACAAAACCGGCCACACTGCGTGTCAACTACTATAACGACAAGGCCAAGATAGTGTAAGTACATTTTGCAAGGTATTATGTAAAAGCGTTCTATATTATTTTGGGTTTCTGTAGGACAAGTATTAGGACTTGTAATTTGGGAGAGACATCACCTTGCCAACAAAGGTCCGTATAGTTAAAGCTATGGTTTTCCCAGTAGTGATGTATGGAAGTGAGAGCTGGACCATAAAGAAGGCTGATTGCCGAAGAATTGATGCTTTTGAATTATGGTGCTGGAGGAGACTCTTGAGAGTCCCATGGACTGCAAGAAGATCAAACCTATGTGCTCTTAAGGAAATCAGCCCTGAGTTCTCACTGGAAGGACAGATCGTGAAGCTGAGGCCTCAATACTTTGGCCACTTCATGAGAAGAGAAGACTCCCTGGAAAAGACCCTGATGCTGGGAAAGATGGAGGGCACAAGGAGAAGGGGGCGACAGAGGACGAGATGATTGAATAGTGTTCTCGAAGCTACCAGCATGAGTTTGACCAAACTGCGGGAGGCAGTGGAAGACAGGAGTGCCTGGCGTGCTCTGGTCCATGGGGTCATGAAGAGTCGGACACGACTAAACGACTAAACAACAACAATTTGGGTGACATTCCATGTAGCTACAAGGAGAGCCTGTGAAATTTTCCTATTTTATATTTACTAGGGCCCCATATTTCTTGGTATAAATGTCACTGAGGCAGACTTCATATCTATCCAGTTTGTTTCATTCTCTGAGAAACATTTTGAAGTGAAAGAGTACTTCACAAATGTATAATACGTCTTTATATGCTTATAATAGTGCCACAGTAAAGTAGTCATGTGTGCTTTTTTGTAGCCCTGCTAACCGCTGGGATATAGCAGCTATCCACTACTTCCAAAATCTCCTGAATGGTAAGAAAACATAAGGAATAGCATATTATATAATTCCAAATGTATGGGCTAATCTGTTAAAATGTTGAGGTTTTTTAAAAAAATCCACCGAAAGGCTGGGTTTGGAGACTATGGCTGAGTTGCAGAACAGCTGGCTATCTGCAGATGGTTCCATGTTCAGTTTCTAATATCTAAGGGAAATGCCTGTCTGAAACCCTGGAGAGCCACCAGTGTACCAGTCACTGGAGAAGGAGTTGGATGAGCCAACAAATTGACTCAGTACAGTGTAAGGCAATGTCTTCCTTAGATAACTGTGTCTGAAGTAAAGAATATTAGTGTACTTAATGTTTGGTACAAATCAGAATAACAGAAAAGTGGCATTATTGGTAATTCATAGAATTGTAGAGTTGGAAGGGACCCAAGGGTCATCTCATTCAACCCCTTGCAATGCAGGAATCTCAGCTAAAGCATCCATGACAGATGGCCACCCAACCTGTATAAAAAACATATTAAAAATGATACCTACTTGCTGAAACTTAGCAGTTCACAAATTAATTGTTGAACAGGTTCAAAGCCCACTGGCCAGGCAGAATTGTCATAATCCCCCTGTCATTATTCTGATGTCACAACAGGGAGATCCTTTAATGCTGAATGGTAATAAACTTTTGTAGAATTCAACCACATTGTAATTACACACACATCATAGGATTTTAAAGTTTTATCTTGCTTGCAAATGTCTAGCAACTCGACTTACATATGCACAGAAATAAAATGTATCTATTTCTAGCTTCACTGGAGTAAAACTGATCAAATATTTTGAGAATCATTTCTAACGGGTTAACTATCTGTTAATGGCTTCCCAAAACGTTTGCTTATTGCATTACCTTACTCCAATCAAGGGGCTGCTTATAACTTTTGATTCTTTGGCAAGAATGTAGAAAATCAGTTGTTGTTGCCTCCCCTCTGATATTTCATCCATTTGGCTTAATCAAGAAAGACCTACTGTGGGGAAATGTAGAAATTAGAAGACCTAATTAATGCTCCATTTATTTTTGTTTCTAGCAACCACCAAGGTGGAGGCCAAGTTATGTGCTGTTGAAGAAGACAGTTTTGATGTTGATCTCTATGTCACAATAAAGGAAGAAAAGGTAAGCCAGTCACCTTTACAATTCTGTTCGTGTATAGTATTTTGAAACAGACATCCAGTTTGCCAGGGTGAGTGGCAGCATCTGTCCCTCTCATTCTGCCACTCAGCTTCCCTTCTTGTATGCACCTCTTTGTATATGTTTTAAAAAGTAGATCCTTTAAAATGATAGCAGGGGTTGTATAGGGTGATGACTTGCTTTTTTGATAGAAGAGGCTCCTGCCCAAAGCCTCTGAGGGTCCAAAGTAAGCAAGGATGCCAGGACACAGGCAAAAACCCTACAAGCATTGGCAGGTAGTCTAGAGGCAGACCTGCAGTAGGTGGGTCAGTTCTGGATCCAGTCTTTGGGTGAAAAAGGCTGCTCCCCTCTGGCTTAATAGAATTACATGGTTTGCCCTTATGCCGCAGCTGATGGGAAGATTCTTTGTGCACATGGCAAGCTACTTTAGGTGATAGTAGCTGCCTTATAAAACTATTTCAGGTACCTCCCAAATTATGTTAGTAATTTTTATCTTTGCCATTAGTAAAAATGTGCCCCCTTTATGCTAAACCATCACATGCATGAAATCTGTTTTCTTCATAGATATGTGTGAATGACGATCTTCTTGCCAAAAAATTTGCTTTCTATGAGGCACCGAAGAGTACAACAATTAGTGCTGTGGAAGACCAGAAGAGAGAAACACCATTAAGCCTTGAGCCTCTTTCAGAGGAGATCAATCCTGCACTTGTTCTGTGGCCAATGTTGTTGCAAGCCAAGGAAACAAAGGCTTTTGAAACTTGTGAGTATGACAGATCTGCTTCCCAAATGAATAGACAGGATGGAGGATAGTGGCAAGGGTGCTCAGCTGTTCCTCTCCTTGCTGCTTTTCCTCTACAGCTCCTACCCCACTTGTTCCCTCAACCCAGTCTGCACACATACTGGCATAGTACAGATCCATGGGGTGGGTCTTTGCTGTTCACCTGGCTTCTCAGTACTGGAACTGCTGTCATTTATCAGAGGAGGGGCAGCACAGCATGGCAGTCAGTGCAGGTGTAGCAGCAGAGCCAGTCAGATGCTCCTATGTGACACCAACCTCAGCTTGCCCCTGTCCTCAGTAACTGGCAATGACCCTGAAGTTGGTAAGCAGCACCATCCTGCTGTGCTCCACAGACTGTTACTGACAAAAGAACCTAAAAGAGAGGAAACCTAATCATACTCCTCAACCAATGAAAGCTTCAAGGTGATTAATGTTCACTTAAGCATACCAGATGACTGCTCAAAGGTGGCTGAATTTGTCAAAAAGTGTTTGTTGAGATCTCTTTGATAACCACACAAACAGTTACTCCATCCTTCTACCTTTTGAAACTCTGTATGGAAACAAATGAGATTTGAAAAGTGAAGAACTTACATAAATTCCCAAATCTGGAAGATCTTCCATCTTAATAAGTTGGATTGCTGGTACTCCAGGGTTTGGTATACTGCCCTTCTTGAAAAAATATCTCATAAACAAAAATAGCTAAAGGAACTGCTCAAATGATTTATTTTTATTTTTTTCTGTATGTCATAGTTTTATTTCTTATATGTGTCACCAGTATATGGAAATGTCTGGCACATCTAAGACTTCAGAGAACCATTTTCCTCAATAATGATAGAATGCTACAGGTGGAGAATACTTTTATTTTTAAAAGGAATTTTGTATAAGTCAATACTTTATTATCCCTTTGGAGCTGCACTGTATCTTTGTACTTTTGTCCTTCCAGGCTGTAACACTTTATAGTTTATATTTTTATTTGGTTTCTTTCATTATGTTTGCACTTTTTAACAAAACCAAGAAAATACTAAGTAAAAGAAACTTACATAGAGGAGAAAACGCAAGCTTGATGTGATAATGTCTCAAATTGGCATTATTACACTTTAAGCAAATAATGAAACATACTGCATTTTATTTCTTTTAGGTGCTTCTGCTTCTGATGATGTTAAAAAAACAACTTGCAATAATTTGCAGGAAACTGATTTAGCCAGTGAAGAAACAGAGCCAGTGAGTGATTGTAGCATTTTTCACAAGGGATTGAAATTGAAGATTTGTAAAATCCTTAAGATAATCTAAGACCCAGTATTATGACTGGGCAGAGAAAAGTGGCTTGCCTGAAAAGGGCAGCAAACATGAGCTATTTACTATTTAATTAAAATTAAATATGTTGTTTACTATTCAAATAATACTTGGGGAAAGTTGGAACTGGCTCAGTGCGGTGCTTTGAGCATTGCTTGAAGTATATGTGTACAGATTCACCTGTATGCGTTACTGCTGTTAGCCCCTCTTACACAGTGCTTGTGACATGACTGTTGGTAAGTGGTTCAGCTTTCAACATGCCCCACCAATTCCCAAATGCTTCCGTATTTGTTTTCTCTCTTGGGGAGGTGTCTGATTGTAATTAGGCTGGGGGCAGTCAGGGGCAAAGAGTTAAGGCCCTCATTCTTCTCGTGCCATTGTCCTGAACTGTGGACAAACCATACTTACAAGCCATGGTTTGTTGTTGATTTATAAACCTTGGCTTACATTAATCATGGCTTAATGTTTTGTGTGAACCCAGCCGTAGTCTTGCTACTCTGTTCTTAGTCACCTCATTCATAACTGGTGACCAACAAATCAGAAGCTCAGAAAAGCGGGTGGAGCTGGAGGAATACCTTTTAAGTATTCTTGGTCATATGACCTGTCTACCTCCAGTGGGGGGCCTTAACCCATAGTTGCCTTGGAGTTCTCCAAACACTAATCCAAGAAGGAGCCGTCACACCAAGTATTCAGTGCTCTCTTCTTTGACAAATTGTGTGTGTATAGATAGGATGGTGAAGGTTAGTTGCAAATCAACTTCACAGCTGAGCCACATGGCCAGTGGCGGAGGAAGAGGAGTTCAGGGGGAGTGCACCGCCCCCGGCAGCGCGATCCTGGTGGGGTGCCATCGCGGCTATGCACCACGCCCCCGAGATGCGCACCAGCCTCGCCCCCGCCTGCTCTCCGCGCCCCCCCCCGGTGCCGGAGCATGAAGCTCCACTACTGCACATGGCTTTGAGATATTGCTACTGATGCTGCCATAGAGGGACGGAAGAGTAGCTTGATACAATCGCTTGTAGATGTGTTTTGTGTTGTGGGCGAGAAAGGCTGCATTTTACTGTGTTCCAAAGCAGTGCAATGTGCCTTACTCTCCATTCTAGTCTCATAGTGAAGTAGCTCCAGCCAGAAGCACAGAGGTGCCCTGTTTCCTAGGTCATAATTAACATAACCCTGGGATGTTTTTGTCTGCTTACTTAGGCTGTAATGGTGCCGGTTCCTCCTTTAAAACAAGGCATAACTGTTTCCTTGCAGGCGGATATACAAACAGACAGGTTTGTTTTCACCTCTAAATCTTCTATTCGTATTTCCTTACATGGGCAAGGGGCTGAACCTATATGTAAAATAAAAATAAACTTGCTGATTGGCAATTTTGGAGCACAATTAATCTGTTTAAATGTAAGTAGTTTGACTCATTTGTTCACTTTCCTGCACAGGAAGAAGGTGTGTCTTCTGTTGGCATATTTGTGAAGATAAGATAAAGTCATTATTAAATTCTTTATTCAGTTGCCATAAGTAATATATTCCTGGTTGATAATTAGTTCGCTTCCAATATATCTTGCTTTTTTGTGCTTTTCATCATTCCCACTGTGGCTGGGATCCACGCAGTCCTGTGTGTGAGCAGGAGGTATTTCCAGTCACATGTGGGTTAGGGACATTGTCAGCTGGCACAAAGGCTGTCATGTAAGGACCCCCCCCCCAATGTGCGCCCCCCACCCCACAAAATCCCCAGCTCACATATATTCCACATGCAGCCAGTATTTATACAGGCATGAGTAAAGTTTTGTCAAATGATTGTGTGTTTCATTTTAGCACCTTATGTAAGGAAACTACTAAAACACAAGAAATGGAGAAAGATCTTTATGAGAAAAATATTGGTGTGAAGTAAGTTTTCTTTTATCTTCCTTTTGAAGTTATACAAATACTACATAAATGGAAATGCTACCTTGAGACTGAGTTTTTAAAGGTGTTTTATTATAAAATGGCATAAGCTCTCATAGGCAGCAACCTCCTTCATCAGATGCTGAGTTGAAACATGAATATTTTGTTATATTAATAGGTCAGGCAAAAAGAAGCAAAGTGGATCTCCTACAATGTCTGCAATGTTTATAACTTTCACTCTTGTATATGGCTCATTACTTAGAGCCAGATTTAACTGGGTTGTCACTAACTAAATTCTACTACTGAAAGACAGGGACTAAAGTTAGTTGTACTAATTAATTTCAGTGAGTCTGATCTGAGTACAACTTGGTTGAATACAATTAATCATATTCTTGCTGGTGGTAGTAGTTAGTCAAAATGTGTGCTTTCTAGCAGCCCTGAGCCTCCCATAGAGCTGATGTAACTATTCACTGAGGCAATCAGCAGATAGAGTGTCTTCTGTCTGGATGTTTTATATAAGGTGCAAACTATGCAGTAAATGTTTTGGGTGAAACTGACTTGGTATCTGATGGATGTTTTTAATTGCTAAACAGATATTTGTTCAAGATACTTAGTTTATCAATTCAAAACAAGCATTATTATTTGATACTAGCCTAGTAGTCTATTCCTTATGCTAAATATAGGTTGGAGCGGCCCAGATGCAAATCCTTGCTCAGCCATAAAGCTTACTGACTGATTGGCCAAGGTAATCACCTCTCAGCCAGCCATGATGCCTTTGCTCTTTGTCCTCAGTTGGAGGCAGTAATGCTTCCAAATACCAGTTGCTGGAAATAACAGGAGAGGAGAGTGCTCTTGTGCTCATGTTTGGCTCCTTGATTTCATACAGGCATTTGGTTGGCGACTGTGAGAACAGGATGCTGGACTAAATGGGCCATTGTCCTGATCCAGCAGGCTATGTTCAGCTCACAGGGTTGCTATGAGAATAATAAAAAAAAAGAAATAACTATATATGCCATCCTGAGTTCTTTGGGAGAAGGGCTGACTAAAAGTGTAATAAATAAAGGATTTTAAGTTGGCATGTGGTGACAAAGTTTTTTTAAAAAAGCAAACTTGTATATTTTCAGGCTTCTACAATTTTTAAATCCTTTGAAAGCTGTTGATGGACAAGATGAGACTGAGGTATTTCAATTAACTGTTGCTTTTGGCAGATCATAAACACTTTTGGACTGTTAGTGCCATTTGAATATATAAATGAGCTTTTAGAATTTTGGTTTGTTTATCTAGTTTTTTGAATCGATACATAGGGTACCTACCACTTCAGAAATTGCTACACACACACACACACCCCTATTTCACAAATTTCTGGATGATCTCAAAACTGTCCACTAATAATGTGCTTTCCAGATTGGAACAGGAGGACTATTTGAAAATAGAAAGCAATTTGGGGTTATCTTGGAATTTGATAGCTGAAGGTTGAATATCTTTCAGAGTCCTAATTGTAGCACTGGTATTCATGAAATCTTAGTGATCCCATAAAAGACATAAATTGTTTTGTGCTTTTTCCTAAAGAAACAAAAATATGGAAACATTTGCAGTGAGGTAGAACATTTTAATGCAAATCATCATGTATCCTGTCTGTTGCAAACTTGTGTTTGTTACCTTTAATTTTAGAAGCTACAAATGAATAGCAGTGCATTCCGTCCTGCTGTCCTTAATAAAAATATGGAACCGTGTTTATCTCTTGAAACAGCACCACTGTTTCCAACTCTGAAAAAGGTAACATTCACTATATGATATATAAAAGCAGGGGTTGTGTATTTGATTAAATTCCTCTAATACTGAAAGCTCAAAATGATTTTTTGAAGTTGCACATGCTCTAAAAATAGCACTTGTTTCTACTGCCATCTTCTGCATAATAGAATCCCAGTAATTCACTGAGGTCACCACAAGGCTGAATGTCAATTTTGGAAGAGGGCATGGAAGACCGAGGCAGCAGTCCTACACACTTAAATGGAAGAAAGTCCCATTGAACATGATGGGGCTTGCTTTTGAATAGGGATTGTCCTGTAGGATTGTCCTGTGAGTTTTAAATTGCTGCTTTACCATGAAGCTCACTAGATAGCTATGAGCAAGCACCTTGCACTAAGCAGCCTGACAGGATGACCATGAGGATAAAATGTTTCAAAGTGACACATTGTAATAATATGTCCTAATCCCATAGATATGGCAACTTACTATCTCTGAACAACAACTGTGAAGCTTTGCAAAGCAGAGCAAGCTAGCTGTTGATACTCTGCCCATAGCTGTCAACGTTTTCCTTTTTAAAAGGGAAATTCCCTTATTCCAAATAAGATTCCTCGCAAGAAAAGGGAAAAGTTGACAGCTATGACTCTGCCCGCCCCGCTTTAATACATCTTATGCTAGTGGAAATAATACATTTTAAATATGATGTAGCCCATACCCAGAAATTGCATTGCTTATGGCTTTTTACCCATTTGTTAGCAGCAGATCTGATGAGCAACTCAAAAAGGTTTAATTGGTAATTAAGGCTACAACTGTGTGCTTGTTTGCACTCAGGTGCCACTTGTTTCAGTGGAATTTGTTAGCTTGGCAGGGAATTGTTTTCCAAGACTATTAATAGTTATAACTGTGTCTGCTTAAAACTTGGTCCTGACCATAGCTGGTGCTTCTCCAACCCCTGCCACCCCTTAATGCTGTATTGATTTCTCATATACAGAATATTCAATAACCCAGACTGTTTAAACCACATGCTGTCAGCCATATGTAGGCTGTCAGCCAGTGAGTCAGTATACACCTGTAGTGGGTCACCTGGGCATACACAGGTCGTGGTCTCCACGGAGATTCTGCAGGAAGCAACTCACATTGCTCCCTTGTTAACAGGAAAACTGTGGCTGTGTACATAGTGTAGCATCATTTGATCATCTCCCTAAGACCGATTCTTCTATTTTAAGCAAATATATAAATACAGTTGATTCTTTTTTCTCCTGGTAGGAACTTCTAAGGAATCAGTTCTCAGGACCTAATCATGTACAGTCTTATTCGTGGCCACCAATAGCTCGCGGATGTGATTCAGTTATTATCTCTCCTGAAAACGATCCACTTCTATATCTTCTGCCAATTATTACATTTTTGCAGTCAAGAAGTTGCTATGTATCACTGCCAGCTCGGAGTGGTGTAAGTAGGATATTCAGTTTATTCCCAAATACCTTCTTTGTTGAAACCAAGTCTTGAAACAGTGTAGGCTTGGATTAAGCAGTCAGAATGTGTGGTGCTTTCTGTGGTTGCTTTTTGGATGTGGGCTCTGCATTTGAATGTGCATCACATCACTTCTGAATGGGACTATGAGTGGCAACAATCATCTTAGTCTCCAACCAAATGTAATGTAAATGGCCATTGTAACCATGTCTTAAGAAGCCGCTTAGAAATGCAGGAAATATAGGGAACGTGGGAATGCTCTAGCCTCTGATTTGAATGGCTAAGCCTAACCAGTTGCCTGCCTAGATAGTTGTATCTAGAGACCCTTAGTAGTAGATGTTTGAATGGGCTCAGCTCATCCAAAGCTAGCTGCAAGCAATAGAACATGAGATTAACTTTTTAAAAGTTGTGATAACATATTCTTCCTAAGGGATGCCATAGAGTAAAGAGAAGGATCAAACTTTATCTGTGTAAATGCCTCTAGTTTGGGGGGCAGGGAGTTGACAGGGAGGGGGAACTAGAACCAAACAGGCTTTCTTCAGGCATGCATATTTGGCATTAACTAAATATGTATGGGGGGGCAATGAGAATGAGCATACTAGCTTTGTCCTGCCATTATTCTCATTTCCCTCCATAAGTTGGAGAATGACTGATTGGAGTAGGGAGCTTCCATGAGAGCAATGGCAAAAGGTTTGTCTGGAGCTAGTGTGCTGATCCTTTATAGCAGGCTTCCTCAAACTCTGCTCTCCAGATGTTTTTTTGCCTACAACTCCCATGATCCCTAGCTAGCAGGACCAATGGTTAGGGAGGGTGGGAATTGTAGTCTCAAAGCATCTGGAGGGCTGAGGTTGAGAAAGCCTGCTTTATAGCATCCCCTTGCATGTTTCAGTTAATAACCAATGTGCACACTTCATGAGGGTTATGCACAGCAAGCCATTTGGAGGGTTGAGTAAGCATGCAGCAAAGAGCAGGCCTGAATGAGAGAGAGGAGTTTTATAGAAACAAGGCTGTTCAGAGTCTATATCACCGTGTGATTTCCCCACTCCCTTCATGGATTTTAAATATCTTGGCTAGCTTGCATTACTTTGAACAGTGAGTTTTCTTTTTAAAGAGATTTTCTGACTGATAAACCTCTGATTCATGGAAATGTTTCTGTTCTTAGTATGAATTGATGTCTTGTGTGTGTACATAGCCAGTGGCATTAATCCTGTGCCCAGGACAGAAGAAAGCAGAACTGGTGTTTGAGTTTCTGGAAACTTACAGCCATTGTTCCAGGCCTATTCACCCAATATTGCTCTTACTAGGAACAAATAAGGAAGAAATACAGAGCACAAGAATTCCAAGAGGATGTAAGCATAACATGATCGTTAATGCTGAAAATATGATTGAATAAATTTATCTGGACCATAAGGGAATAACAAAATATAAAATGCAAATATGGTATAAAATCATACAGTAACATTAACTTATTAAAGTGGTCTATCATAAGTGTGACTAAATCATTCTTATACCGTTTCAGTGCCACAAAGCGAAAATGAAAATATTGCTTTAAATTGGCAATTCACATGAACTATAAAATCCATATAAAGATAACCAATTAACTGCAGTTTACCAGGACATGTATACTTGGCATCTGACTTGTGTTGTGTAGAAAAAGAGGGGAGGGGAGAAGCTGAATTCATCAAAGCTAATTGGATTTCACATTCTTAATTTGTACCTTGCTATGCAGATTTTTGTTCCAGTTGATAAAGCAAGTTAGAGGGTTATTACTTTCCAATTGTCTGTAGCCCTAGAAACAGGAAGCTGCTTTTTAATACAGAATTGGTCTACCTAGCTTAGTATTGAATACACCAGGGGTCAGCAAGGTTTACCTCGCCTGGGCCAGTTCACTCCAGCAGAGATCCCTCCGTTGGCCGGATTGCACACTCACGATTTCCGGTGTCTGCGTCTGCGCAGAGGCAATTTCCGGTGCCGCGGAAGCGAGTCGCCGTGCTGCGCCAGTTTAGCGCAGCACGCAGGGACTCGCCAAGCAGGCGGCTCAGTTTGGGGGCAGCCCATGGGCTGGTTAAACGGCCCCCATGGGCTGCTTGTGGCCCACGGACCTTAGGTTGCCTACCCCTGGTCTACACCTACTAGCAGTGGCTCTCCAGAGTTTGATGGGAATCTTCTTAACCCACTTGGAGATGCCAGCTCTTGAACCTGGAACTTTCTGATAGCAAAACACCTACTTTGTCACTAAGCTACAGCACTTCGTAAGTGCAAATCACTTCTAGGTAACATAACAGGAAAGCTTTCATAAACAAAAGAACAGGTTCTTTTTTTCCCTTGGGTTGTCTGTGGGTCATCAATTATTAGCTAGCATGGGTGTAACTGGGATACAGGCTAGTAGTTTTTGATGGTACTTTATGCTTTTTTTGAGATTTCAACCAAATAATGTGACAACTTCCTTACAGGTGAGGTCCTTATAACAACCCCATATACCCTTCTGAGGTTGCTTGAATATCACAGCTTACTGTTCCTCAGGCTCTGCCATCTTGTGTTTGATGAAATTGATGTGTTGTTTGCTGAAGCCAACATAGAAGTAAGTGTGGGTTTTTGCACATGAGATAAATGTGCTAATATAATGTGAACTCAAAGAATATTATAAAAAAGATACAATCTTGGTTGCCCCTAGCACAGATTGTGCTTTCCCCCAAAATAGTCAACTATACAGTATTGTGTATGTCAAATATACAGTGCTAAAAAGTTCTTCCTGGTGCGGAACCAGGGATTGCCTGTGAACCAAAGACCTAGTTCCACCCAAAGCAGCTAGTTGATTAGTACTGTAAGTTAAATGTCTTCCCATCACCAATTCTGCCTGTAGTTTACCCATAGTATTACTTTTAGCAGATGGAAAAGATAATGATGGGTGTTAATTCCTGTTTTATAGATATTTCGTATTCTAGAATATTACAAAACAGCCTTGAACGTTGAAGAGAAAGAATCTGCACCTCAGCAGATCGTTGCTCTCGGAAGGCACTGGAGCAAATACATAGAACGCTTAACCAAAGAGTTCATGAATGATCCGTATGTTGTGATCACATCCATGGAAGAAGCTGCCATATATGGCAAAGTGCAACAGGTAAAATATTAGGAGCTTTACAGCTCTCTTATATATTTGCTTTTGGATTGAAGACTAGGCTCTGCACAGGTTCACTAACTTTTCCAGGCACAAATTATAAGCACTGTGGCTTTTAAACTACTAAGTGGAATTTGGAGGTTGAGATTGGCTATGTACAGAACAAATCCAGTTGGTCAGACCTGTTGGTTAAGAAGCTGGAAACATTAAGGGTTATAATAAGAGTAACTTCCTCAGTTTTGAGAATAGCATCAAGAATGGTTCCTATGAAACCTGCTGGTTTAGCTATGATGTGCAAAAATAGGAGGATAAGAATGCTTATTATGTGTGTACGGTTTCTTGAGCTGGTTACTTGAAAGTAAGATTGAGAGGTGCTCATAAATTTTTCACAGAACAATTTCATGAATTTTCTATCCCAGAAGCGCTGATTAAACAAAAGGATAAATTAAACTATTGTGGAACCCCATCTTCATGTTAAATAGGGTTAATTCAGCATCTCCATATAGAAGGTTGTAGCCAGTGCTAGTCCTACTCAGAGTAGACCTATTGACATTAATAGGCATGACTAATCTTGGTCCATCAATTTCAGTGGGCCTACATTAGGTAACATTGTTGGATACAAGCCATGGGTATTTTTATTCCCTAACATAAAGGGGAAGCAGAAGTGAAATACTTGGCTTTTATAAAGAGTGATTTAATTTAACCTGACACATTTGAACTACATGTGATTTCTAGGTGGTGCAGCTTTGCCTTGAGTGTGACCGAATCTCGACTTTACTTCAGTCATTGGACTTTACTCCTACTAATGTTCAGAAAACATTGATTTTCACCAGTTCCGTAGAAGAAACAGATATAATTTACAAGGTATTTCCCCCCTAAATGATACAGTCCAAATTGTTTAGAAAGAAAGATTCTCCTCTTTTCTATCCCGGTTAATGGATAAATACATAGCTGAAAAGGCAATAAGAGGGTGTTGCAAAAGGAAGAGGTTTTATTTCTTATTTGAAAAGCCAGCTTTTCTAAGCTTTGCATAAGGCATATGAAGTGTTGTCCTATGGGAATCTCAAAGCAGGAAAAGCTAGTCACTTCCAGAAAAGGACTGGTTTCCTCCCCCCACCCCCCAGTGGTGAGATATACTCCAAATCTGGTATCAGTAGTCTTAAGTGGTCAATTGGCGATTTTAGGCACTTGAGCGACTCCCCTAATGACTTTGAACTTGCATTACTCAAAAATACCAATGCATTACAACAGAGCCAACCAATTATGATTAGTTGGCCCTTTGTAAAAGAATTGTGGGGTGAAAACCCGGACCCCAAATATTGCTTTCTCAGCCAGGATGCAAAATCTCAGGTACTCCAGGTGACACTGTTTTGCTACATCAGCAGATAAGGGTGTTTTGCATGCAACTCCAGCAGCAGGACTGATCAACGTTAAGGCACTGGCTGAGGTCCCACCCACATCGCTGCCACTTGCTGGCCCTGGTCCTCCACAACAGGAGCCCAGATCAAACATGAGGGGCAGGCAAGAGGCGTTGGCGGCGCCGGGACTGTCTGCCTATGGGGCTGCCTCAAAAGCAGCAAACAGAAACAGCTGGGGTTCAAAGGGCAAAGATTGATAACAGCACCCGAGCCCTTTCACTCTCATGAATACGGCTAACAACTCTTCAAAAAAACAAACAAACCTTTGCTTTTGAAGCTGTTACATTATTTTGTTTGCTAGAAATAAATATTGAACTTGAGGGGTAATTCAACTAGCTTAAAAATGTGGCAGAATGGTGTGCCTGTGTCAGAGAGACAGACAAGGAAAATAATAGGCAGGAGATGCTTGCCAGTGGCTTCTGAAACCACTGCTTGGTGTTTCAATCCTCCCCACTTTGGCACTGTTGACAAATTATACTGATGAAATGAAAGCTTTGGCTAACTCGGATAGATTTTTGCATTGAAGGACTCTGCGTGCCATTGAGTTATTCAAAATAAACCCCATATCTCATCATTCTTTAATTTGAGATAAAAGCAACTAAGATTAAAAAATCTACAGTGAAAGACGTTTTCTTGCACTCAGGCTCTGCTTTGTCAGAGGCATGAAATATTCGTTTGCAGGAATAAAAAATTATTAGGTAGGAGTTTGACAATGAGATTCAAAAAAATGCAGTTGCTGATAATGAGAGTTCACATGTCTGTTCAGTTGGTACCCTTTTTGCAGCAGCCAGCAGGTGATAGTGGGGCTAAGAGGAAGGAGTTCAGAAGTGGAAAGGAAAGGAAAAGACCAAGGGGCCAGCCTTGGTTGCCTGTGTTCTGAAACATCCCTGAAGGGAAGGACAAAAGTCCTGGTATGACTGATAAGGCTTTGCCTTGTTAGTGGAGTGTTCCCACAACAACCAAAGTCACTGTGTTGATTCCCTTGCTGCAGGGGATGTGTTGGGATACTGCCAGGGAGACAAAGTCCATCATGGCCCCCAAGCCGGCTGCCGGACGATCCATCGATCTCTGGTAGTTACAGTATCGGCAATTAGCGACACCAGTTTCCAGAAATAGCTTGCCACATTCCAGAGCTCATGCACACTCTATCAGCAGATAATTCACAGCAGAAGTTGCACGCAGGAGAGCATTATTTACAAGTTTTATTCAGCGTTGATCAGAACAAAGAAAAACATGACTGCCTGCATCAGTGTCTCCAGACACAGAGAGAGAAACGAAAGCAACAGAAAAAAATATACTTCCTGTGAACAGGAAATACGCAGACTCTGTGACTCACAGCCTGCTCCCTTTTAAGGTGGAACGGAAATATCCTAACAGGATGAACGTTTCTTCGGGCTGCAAAGCAGTAAGGCAGGCAACAGGGAAGGCACTTCTGAGTTGAAACAGCATAAATTGGCAACACAAGCAGTGCAGCAAAGTTTACAGAGGCAGCGTTTTCACTGCTGCTGATAGGTACAAGATCTTACCAAGGAATTGATAAGCATTCCAAATGAATTGGTCTTTGTCTCCTTATTTCACAAAAGGCCATGTATTTGTTTGATATATAAATGAATATAATCATCCAGGGACACATTAGCCTTCATTTAAGGGGTAAATGAAACTGACCCTTTAGACAGTGATGGCCAAACTTGGCCCTCCAGCTGTTTTGGGACTGCAACTCCCATCATCCCTAGCTAACAGGACCAGCGGTCAAGGATGATGGGAATTGTAGTTCCAAAACAGCTGGAGGGCCAAGTTTGGCCACCACTGCTTTAGAACGTAGAAAATAAAAGATGACTCATGACCAGACTTTTAATTCTGAATGTAGCAGTGTTCAATTCAGTTTGTTTGTTTGTTTGTTTGTTTGTTTGTTTGTTTTTTAAATCAGAGCATTGTTCAGTAATTATACATTTCTTTTGTAATCCACATTGTTTGAAACCATTCTCTTTTTTAATTAGGCAGTGGAGAGCACTTCAATATTTTGTTTGAAAATGCACCCAGACATTGGATTTCATTTTGATTATGTTTTAGAGCAATGGGAAAAATTTTTTAGCTCTGGCACACATGTTGTACTAGGTAAATATATTGTTTTTCTCACATATGCTTGCTCTAAAACCTTTGTCAAAACTATAGTGACTCTCAATCTCTTTCATTACAATTTAATTAGATGTATTATTTGCTATGTTATCATTAAACTGTTCAGATAATTATTGTCTCCCAAAGTGACTCACGTAAAAAAAAATAATTAAAGGGGGGGGGAGGTTGCCATCAGGTTTGCAGGCTACAGTTTCCAGTTCTAAGCACCCCATGTCAAGAAGCATATTGACAAATGAACATGTGCAGAGGAGGGCAACCAAGATGACTGAGGGTCTGGGAACCAGTTCTTATGAGGGAGTTGGGAAGGTTTAGCCTGGAGAAGAGAAGACTGAAAAGGGATACAATGGCCATCTTCAAATATCAGAAGGGTTGTCACATGGAAGATGGAGCAAGCTTGTTTTCTGCTGGTCCAGAAAGCAGGACATTAACAAATAGATTCAAATGACGAGAAAGGAGTTTCTGACTATACATTAGGAAGAACTTTCTGCGTGAAAGAGCTGTTTGACAGTGGAATGGACTCCCTCAAAATGTGACTAGATGGCCCTTTGGGTGCCTTCCAACTCTATGATTCTGTGACTTTAGAAAGTGGTTGCCTCTCCTACCCTGGAGGTTTTTAAACACAGGTAAAATAACCACCCATCAGGTATTCTTTAGCTGTGATTCCTGTGTTTCAGGGGGTTGGATTAGCTCACCCTTGGGGTCCCTGCCAACCCTACAATTCCATGATTCTATAAAAAAGACAAGACACGCTTGGGAAAGGGAGTGAAAGGAGAGTAGGTAGAGGAGGGAATTCATTCTTCAAGGTTAGAGCAAAGTGCTGAGCTACAAGCATTTATATCCAATTTAGACCCGGCAGGTTTCCCTTTGCCTGGTCATCTTGCTTAAATCTCTGTTTATGTCTTTTGTTCCTTTGACTGATAGCTGAGGCCAGAGCATCCTTTTCCCTTGCTTCTGCAGCCCCAGGATAACAGGCAGTTGACATCCAGTATGTTTTGGCAAGAAGGGAGGAAAAATGCCAGGTACAGTGGTACCTCAGGTTACAAACGCTTTGGGTTTCGAACTCCACTAACCTGGAAGTAGTTGCTCCAGGTTGCGAACTTTGCCCCAGGATGAGAACAGAAATCGTGCGACGGCTTCATAGCGGCAGCGGGAGGTCCCATTAGTGAAAGCGCGCCTCAGGTTATGAACAGTTTTGGGTTAAGAACGGACCTCCAGAACAAATTAAGTTTGTAACCCAAGGTACCACTGTATCTTGCAAAGGTTTTTCCAGTTTCAGACTTGGGGCAACATGGTATCAAGCAGATTATAGCAATTTATGTAACATAAAACCCGGCTAAGGATTAATCAGTTAACTAAAAAACAGGGAAATTATGATAGAAAAGTTCCTTGTTTGTCTACATCATTTTATGCTATTCCAAGTACTTCTGATTGATGATTTTTATACAGCTTGCCACATTGGTGCTTTTTATCATTACCAGTATTGTCATTTTAAATAGGAGAGTGATAGGAAAGTGATTTGCAGGAGCCCTCCTAGAACTTGAAAATCAGATGATGAGAAGTATGTGTTGGTTAGGAGTGAAGTAATAAATTAGTGTTGGTTTGGGACTAAATTAATTTTGGTTTTGCCTTGCAGTGGTTTTGAATTATATGTTTTTTGGTTTTGCTTTCCAGTTTTAACCGATGACTGCATAAGAACCTTAGGAATTACTGATGCAACTCGAGTCGTTCATTTCAGTTTTCCTGCATCTCCAAGAATTTTTGGTGCACGCTTATACTGTTTGTCTGATAACTTCCAAAACTCAGTTGGAAAGGTTTGTACAAACCAAATGAACTGTTTATGACTGCGGAAATTTCAAACAAAAAATCTCCCCTTGTTCCCCTGCCCCTCCTCTATCCTAAAATTCTGCCTGTGATCTTCATTCCTCCAGCTCCACCACTCTTGATCCTTCAATTTTTTTCTCAAAGCGGTTTTCCTGTTGTCTTAGTCCTCCTAACTCCTGACACTTTCTCCCAGAATGCTCACCTGTTTACCTCCAGGCCTATTTCTTCAGTGACATTAGATTAAACCCCTTTATTCCTAACTTAAATTAAATTTTAAGTGTGCAAGTCTATCTGCTGGGATTTTGATCATGTTGCCATTTGCTTCCCTTCCTCTGGTGTCTGCCCCACTGTCAAAATTTTGGTTGCAAGGTTATTGAAGAAGAAGAAGAGTTTGGATTTGATATCCCGCCTTTCACTCCCCTTCAGGAGTCTCAAAGTGGCTAACATTCTCCTTTCCCTTCCTCCCCCACAACAAACACTCTGTGAGGTGAGTGGGGCTGAGAGACTTCAAAGAAGTGTGACTGGCCCAAGGTCACCCAGCAGCTGCGTATGGAGGAGCGGAGACGCGAACCCGGTTCCCCAGATTACGTGACTACCGCTCTTAACTACTACACCACACTGGCTCCACCACACTGGAGCAGGGACACCTCTTTTACTTTTGTTGTTGATAACACCCATTATAATACCTGATAATAAAAACTGAAGGCAAATGTTGCATTTTCTCCCCCTTGCGAAGATTTCGTCTCTGGAAAAAGAACAGCCAAATGCAAAATCCATCTTGCTGTTGACAGAAAAGAGTGCACCCCATGCTGTTGGAGTAATGCATTATTTAAAACGCACAGAAACCAACATTCCACCTGAATTATGCAACTTTACATCTGGAGTGCTGGAGGCCAAAGAAGACAGAAAGAAAGGAAGACCTCTCTGTCGCTACCTTAAAGCATATGGAGTTTGCAAGTAAGAAAATACCTGTTAACTTAGCAACTAGTTTCCTACCTTTAAAAAGACAAAGGGAAATGAAATTACTTATTCAATTCTTAAATGATATGATCACTTAATCACTTGGCAAAAGCAGATTGTCAGTTGTATGGCACAGGCATTCTGTCAATGCTTTGCCAGGGCTACCCACCTGTTCCTCACCACCACATTTGGATAACGCAAGGCAGAGTGGTGGTGGTGGGAGGAGGAGGAGAAATGGCTTGTTCTGCTCTAGAAGAAGACAAAATGCACAAGGAAAGAAGTGGCTTAGAAAAAAGGTTCTGCCTTAAAATCCTGTGGAGAGGAAAAGGTTCCTTCAAGATTCTATGGTGTGAAATTTATAAGGTAGGGTTGTGGGAGAAGCTTGATGGACCATTGATCTCTTTGGAAAGATTGGCCCAAAATAAAGATTGAGTTCAGTGAAACAATTTTTTTTAAAAAATGAATAAATGTAGAAACAACTTTAGTTTTTTATATTGGGAAAATTCTTTCTTTTTAAGGAAAGATTTTATTTGATTTTGGCAGAAGTTTATTTAGGATATCTTTTTCTGTAGACAAAATTTATATAGTGTTCTGTGAAATTTTCTTTTTAAAATGACCTGCATATGATTTTTAAAAAAAAACATCTGGCATATTCAGACTATTCAAAAATGTATTTTTTACTTGTTCTCTGAGACTGTTACATTTATACCAGCACCCAGAGTCTGCATCCTTCAGCAGTAGCTGGAGAAGGCATAGAGACCTTATAAAGAGGAAAATGCATAACTTGTAGACCAGGCTTCCTCAACCTTGGCCCTCCAGATGTTTTGAGACTACAATTCCCATCATCTCTGACCACTGGTCCTGCTAGCTAGGGATCATGGGAGTTGTAGGCCAAAAACATCTGGAGGGCCGAGGTTGAGGAAGCCTGCTGTAGACAGTAGTATTGTGCATTAACAAAGAGAAGGCAATTCCTGGTGTGATTATTAAAGCACTTGGAAATGCGCATTCTGCATTTAGGCTGTCATTTTAACCTAAGTGCATGAGCTGTACCACCAAACTACAGTCCTTTCGATTTCTCCAGGGAATCTTGTGGAATTTAAGTGAGCCACCTCCTGTATGGATGGCTACTTTGGGGCTCACAGAAGTATTTTTTTCTGAATTTATTTCTCATGGTGAACTGGTGTGCCCTAGTGTACAGTTTGGGAATTACAGCTCTTGAGTTTTATGAGTCCTGCATTCTGTATTTTTTCCCTGCTTTCCACGGCAGTTATAGGGATGGTTGTCATTGGCTTCATTCTTGCAAGCAACCATAAGCCAGGGTCAGAAATAAGCCATGGCTTTCCATGAGCAGCCAGGGTACTCTTGCACAGATGCTCCTGCTCTGCCTTGCCTGCCTCTGGAAGAAACAAGCAGTGAGGCTTGGTTTAGCATAGCCTGTGAGCTAATGCTCAGAGTCTGTTTCTCACCAAACAAATCACAATAAGTCAACCAAGGAGAGAAACATCCCACGAGTAGTGGGTCATATGTAGTGTTAAGCGAAACCTCATAGTCTGTCTCTTCCAGATGCAGACAGGCTGGCTGGAGTGGAGTAAAAGTTCTTTCAGCATTGGGTACTGGCATACTGCACAGGAAACTGTGGTTTATTTCTGGCTAGGGCTTACTGTTAAGTACAAAGCAGGCCAACAGATGCCATTTACAGGTGTCACCCCATTTAAGCATGATTGATTCACCCATGACTGCATATATGTGTGGCACCTGGAAATGAATAATTCAAACCCAGAAATCACAGGAGAGAGATGGAGAATCATCATGGCACGCAAGGAGACATTCCCTGGAGCCCGAAGACGACGTCAGTGAGGATAGAGGAAGCCCAGAATAAACCAGAGGTGCAGCTGCACTTTGTTTATGCTTATCAGCCTAATAGCTGATGTGGAGGGCGGGTAGTGCTTTGCTGCACATCCCCCATCCTCCTGCCAGGCCTAAAGCTTCAATTCTAGTTGTGGATATTTTTGGATACGGTATTTTTGATATGGATTGAAGAGAGAGCGACTTGGACTACTGCAATGCGCTCTATGTGGGGCTACCTTTGAAGGTGACATGGAAACTACAAGTAATCCAGAATGCGGCAGCTAGACTGGTGACTGGGAGTGGCCGCCAAGACCATATACAGTAACACCAGTCCTGAAAGACCTACATTGGCTCCCAGTACATTTCCGAGCACAATTCAAACTGTTGGTGGTGACTTTTAAAGCCCTAAACGGCCTCGGCTCAGTATATCTGAAGGAGCGACTCCACCCCTATCATTCAGCCCAGACACTGAGATCCAGCTCCAAGGGCCTTTTGGCAGTTTCCTCGCTGTGAGAAGTGAAGTTACAGGGAACCAGGCAGAGGCCCTTCTTGGTAGTGGTGCCCGCCCTGTGGAACACCTTCCCATCAGATGTCAAGGAAAGAAACAATTATCTGACGTTTAGAAGATACCTGAAGACAGCCCTGTTTAGGGAAGTTTTTAGTGTTTGATGTTTTATCGTGTTTTTAATATTCTGTTGGGAGCCACCCAGAGTGGCTGGGGAAACCCAGCCAGATGGGTAGGGTATAAATTATTTATTTATTTATTTAAAGGGTCCTTAGAGGGTATTCCTCACTTTACGTGCTTTCACTTGTGCCAGGAACGTAACCCCTGCCGTAAGTGAAGAGTCACCTGTATTCTTACCAGCCACCTGTATTCTTGTCACCTTCCTGGCATTTGCTCTCTTAAAATACTGAATTCTTCTTTTATCATTATTCTGCCACAGGGATAAGAAACGCTGTCCAGATCGACATCGAGTTAGTTTACAAATAGATGTGCTACAAAAGGTAACAAATGAAACTTTGCCTGCAACTGGAAATGTAACGGTAAGTTAGTAGTACAGCTTCATTCTTGCATGTTAAACGTGGTGTATCTATCTTCTGGTGGAAGAGAGTTCAGGCCCCAGAGCATGAAAGAATCAGAGCTCCAGATAATTTCTTTTGATCCGCTGATCACAGATCTTCTGCCTTCCCAAACTTCATTTTACATAATAAAATGAATTTTCCTCCTCCACTGCAAATCTTTCACAGATGATTCCCCCCCCCCCTTATAGCTGTTTATGCTGGCAAAAGTAAACTGAGCTTTCTTTGTGGAAACTGGACTGTGTTTCATAATAGGCATACTGGGGAACTGGAGCAGCAGTCTTTTTAATTACTGTAGGAAGATACCTTAGATTTCCCCCCAAATTTTTGGAGTACCTATGGTTGCAAGCTGCTATGTATACATGGCCTTGTCATCACTGATGTAGTATATTACTCAAATTAGATGTGAATGTGGAAGATCTGTGTTGTTAACAATCCATCTGCTGCAGTCAGACAGAAAGTTGGGCAGAGCAGCACTCAGTCTGATTTTAAGCTCCAGAGCAGAGTGCAACAGTCAGGGGGCTGAGACTCTCACAGCCCTCTTTCAAGGTACTGTTCCCACTTGGGGAACTAATGCTTGGAAGAGAGCCTGGCTGAGAGGTTTGTTGATTGATGATACAGAGAAGGAAGCCTTGGGGGGATGCAGTCTCTCTCACTTCCTCCTTTTCTCCTTAAAATGGACCACTTTCCTTACTTGCACATTCTGTATAATTCCAGTAGGTTTGGATAAAACATTCAGAGGTCCTTCACTTGCATGTAGTTTAGGTCTCAGAGACTCGGCTCATGTGGGAAAGAGAGGGGAGGGAAACAATCAAGAAGAGATTTGTTAAAAGTGCCAGAAATGAGGCCAGAACATGAGAAAAGTGCACCCTCTGCACATGCAAGGATGTGGCGAAACCTTTTGGAATGTTTATTACAAGATATGTTTTACGTGTTGGTATGAGTTTTCTTGTTTGTTATTATTGCAATCTGAAAAAGATGAGTGCTGGAAGCAGGTGAATTTAAAACAAACATTTAAATCCAGTGACTTGGGAATACGCCTATTTGCTAAAGTTGCAGCACTCCTTTTCACATTTATTTTCCCTCTTTCAGATCCTCCCTCTTTTTATTGTGGATGCCACAAACTACTTTGGCCGCATTGTCAGTAAACAGAAAGATCCATATGCAGCTCTTGCAGATGAAGTGAATGCATATTATAAAAAAGCCAAGAATCTTGTCCCTGCTGACCCATTGGAGAAGCTAGCAATGTATGGATTACGTGAAGAAAACACTTTCCACAGGTAGAATGTTTCGCTTCTTCTGCAAACAAATTTTGGTATAATCTAGCCTAGCGGTTTTCTATGCCAGTAAAAGCTATTCAGACCTAGGCACAGAGATGTACAACTAACAATATAATCTGTACAACATAATTTGTAAATGTTCAATATTTCTGGATGGATTGCTTTATACAGGCTTGCTTGGATCCTGTTATGTACTGAGTTGAATAGGATCCAAACTGCAGCAGTCTGATTGGTCCTAGAACAATAGGACCCAAATTGCAGCAGTCTGATTGGTCCTAGAACAATAGGATTCAGAATGCAGCAGTCTGATTGGTCCTAGAACAATGCAGCAGTATGATTGGTTGGCAGGAACCACCCAATCATGCTCCAGATATAAGTGAATCCACAACCTGATTAGCTTACAGTAGAATTCCAGAATTAGCCAATCATGTGCAGCCCATTGTGTAAATAATGTATATAAAGCAGATACTTTGAGGGGACTTTGATTCATTCCTCCTCACCACTATGAGCTGAATAAAGAGCATGAAATCACTTTGCGACTCTGAGTATATTTCAGATCCCCCACTCCTTTCTTTATGGGTGCCCATGGGATCATCTGGGAAGCACTTAGCCTCAATATAACTTCCATAAAAAATGTAAACACAAATAAACCTTTAAAGATAGATTTGTGCTGGAATGGCTGGTACAGGGAGAAGAACTGTGTGATCCGAATTCACTGATGTCATAGGCACTGTACAGTGGGTGCCTGTGAAGTCATGAAGTCTCATTAGCAGAATTCACCAACAATGTTGCTGCTACAAGGAAGGGAGAATTGCATTTTAACAGCAGAACTGAACTGCAGTTTTAGTCCTAGATTTCTTGAAATCTGGAAGGAAGTTTACGAGCATAGCATCATCTCTTAAAGATAAACCTTCTATACAAACACATAAGAATTCTGTTGGTTTAACTTTACCTTATATGTTGGAAATTTTTTAATTTCCCTTTCTTCCATTCTGTTACAGGGTCCAGGTGCTTGAAGTACCACCCAAGGGAGAAAACTCTGTATTTTATAGCGTTCATATCAAGTATATAGATGAAGGCAGATTTGGTCAAGTTCAAAATTATAAATTGCTTTACTTACCTGAACAATTCCAAGCTTTGCCCCCTCAAGCAGTGGAATTTATTGTTTGTCGAGTTAAACCCATTGATAATGAAGTGGAATGGAATCCAAAAGTAAGTTTACTCCTTTTTCTTACTTTCATTTGTGTTACGGTACACAGAGAAATCGGTGCCTAAACTTGTTTCAGTAATGGCCAGCTATTTTTTGTTTTTGTTTTTTAAAACAACTTTTTGCAGGTCACTAGCCTGTATTAAGCAAAACATTTGATATCTGAGGATTTTTCTTTTTTGTTAGGTTACGAGATACATTAATCAGATGATCAGAGGGAAAGCTCATGAAGCAAAAATAGTACTTGCTTTGGGAAACACAATTTGGGTGGATCCAGTGGTATGTAGCAAAACATTAAATACTTTATCTAACTGCCTAATAAATTCCAAAGTGAACTTCTTTTAAGTTGGTACTGAGGAGTCTTCCTTCCTTCCTTCCTTCCTTCCTTCCTCCTTTTGAATATGGGATACTTTGAATGTGGTACAAGATACTTGGTTTTCTCAGGTTTGCCACATTATACCACTTTGATCAGCATGCTCCCAGCTTGGTGGTTGTATTATCAGGTGGTTTTGCTGGGATATTATGGATTTAAGGACCGTGAAAAGAATTATTCACTGAGGTTTGGTTTAGAAGTCTCCAGTACTGCCATCTTAGTATTTTAACAATGGATAGACAGATTTTACAAATGGTTTGGAAAATCTTCCCAAACATTTGAGCTGCTAGTTTTTAGAGGAGGCATTATTGACATGGCACCGTTTTTACAGTGGGCAACTTTGATTTTAAGAAGGACTTGGCCACATCTGTATTAGTGATGAAAACATTAATAATTTATCTGGTGGTGGGAGATTTCTGTGTCCAAAAGCACAGAAATTTTGGCAGGAAATTTTGGCAGTCCTTACTGATCATCACAGAGATGTTGAAATAGAACTGGGATTAGCTTTGCTCTCTTTATTTAAAGGGTGCAGAAGGGATCACCCTTGTAAGAATCTGATAAACCACCTCCTTGTGGCAGCACACATGCATCTGGGATTAGAAAGATGCAGACAGATGTACCATTCACAAGTGGTGTGATAGGGTATGGTACTTGGTTTGACTGTGATGATCAGTAAGGATTGCAAAAACTTTCTGCCAAAATTTCTGTGCTTTTGGATACAGAAATCTCCCACCAGAGACAGATCAATGTACCAATCTAAGGGCTCAACTCTAGTTGATAGTTGCAGCAGAAAGAAGGAAGATAAGGAGGTCAGTTTCATAGTCATAACTAGGAAGTTTGAGGGATGAAGGAGCTGCAAACTAGTGGTGTGAAAGCAAATACTACTTATTCATAATTAAATTTCAGGTTCGTGTCACCAGACTTCTAGATCTGAAAACGTCTATTAATGAATACAATATTCGTTCTGAGATCCTGTCTACTGGAATGGGAACTGACAACCCAGAACACATCAGTGAACTCCAGAAGTTATATAGAGATGCTGAAACGGTTCAAGAGGAAAAGGAATTACCTTCATTGTAAGGGAGTGACTTCAATTTCTTCTTTTTAAATTATGAAGCTTTAAATTTTTAGCTAAAGAAGTGTTGTGTGTACTAAAATTAGAAGGTAACAGTTCAATGACATATTGAGATCATAACAGAGGCTAAGGGATTGCATTAGCTGGCATTCTGTTCTCCTTAGTTTTATAGCACTTACATTTTAATAACACCTGTTTAGGTAGTTTTCAGGGGTGTTGCAGTTTCATTCTGAAACTGAGGTTGATCTGTTTGAGCATTAATTACTTGGTTTGATATTGGTTTTACTGTATTTTACAGTTTATGATGTGAGTCACCTTAGGAGGGGTATATAGTCCTTGAAATGCAATGTATAAATAAGTTAGTAGGGCTTTTGCTCTTGGATACACATGGACAAACTACTCTCGCTATTCTGGTAACCTCTGTTGTTGAGCTTTCACCACATTTTCTCTGAGAGCTCTCCTTGTTTAATAGATTCAGTTCCAAAACTTGTCTTGGTGTGGAACGTCTTGAGTGTCCGGGGTGAGTGTAGCTGGTTTCTAGTGTGCTGGAGTCTCAAATTAGTTTCTAAGGCTGAGATTGACTAGAGAGAGAAGGAAACTTCCCTCCTAGGTGAGTCCTTTCCCAAGTGTCCCTGTGGTGATTCCTTTTTAAGCCAGAAGTTTGGGGCAGGCTGCATTTGAGCAGGGAAAGGCTGTTTAACCCTTTCTTCTTGTGTCATTTTCTAACTCAGAATCAGTGTGCCCAAGCTTCTGTTGCACCCAAAGGTAAAAATCTTTGCACCAGAGGATTAAAAACAATGCGGGGAGTATAATTTTTGAGCAGGAAAATGACACAAGTAGAAAGTATTTCATCATCCTTCCTCATCACAGCCTTTTTCCACGCAGACATTCTGCCCCTAGCTGGAGGTTTTAAAAAGCAGGAAGAACTGCAGAACACGTTGAAGCCTAAATGTGCCTTATATTGGCTGGAGACCAACATCACTCAGTGTCTGGACTGCTGCCCATCCAATGAGTAAAATGTTCTTTTAAGCAAAGTGCACTGTAACATCTCACACACCCCTTTTAGGATACATCCACTGAAGTGTGGGGTTAGTGAGCAGGCCGCATCTCCTTCACAAAGCATCTTGGACCAGGCTACTCTCAATTCACAGGCCTCCAAAGAACAAGCCGTATCCAATGTGCGGAATGATGTGCAAGAGGGTGATGTTATTACAAATCAGAGTTTTTCTCAAGAAACTTTACAAAATCATCATGGTAAGTATGCTGCCTTGAAAGGACCTTTATGATTGATTGATTGATTGATTGATTGCACACACGTGTGTGTTATCTCCAAATAACGGAAGGTGGCATACACACTGCCTTCCATGTCCAATTTATCCTCACAACAACTCTCTGAAGTAGCTTAGGCTGAGAGTTAGTGACTGGTCCAAAGTCACCCAGGTGGCTTCGTGGCTGAGTGGGGATTACATAAAAAGAGTTGGCTTCAGACCCTAAAATTAATATGCAATAGTTTTAAGGGCACAAGGTTATAGGATGATATTAAAACAAATATGGAACAACAAATATAAACAGCTGTTAATGCAACAAACAACAACAGTAAAGAAGATCGCACATGGGTGAAGGGAAGTAACAGGTTTAGGGGGAGGGAAATGAGGGCATTAATTGAAAAATTGTTAGATATATATGGGACCTAAGAGATAAAGGATAAGGAACCGAAAGGAGACAAATATTAAGGAATAGTAAAATAAGGGAATCTGAGAAGAATCAGTACAAACGAAAATATGAGACTCAAGGTTTTGTTATATACTGTTTTGTCTTGGATTTGAAGTCTTCTGTTGTAAAGATTGTACATAAAATGAATAAAGAACTCTAGCTTGCCAGGTTCAACACCCATCCCCCTGGATAGCAAAAGGCGTCAACCAAAATTATCATTCCTGGGGGCAAAGCATCTGCTTCAGGCAATGGAGTTTTAGACTCTTTGGAAGCCCACTGTGAACTGCTCATAAAGCACTTTGAGGGTAAAACTGCTCACCCATGTAGCAATCTTGATGCCACATCCATATTTACTGCAGTCTCCAGTGAGGTATCCACTACAGCAGCTGCTACAACTTACTAGGATTTGTTTCAGTGGATGTGGATGAGGTCCTTGTGATGATGTAGCCAGCAACATGCCTTCCCGTCCTCCTTACCTTATTAAAGTTTGCCAATGAGATATGACCAAGTGGATCCAGGGTGCAGCCAATGCATCCTTGTGGGAGGGAGTGATCTGATGGGCTGCAAATTCCCCCTTTTTTCAGAAAAGTTGCAGCGCAACAATTGCAAGTAGTCTTGGATAAAAGAAATAGTCTCAAACTCATTTCAGTCTGGATTCAGGCCTGGTTATGGGATTGATTCAGCCTTGGTCACCCTAATGGATGATCTTTATCAGGAGAAAGATGGGAAATGTGGCCCTGTTACTCTTTCTTGATCACTCAGTGACTTTTGAAATCATTGACCATGGAATCCTTCTGAACTGAGTGCTAGGAACCTTCAGGGTGGATGTAGGAATCAGACTTTTAGTGTTGTGGCTCCTCCCCATTGAATATTAGACAGGTTGTCTTTTTGGCACCTACTGAAGATCTTCCTCTTTCAACAAGCCATTTAAGTTAATCTTTTCCAGGCTGTATCTGTATTAGAATTCTTTTAAGGAGTTTTAAAGATTTTTTGTTTGTTCTATTACTTATTGTTTGTGCTCAGGATAGGCAGATATAAATTTAATAAATGGAATTCAACGTCATACTAATATGATTGTTCTGTCAGCGCACTCATTTATGCTTGCTAGGTGGAACTATTCCCCCCCCCCCGTGTGCTCTGGGGTGGGGGAGAGTGTTGCGCAGATTGATTTATTGCTCAGATAAGCCTGAGGTCCGGCACACTTCCCACTGCGCAGTTCTCCTCACAGAAAGTACTACTGATCCTCCAAAGCCAATTTGGGGGTGGGCTAGTGGAACTCCCTGTGCTGGCTTCCACTAGCACAAGTGTTAGCTGAATCTGGCTCCGTTATAACAATAATAATGAATTGCACTTACCAGTTGCTTTTGTATATACAAAAAGTAACCCAATGCAGCTTGCCAAATGTGAAATCTTCCAGTTGCCCATATAGCTTTACTGAAGTCCTGTATTTACAGTATGTGCTGTGTAAAATTAATTTGTTCTGTCTTTCATTTAGACGAAATGACTGCAGCTAAGAAAGCAGATGAATGTCTACAGCCATCTTGTGAATGGTATCAATTTTAATTGTTTCGTTTGGAGCTTATGTCGTTCCCAGTCCCAATGCCTTGAGTGGGTAGCAGGGTTTTTTCTTTTCTCTACTTCCCTATCCCAGACCGCCAAAGGCAGTTTCATGCCATTCTTTAAAGAAGTACAGGCATGGACTTTGGCAAGCCTTAAAAGAAAGGGAACTCCAAAGTTTGGTGGGGACAGTCTCTGTGAGTCCTTGTGGGTCCTTGAAGTACATAGTGTATTTCAATAAAACATTACCAAGGTTAGGCTGCTCTGGACTTTCTAGGCTATTGCTACAAGCACCTGAAGATGGGCCATAGTGTTGGCACCATCTAAAGCTGCAGAGCTGCTGAGAGCACCCCTATATCAAGCAGCCTTGAAAATATGAAGGCCTGAGTGCTGATAGCTGGTTCTCTGGAGGCATGCAGAAGGACTCTAGAAAGCAGTGGGTTAATGTCCCCCCCCCCAAGAGATAGGAACAGGTGAGTTGAAACTTGAGTCCTGGGCAGGTCCAAAGTACTGCCCCTCTAGCTCTTTTCCTGACCTTGTCTAGAAAGTGTTCAAAACTCCCATTGTTCTAGGCACATTTTGCAACACAGAATTTCATTAGCGCAAGTAGTTTCTGAGCTCTGGGCACAGTACTGTGCCTAAGATTTCAGCTTAACACTGCAGAGTGGAAGGAAAGGAGGACCTTTTCCTGCCTCCCCACTTCCAGATACACTCTGAAGACTGGATAAGGGACCCTCTTAAGAATATTACGGGGGTAGTATTTTTAAGTGGAAAACTGCCTTGGGTCTTGGCAGGAAACATTTGCAATAAAAACATGGAACCGTTTTCTGGAGTCCTCCTGCACGCTCTAGGAAAGAGCACCCACTGTGTGTGAACCAATTGCCCAGCCTGTATATATGAGAAAAGTTAGGGATCTGTATGGTCTGTTACAGTTTTTTGTGGGACAAGGGTACGTATGAAAAACCAGCTTCAGCCATATTTCCATTGCAGAGCATTGCCGTGAGGGGAGGCTCTTAATGGAGCTCCATCACCCCACCCCCACCAATATACTTATTCAAGCTCTTCTGTCTGATTTGCTTTTTTCCCTCTTGTAATGTTGATATTCTTTTCCACATGGGGGTTGAGTCCAACCACAGCAGTTAACCAGATGCTCCCGAGAAGCTCACAAGAAGGGCCCAATGGAGAAAGCCATCCTCAGCTTTCCCAGGCATCTGCTAATCGGAGGTAGGCTGCTTCTGAAGAGGATGTGCCTTTATTGGCTGTCACTTTTGGCATTATCAAACCTTTTTACTATATGTTGTGGAATCGAGCAGTAGCATTACATGGCTTGTTAACTGAATTACTCCCAGGATATTGGAAATTCCTATGTAGGAATTTGTATTTAAAAATCAAATCCATTTTAACCACTGTTTTTTCATTTTTTTAGCTTCTATCCATCAATAAAATGGTTTGAAAAGCAGGATGTTGTTGTTCTGAAGATAAAATTACAAAATATTACCAGCTACGACTGCAAGTTTTTCTCCCAGAGGATCATTTTCAGGTAGATAGGAAATATTTTACCAAAAAGGATTTAAAAAATGATTTGTTTCTGTTTTCAAACTAATATTTTAAAATACTGTCAGTGCTTCTGTAGAAGACAGATTTTATTTGGCTGATATGGAGCTGCAGAAAAATATCATCAAAGAAAAATCAGCTTGTGACCTTAAGAATGGCGAACCTGTCATTACCCTTGCAAAAGAGAAGGCTGAACCTTGGTGCAGCTTGCTGAAGGACAAAGTAGGTTGGACATTCAAAAGTGGCTTATGGATCTTAAAATATTGGCATGGTAGACTGATGTATTCTGAAATGTTCCTTCCAACAGAATCCCCACGTCTCCTTTGATTTTGATTACTTGGATTACTCTGAAGAAAGAAGTCCCTTTTCTGCTGGTAAGCCACTAATTGCATTTTGTGTATACATGCCTCTTCAGTCATAGAGTGGGCCACTCTTTTCATTTGTTTCAGAGATAGGACTGCAAATTACTTCTTGCTTGGGTCCCCTTCAGTGAGAGGAGTCTCTCTCTCTCTCTCTCTCTCTCTCTCTCTCTCTCTCTCTCACACACACACACACACACACACACACTGCTTCAAAGCAGCAGGATTTTCACAGAACTTGGATCCTTCTCTTTCTTTGTCATGATAGCAACTAGTTTAAACATTTCTGTCCCTGATACTGATGAGGGAAGTGCCTGCTACAGATCTGTTGCATACTCTGTGGAGGGGAGAATCAGAGCTGGCTGCAAGGAGGAGCCTTCCTGGGCTAGCATCGTAGGCAGTCAGCATCCTCCTTTTAGCTGGAGTGATATAAACCAATGTCTGATGACTCTTGTTCTGGTAGACAGGAAATGTGGAAAGAGCCTGTGGTTCACAGGGATGTCTGGAGGGCGGATGTGTCTCTGTGCACTCTCTAGGGCAGGAGCTCACTGGGGTGCTGACACTGGGTTGCACTAAATGCATAGTGAACAGCTACCATGTCTGGTTTATTGGTTTGTTTATTTGTTGTTTTTTAAGAAACAAAGTGTTTGCTCTTTTTTCAATCCTTTTCATAAGCTACTAGAATGAAAGCGTTAGAGATAATATCTCTTATACCCATTCTCAATTATTTGACTTCTGATCTGCATTTTACGCACACACACACACACACACACATCACCATCTCCTGTAAGGCTTTTCCTTTTTAAAAAACACCCATTGGTGTTAAAGAGTCATAGCCTTGTGGGGGAGGGAGACCATTTTTTGTCAGGATTTCATCTGGGGAGGAAAAGGTGAACCCTCCCCCTCCCCCACACCCTACATTCACACCCTAAAACCAGCCACCAGTTGGCAGCCAGTATTGCTTGTCCTATAGCACCCAGGGCCATTAAGAACCAAGCAAGACCCTCTCTTCAAAGGGGCATGTTAAACTGTACTAGAATGCTGGAAATTAACTTTTCTAGATCTATGTATAATGTGCTTTTTTCTTAAGCAGGCACAGGTCCCAAGAAAGTGCACCTGGTTTATACAGAGGAGGAAGAGGAGGAGGACTCCTCGGATGACAGTGACACCGAGAGTGATTTGTCCACCTGTTAATTCTGGTTTGGAAATGGGGATTAAGAACTCGGCTGTCACATGAGAACCCGCAGCTTGGGTGGCATTTCCATAATGAAAGCATTTTAGCTTTTTGAACATCAGGAAAAGTTCTAAATTTTGACCATGATTTTGAAGAGGGTTGTCATGGTGGGAGGGTGGGATGTTTGCTCTTCGACTTAACTGCCATAGACTGATCACATGTACAATTGATTTCAGTGAGTTTTAATTCATGGTACATTTGCTCTGAGTAGAAGAGTTGTGGTGATTTTTGCTAAGTACCTAACCATGAAACCAATGGAGGGAGGTGAAAATCTCTCTCTCTCTCTCTCTCTCTCTCTCTCTCTCTCTCTCTGGCTATTCTCGGAGCCTGTTTCAAAAAAAAGCACAGCTTCTGGCCTTTTCCTCACAAAACAAATTATTTAGATATTTAGACAAAAGGAGTTAAGAGTAGAAACAGTCTGTTGTACTGCTAGAGACAGGTGTTCAATCTAGCATAATATTTAGTTCTGATCCTAATTTCTTTAAGAAAATGTAGCCATCAAAACCAGTTTAATACTGGTGATGTACTAAATGTACCCTTTGTTAGCTGTACCTTAAGGTGTAAAACTATAAGATGCTGACTGATCTGTGCAGAAAATATTTTTGTTTTCAGAATATGAGAACTAATTTGAAAGGTTAAAGTACTTGATTAGAAAACTATTTCTAGTTCTTTGATCATTTGATCGGTTTGTTTTGTGTGGAATTGTTTGGACCAACACAGCTGATGCTAATTTTTCCTGATCTAATATGTGATCTAATATGGTAGATAATAAAAGTTAAATTATATTATAGCACTCCCTTGAACATCAGTATTCAAAATGGTTAGTTACTAGACACTTTGTTCAATTGCTCTGTTTCTGTACGTTATTATGTTGGCACAAAGAGCTGTGGGTATGTGTAGGAAGAATTAGAGATGGCCTTAGAATCAAAGGGTATATCTGGATCCAGGAGCTGTGAGGGGCAGGTAGAGCCACTTAATCAGAAGAACTAAAAATTATCATAAAGTACTGCTACAATAAATACAGCTTTCCCTACCTGTTCACATAGCAGTATAACAACAAAAAGTAAAGTGAAGGAATCCCAAATGACTGTCTGATGTCAGATGCACAGGCATAATTATATATGATAGTCTGTTTGATGTACTTATTATTAAATTTATATGCTGCCCTTCATCTGAAGATCACAAGGCAGTATGCTTAACAAAATAATTGCTCTGTTGACAGTATTGGATAAATGGTAGCTTTTAAGATGCTATAGTCTATATCCTCCAACGAGGAGCAGCATTCTGTCACTGAATTGATAGTCTCTCTGGAAGCTGCAGGTATTAGTTGCAATGGTTCTAACATGCCCTCTGGTGCCTGCGTCCTAATTTCTAAATGCCCCTACTTTTTCCAGTTAAATATTCCCACTCCACATTGTCAAATGTGTAACAGTACAGTGCAACAACAGTTTACTCTATAACATGAATATGGCAGCAATTGTTGAGCTTTCAGTGTTTCACATGATTGACGCAAATGACATTATAACAGTTGGACATCTCTGTATATCATATATGCAATTAGATCAGAAGTATTTGGCTTAAAGTTGGATGTTGTGATAAACCCTTCTTAAGGCCATAATCCTATGCATGTAGTAGAAAAAAGTTCCATTGAGTTCAATGGGGCATACTCCCAGGTAAGCAGATAGAGGATTGCAGCCTTATTCGGGAGCTGAACTCAAGTAGGACCTGCTTCCAGCTAAATGTGCATAGGGCTGCACTGCCAGTGTTTTTCCAAGAGTTTGGCCTTTGCAACCTTCAAGACTGATTTTCATTTATACAAACTGTGTCAAAGAAATTGCAGGGAAGGGCTGTTTAACCCCTTTGTCTCTGGCATTTTTTTGCAACAAATATGTATCTTCTGTAGGTAAAAGCAGGATGTCAGGAAAGAAATTTGAATGGGAGGGGGAAACAAGCTCCTCCTGTTTATGTTTCCCTGCCAGTCCACCTATCCAATGTGGAACCTTCCTGCTGCTTTTATTTTGAAAATTAAGAAACTAGTGGTTTCATCTGCCATGTAAAATTTTGTTTGACTTTTAGCATAGCACCAGGGGCAACACAGCCCTGCAGTTTCTCAGAACCCTCATACAGTGAGTTCTAATGGAAAGAATAATATAGTGATTGGTGATGGTTTAAGTACTAGGCATTTCATATGAATAGTTATGGGAAAAGTTATTTATGCCTGTTAGAAAAGCAATAAAGAACACTCTTAAAACCAGCCTTTATGTCTCTGGAGTTTTTAGACAATATTTATTAATTAAATAGAAAATATAATAAAAATATACCAAAGGCATTTGCAACAAGTCACAAAATAGTAATGCTGGAACTTTGACTTTTCAGAGTGCACAAGGAATCTAGAGAAGGCCAGAGGAAGGTAGGGAAAGAACGTCTAGTGTTCCATTTACCAGCAGTTCATCCCATGTTTGCAGCAGTATAAAATGCTACATCTTTGGTTTTCCTGCAAATCTTTCACAAAAGTAATTTTGAAAAGCAGCAAGATCCAAGATCACCACCTGCTCAGTATATGAGTCCTGACTTTGACCCCTTTGAGATTATTTCCACTTACTTGCCTGCTGTCTCAGGAATGAGACAACAGCTGAGCACAGCATGGAAAACCTAGCTTGCACATCCCAAACCATCATATTGTGGAATCCTGACCCCAAACCAATGGTAAGAGGAATGGTGGTAGCCAGATCAGCCTAACTTTGAAGCAACAACCTCTGTCAGGGAAGGCTCAAGGCAGCATCCTGCTTTCTGCCGGCTTGGTAGCTCAGCTCACAAGCAGGCAGAATGCAGCAAAGGGGGCTTTAAAGGCATGAAAAAGTGCTTCTTCCTCTTGAGCAAGCAGGAGAGACCCAGCTCAAGCAAGCAAGCAGGAGGAGCAGGGCTGTTTGCAGAGCTGACAGAGAGGGAGGATTCTTTTCCTGCGTCAGCTGTTAGGCGGGAGAGTTGCAGCAAAGCCCCACTGCACTTCGGGCTCCCGAGGAGGGAGTTGTACCAGATGACTGCTTCGGGCTCTGGGGAGGGTCTCCTCACAAGCCAGGGTGTAGCGGGGTTTTGCTGAGGCTGCCACTGAGCCTGCATGCGCCCACCATGTTCCATCACCGGAAGTCCCCAGGCATATGATTAATCCGGGGACATTACATTAAATCCGGGGACATTACAGGGGTGGATTCTGCCCGGGGACAGATTGGTGGAGCCGGGGACGTCTGGTAACCATAGTTTGGATCACATGTCTTTCTCCCTCTCATATATTTTCCTGTCATTTCATTTGGGTTTCTGCTCTTTATAAATCTGTAAGACATTTAATATGTGAGATTTCATCTTTGCGCTTCCATGTTTGTTTGCTGGTAGATGGCACTGTAATACTGTATGTTCTGTCCTTTCAGCTTGCTGAGAAAATAATGTGGAAATTCCATACCTGAAATCAAGTCCATTGCCTACAAATACTCAGGTCTTTCCCCCCATTCAGATATTTTCTTAAGATGTTACAAATCCCTGAATTCAATGTGTTACAAAAATGAATGCATTTTACAGGGGAAAAGAACAGAACAGTGTCTTTTTCAGGACACTTACTGTCTCACAAATGTCTCTTATCCTCAGAATTGAGACTTATAGTTGTGGACATGATGTATCATACCTGCTGAACCATTTCCAGGATCTAGCCTTTTTAATGATGGAAAAATTCAATGTTATTCAGGAACGTCTTCTGGTGGAACTACTTCCAGAAGCATCTGAAGGTGCATAGTGATGGGCTCTGAAACGCAGAAGTTGTTGAGGTCAGAAGCCTTCAGAAATGGCAATTGCACTGTTAGTACCATTTCTTTTCCTAGATCATTTCCCCTTTTGCACTTAACCACTTAGAAGCCTCCGTGTTGATTGCACAAGCCAGATTATGGGCTTTACTTTTCCTATAGCCAAATTAACATGGGTCTTGAGAATATTCCAGAAAGTGAGGGCATCTCGGATCACATTTCAAACGGTTTCCAGGACATAATGAGCTGTAACCTTTGCTAAGTGTCAGAGTCCACTCAAAAGACCAGTTGCCACAATCAAAAGGATCTATTTCCTGTGTATGTCAAACTACCATCAAGTTTCAATCTTTAAAGAAGAGATGGCTAGTAGTTAGGAAGAAGCAGGCACAGGAATGTCTAAAACTCTTTAAAATATAGGGAGGCTTAAAAATTGTCTACCCTGAAGGAAAGTGGGACATTCCAACTGGAATGTTTTTGTAACTGGAAACACTAGCACCCATGTGCCTGCAAAGGGCAAGGGGCAAGTGCGCAGAAGCATGCATTGAGTATGTAATCTCTAGCAACTCGAGTGATCTGAGGAGACCACATACCCCATTCCGGCTCTATGAGCCTCCTCTATTCCCATAATTTCCTCTTTATTGTATCTCATGCACCCCACTGTTCCACTTTAAGAAGCTCTTTCCCTTTGAATCAGAGTTAAAGAGCCACACCCAGATTATTTCATCACAAACACCTCTTCCCCTGGGATGGAAATCAACCATATACTCACTTGAGATTTTTTGAGCCCAGCTGAATTTGAAGTGGATGAAAAGTACATAAAAGACAAGTCCACTGATAATAAACAGAACGCAATACAGATATGGCAGCTCGGGTGCAGTGATGATGGGTGCCAGGACCAGCACAATGGAAACAAACAGCACAAGGATGGGGATGATAAGAGGGACCTGCAAGACAGAGCGGAGGGGTTGGGAATGTAATTGTGTGTGTTGAGGAATCCCAGATTGGAACGACCTAGGAAGGCCAAGTAATATTCTGGCTCAAGAGTCTAATGCACTCCATTTTAACAACTTGGTGTTGCATCTCTAAAAAGACCATTCCACAATTGGGGAACAACCACTGAAAAGGCGTGTTCTCATGTTGCTGTTTATTGAAGGGGGCACACAAAAAGGCCCTCAGATGATTAGGTATTAAGTATTGAAGTATTAAGGGACGCGGGTGGCGCTGTGGGTAAAACCTCAGTGCCTAGGACTTGCTGATCGTAAGGACGGCAGTTCGAATCCTCGCAGCGGGGTGAGCTCCCGTCGTTCGGTCCCAGCTCCTGCCCACCTAGCAGTTCGAAAGCACCCCTAAGTGCAAGTAGATAAATAGGTACCGCTTTATAGTGGGAAGTTAAATGGCGTTTCCGTGTGCGGCACTGGTGCTGGCTTGCCAGTGCAGCTTCGTCACGCTGGCCACGTGACCCGAAAGTGTCTTCGGACGACGCCGGCTCCCGGCCTCTTGAGCGAGATGAGCGCGCAACCCTAGAGTCGGTCACGACTGGCCCGTACGGGCAGGGGTACCTTTCTTGAAGTATTGATGTCATGGGTAGTGTAAGACTTTATATGTCAAGAGCAGCACTTTGAATTGGGCCAGGGAGCTAACACATCCTATGCACTTGAACCAGGATCAGCGTTCTAGGATCAGACCGCCTACTCCCAGTCAATTCTGGCCCCTGAATTCTGCACTAAGTGCAGTTTCTGAATGCTCTTCAAAACGGCACTACATAGAGTGCATTGCAATAATCTAACCTAGAGGCAGCTCTCATGTTAACCTAATTTCTCCCCCAACTCCAGCAGTAACAAAAGGAGGAACTGCCAAACCATCCTGAACACTGATGAGAATATCTTGTGGTGGGCTACTTACACGGATAGGCCTTTCAAGATCTTTTCTTGTAAAGCGCATGACAATGAGTCCCAGCACAGTTAGACCATAGAATATCCAAACCGTAAAGCTAAAGTAATTGATGAGGGTGTTGATGTCTCCGGGAATTATGTAAAGCATAGCTATTGCACCCTGAAAGGAGAAGATATGCATTATGGAGAAGGCATTTTTTTTAAAAAAAACCCTGCAGATTTCAGTGTTGGGTTTAAAGGTAAAGGTACCCCTGCCAGTACGGGCCAGTCTTGACAGACTCTGGGGTTGTGCGCTCATCTCACTCTATAGGCCGGGAGCCAGCGCTGTCCGCAGACACTTCCGGGTCACGTGGCCAGCGTGACAAGCTGCATCTGGTGAGCCAGCGCAGCACACGGAACGCCGTTTACCTTCCTGCTAGTAAGCGGTCCCTATTTATCTACTTGCACCCGAGGGTGCTTTCGAACTGCTAGGTTGGCAGGCGCTGGGACCGAGCGACGGGAGCGCACCCCGCCGCGGGGATTCAAACCGCCGACCTTTCAATCGGCAAGTCCTAGGCGCTGAGGCTTTAACCCACAGCGCCACCCGCGTCCCGTGTTGGGTTTAGAGGCCTTTTAATAGAATGGCCAATACTAATTGTGGCTATGATAACACTGTTGGAAAACTACCGTAATTCAGACATGCTTGCTTAGTCTCTCCAGTGACTTTAAATTTGCAGCCCTACTGCATGGTTGCTTCATTATAATACAAGGCCTCCATTTTCATAAAGACCCTTTTGCATACAGATGGGAAAGCCATGTGCAATCACACGGAATTTGACCTCATGGGAGTTGTGATGGCTGCCAACGTGGACCGGTTGGATATTAGACAAATAAATGGAGGATAAAAGCAGCATTGACTACTAGTCGTGACGGCTAAGCCCTGCTTCCAATAACAGAGAACAATGCTGGACTAGACAGGCCTTTGGTCTGATCCAGCAGGGGTCTTATGATGTTTTTCTGACACTTCAGAAATCATACTTACATAAAAGATAATAGCAGGCACTGGAGTTAAGCGCTTGATGTTGATGTAAGAGAGCACCTTTAACACATGTCCTTCACGACCAGCTACGTAAGGAAGCCTGAGAAGGTAAATCACTCTCATTAGAGAAGCCATTGTGATGGGCTGACTGAGAGCAAAGGATGACAAGACATCTGCGCTTTTCATATTTTTGGTGATGCATTCAGAGAGCATTGCAGAATCTGTGTTTACCATGTTATGAAGTAATACGGGCCTATGGAGAGTGTCTGAGGAACTAGTTGCAACGGTTGTGGTTTGAGAAAAAACAAGATTCTGATTAAGTCCAGTGTTAAAAGCATAAGAATCTGGGAAATGGAATGAGATCAGCACAACTGCCACATGCACTGTGAATAACAAGATATGGGATTTTCCCCATCTGACATATATAGTACATCACTACTGTGCTTCCAATAAATGTGAGTGAATGTGCAGGTGTGATGTTAAATTTAAGCTGCTTTCCCCCTCTATACCACCTTTCCTTGCACCACCTTCCAGCAACTCAGCAAAGTTTAGTAGCTTGGAAATGTCAATGTGCCCCTGTCTCCCAAGTGCCGCAGGTTACTTTTAATGAGAGGATGGTGCAGACATGGGACCCGTTCAGAATGACTATGAAGTACTCCTTCACACAATGTATCACTAACATATTGAATTATTTATTCACATAATGCTGGGGCAGCTTCCACCACGAGTTCCTTAAAAATGATTGGATTAATTCAGAGGAAAACTAATTCAGAGGCACATGTACTTCTAATTAGCAGATGATTGGGGCAGCTGTCTGCAATATGACCTGCTTTTAAGTGTCACCTGGGCATCTGCCTGTTGACAATCATGATGCTCTTAACTCCAGGTACATATAAATGCAGAAGTCTTGCAATCTGGATTCGGGGCTGGGGGCACATAAGTCAACTTTAACTTGCAGCGCACTGGAATTCCACATCAGAAAGTTTTGTTTTACCTGCTAGCAGTAAAGCAAGTCCCATTGGCTGACCCGATGGCAGAAAAAGCCACAAAGAGAGGGACTATCCAGGAAGCAGGATAAAGAACCCTATCTCCATATGTCTGTGATGGAAGGAATTGAAATAATGCACATCTTTAAAACCTAGAGGTCAACCAACTGGGCACATGAAGATACAGCAGTAATGAAAAAGATACTTAATAAAAAGCTTGCACAACTTTTTAGAGAAGCAAGTTTTCCCTTGTGTAACTTAAACCACTTCCGATCTTGTTCTGCCTCTGGTACAGAGGTGAAAAACAACACATTTTCCCACTTGGACTCACCACAGCAACAGCTGGAGACTGCAGAAGTTCTGTTGTTGTCATAACCGTGAAATAGGATATATTGATCAGAACATAACAAACTGTGACCAGAGGGATTCCAATACCAATACAGAGTGGTAGATTTCTAGATAATGTAAAGAGATATGCTATCAGTTAAAGAATGATATTTGCATTGAGAACTTAAGAACATAAGATGAGTGGACACGCAAGCAGAACCAGAGGAGGAGCTTCCTTCCCAATGCAGATAGCGGCTTGGGTGGGAGGGTCAGCAGGACAAAGGAGGGGGGAGGGTTAACGGGGGGAGACCAGCCCCCACCCCGTCCCCATGGATGCTGCTCATTAACGTTATAAAATACATGTATATAAGGCTGATCGCCGAAGAATTGATGCTTTTGAATTATGGTGCTGGAGGAGACTCTTGACTGCAAGAAGATCAAACCTATCCATTCTTAAGGAAATCAGCCCTGAGTGCTCACTGGAAGGACAGATCGTGAAGCTGAGGCTCCAATACTTTGGCCACCTCATGAGAAGAGAAGACTCCCTGGAAAGGACCCTGATGTTGGGAAAGATTTAGGGCACAAGGAGAAGGGGACAACAGAGGACAAGATGGTTGGATAGTGTTCTCGAGGCTACCAGCATGAATTTGACCAAACTGCGGGAGGCAGTGGAAGACAGAAGTGCCTGGCGTGCTCTGGTCCATGGGGTCACAAAGAGTCGGACACGACTAAACGACTAAACAACAACAACAACATATTAATTGCATCTGTACATTGAACACTACATCTAGTTTGGCTCTAAACAGCTGTGTATTTAGACTTTAAAATTTCGCTCTGTTGTTGTTGGATGCAGGGCCGGCTCTACCACTAGGTAGAGTGAGGCAACTGCCTTGGGTGGCAGATGCTAGTGGCTAGAGGCAGTTCCTCCTGTGCTCCCAGGCATTTCCCTCCTGGTGGAGGATAGAGCTGGGTGTGCCACACAGCCTAAACTAGTTTTCTGCCCTTGGGTGGTTCTGAAGGGCACTGTCAGACTAAAACAGCCAGTCCAGTTAGCTTCTGCAGGTGGCAACCATCTTGTCCTTTACCTCAGGCAACAAAATGACTTGGAATAGATATATTTCCTCCTAACTGTATAGATGCAGTTCACTAACGTGGGCCTGGTTTCAGAAAACAGCTTACTGGATTTTGTTGTTGCTTTGTGAAACTTTTTGCACACTGCCTTAGGGCTGTACACTGAATGGCAGGTTGGAAATCCTTGTTTCAATGGGACTGTGAGGGAGGAGGAAAAAGAAATGGTGTTCTATCAGCTGATGCAGCATTTTTCTTACCTATTAGGATTTTTAAGTTCCTCTGTGATATAATTAAGTTGATTCCTGGAAGGGATGGGGGGGGAGAGAGAAGTACCAAAATGTTACTTTGCATCCTGCACATTCTTGGGAGAAAACCCTTTTGAACCCAGTGGAATTTAATTTCCAAATAAAAGGGTTATGGGATGTAAGTCTGGATGTTAATAGATATTTTTTCTGAAATTATAATTACCTTTCAACCACAAACAACAGCAAAATCTTTATGAGAGATTTCACAGAGCCAAGTAGAAAATGTCCTATTTTGATTTGTGTTCTGCATTTTGCACAGAAGCAAGTGCCCAATATGGCTTTCAACAGTAATAGCAAGTACCAATAAACAATCAGGAATATATGCACCTGTTCTGTGCAAAAATAATCCCTTGCACATCTAAGCATACGTTAGATCAGCCTTTGGTAGCCTGATGCCCTGCATATGGCTATCCTGGACAAAAGGAAAAGCTTCTCAGTTACGTTTCTCTGTGACATGCTATTTTCTATGTGTAGGGGTCTATTTTGAGGATTGAGTATGAAGGAGCTGCCATCTGAAATACTACAGCCCAGACACAGCCTTACCACTTAAGGAAAAAAAATATTCCCTTAACAAATATGAGTCCTTCCTCCTTTTGTAATACCTGGCATCCATTCACCTCCCATATGAGAAGCAACCATCAATTAAGACAACACCCATCCACACCCCAACCTATGGAAACATCTGGAGAGACCTATTGGATCAGAGATTTTATTATGCATATGAACTGGCTCTAAGTCAGGCATCCCCAATCTCGGCCCTCCAGATGTTTGGGGACTACAACTCCCATCATCCCTGACCACTGGTCCTGTTAGCTAGGGATGATGGGAGTTGTAGTCCCAAAACATCTGGAGGGTCAAGGTTGGGGATGCCTGCCTAAATAATAGTTCTAACCTTAAGATGCTGTTAACTCTTTTTTCTAATGACCTAAGACTAGCTGATATTGTTGGTGCCTTCAAAAGCCATCTCAGCTATTGGCCATCACTGCATCATGTGATAGCAAGTTCCACAAGTTAATGGTCTGCTTAGCTCTCCCCCACAAAAGTGGGTGGGCTGTCTCCTTTCATGCCTACCAGGAAGTCACCATAAGTTTAGAATAAGTATTCCCCACCCTACACTATTTCCAGGTGTGATTCTTCAGCAAGACTTCAGGTGCCACAGTTTTCATGCAGTATCTTTCTTAAAGTGCAGTAAAGACACATCAAAATAAGGCATGAACTGCTACACTCTAACTGTTAATGAGTCATAAAATTATATTACCATCCACTATAGGCCCAGAGTCCATTATAAAATGCAAGACTAATGGTACCCACAGAAAGTGGGGGACCTTCAAACGAATTGTTGAAGTTCTTTGTATTTCCTGGGGAAGGGAAAGTGAAACATGTCATTTCTTGCAGCTGAGGAACTTGGCTCAGAGTCCGTGAAAACTCCCACCCACCCTGATAAATCTGTTGCCTAAGATGCCACTGGACCCTTTGTGGTTTTGGTATCATATCTTCCAGATTCATTCCTCAAAGGAAAATAAGATGTACATTGATCGCTCACCACCCAACTGACCCTCCTTGACCCCTTCCCCATTTTTGTGGTCCACCACCACTTCACCACGGGCACGTGCCCATAGATTATATTATGCCAGATCTTAAAACATATTGAAACGGAATATAACCTTTTAGAAACTTGAGACTTATCTTTAATGTATGTCATAAACGGCTTTTAATTTATTTAAAAGGAAGGAAATATTAAAAATATCAACAAACAGGTTCCCACCCACCCCCCAAACAGAAAGCAAAAACAAAACAAAGCAGTTGTATCAATCCCAGTCAACTGCTGCAGATACATTATAGATGATGATAGATAGATAGATGATAGATAGATAGATAGATAGATAGATAGATAGATAGATAGATAGATACTGCAACTAAAACTTCAACATAACATACCTTGGGCTAGAAGAACAATCCCACTTACAATGATAATTATGACAATCACCATTTTAGCCACAGCAAAAAAGTTCTGTATGTAGCTCGCCCACTTCACACTCAGGGCATTCACCAGAGTAATTGTAACTAAGAGAAAGGAAAGGGTGGAAGGTTCACGAGAAATTGCACCTCAACAAATAAGCTTCTGTACCCCTGGAATCCGTCCTTTGCCTTCCCAATTCATTTTCTTGCCACTCAGAGTAGCCAATAATGGGCTAGATGGATAAATAATCTGACCAGCTGTGTGGTAGCTTCATATGTTCCTCTGCATTCAAAGTGTTCAAACCATTTCACTCATCATCATGTGCACTCTTTACAGGAAAGGTAAAGGTAAAGGAACCCTGGACGGTTAAGTCCAGTCAAAGTCAACTATGGGGTGCAGCACTCATCTCACAGCTTTTTCAGGTCATGTGGCCAGCCTGACTAAATGCTTTTGGTGCAACAGGACACAGTAATGAGTGCCAGAGCGCACAGAAACGCCATTTATCTTCCTGCTGCAGTGGTATCTATTTATCTACTTGCCCTGGCGTGCTGGTATGCTTTCAAACTGCTAAGTTGGCAGGAGCCATATAGAAGATGGGTTAGTGGTACTATTCCCAAGTTCCCAAAAAGGGAGAGGGGAATTTGACCAAGGCTGCACATGGGGTCATGGCAGAGATGAAATTTGAATTAGAGACCTCTGGTTCCTAGCTTCGCTTCTGTTATGCAACAGCTGCCTCCAGCTTGTGCCAAATTAACCCACAAATTTGCACCGGTGTAAAAGGAAGCCTATTATTTGCCGTTATCTCTGTATGCATTTGGTTTTAGGTCACTAATTCACCCTTCCAGCTACCTTTGTCTTCCTGATCAAAAGCCAAATACTCACAGAGGACTGCTGCTGCCAGACACTTGATGACAATCGTAGGGGGGTCACAACCCGGATAAAACGGAGCCGCTGTGTACTCAGCAAAGCTGAGGCAAATAATGGCAAAGGAACTGGGCATGGTGACAATGAGACTTGTCCAGGAAAACAAATATGCAGGGATTGGGCCAAAGGCTTCCATGAGGTAAGAATAGTCTCCTCCTGATTTTGTTATCATTGTGCCAAGTTCAGCAAAACAAAATGCCCCTGAAGAAAGAAGTGGGAGTTTTTAAAATAACCTTCCGCTACCACCACCACTGCCACAATCACCCATCTCCATTTCAATATGGCTTCTGGAGGACTCTATATGCACCTGGTCCTTCTAGCCTGTTTCAAGTCACCAGGGATTTTGTTCCTATTAAGTGCATAATTTTGTTATGGTACATGGAACTAGTCAACATTTCTTTCAGCCGGTGAGTGCTTCTGTTGTGAGAAGATCATCTGGTCCTATCCAACTATAATTTTGAGTTGCTGAAGAAATGCTTTTTTTCCTCTCCCCCACAAGCACGATTATTTTCATTTATAAACACTGCGCTTGTTCTCACGGTGTCTATTAGACACTGTCCATGACATCATCAGCGGGTGCCTTGGGACTCAGGGGGCATCGATAAAAGAAAAGCCAGTGACAAAAAGTGATTTTTAGAGCCAGTTATCACATATTTATTACGTTTATATTTATCTCTCATTCATCCTTTCCATTTTCTTCAATACATGCAAAAACCCTGTGAGGTAAGTCAGGCTAAGGGATGGTGACTAGTCCAAGATTACACAGAGAGCTTCATGGATGAGTGGAGATTTGAACCCTGAACACTCCCAATTCTAGTCTAAGCACCAAAACATGCTAGGATATGGTTGCCATATACTAAACATAGATCTCTTGGTTCTTCATCACATGGTGATTTGCAAGAGAGGCCAGATGAAAAAAAGGAGCTTCAAAATACAGTGATACCTTGGTTCTTGAACTTAATCCGTACTGGGAATCCATTTGACTCCCGAAATCGTTCAAAAACCAAGGCACGGCTTCCAGTTGGCTGCAGGAGCTTCCGGCACTCAAGCAGAAGCTGCGTCGGACGTTCAGCTTCCGAAAAATGTCCGCAAACCGGAACACTTACTTCCGGGTTTGCAGCGTTCGGGAGCTGATTTGTTCAACAACTAAGCTGTGTGAGAACCAAGGTACTGCTGTAATGTAATGTGTTAGCTTTGGCTAGTATTTTCCCCAAACACCTATATCATATATGCTAATTTCAAATGCAAAACTAGCAAATGCAAATCCATTGTTAAAGGGCTAAACAAAATAACACATAACAAGGAGCTTGTAATAAACGGGGCAGCGGGGGAGAGAATAAATTGGAAAGAGCAATAGTGATTTACCTAACGTAGCAAGCACTCCACAGGCTGCCCAGATGACTAAGCAGGGCCCAACAGCTCCAACGTTAGCCAGAACGGCTTTTGGAGAAACAAAGATTCCCGAACCAATCACTGTCCCAACAATGAGACCGATTCCACTAAGCAGGCCCACCTGGAAAAAGAAATTGAGGTTAGGTGAATTCAACCGGAGTGGTTCTTTCAATCTTCTATAGGCAGTATCATGAGGGTGGAGATGGATGGGGGACAGGAACACTGAAGCAGATGTTAACCCAAGAATATGTTAGGAAGGGTCCTCTCTTATTGCAGAAACACTGCTTTATACAACAGCTGCTGACACATATCTTAGGGGGAGCTTATTTTCCCAACAAACACATCCGTAGGATCTACAGTTAATTAATATTATTAATTGTACTTCTTGGTCATTTTTTAAATTAAAAGTGAAGTCAAAGCGACTTGGAATGTAACACAGGAATTAAAAGCAATATAAAACTAAAATGAAATAAAGACTTAAAAAAAAAGGTCTGTTCTGGGAATGACCTTGGTAAGCTGCTCTAGGAGCCTTCTTCAGCTTGGAGGTGGGGTGAAAATGTTTAAAAAGAATTTAAAAAGTATAAAACGTTACTTGTTGCCTTGGCAAGGGTAACAAAAATGTGGAGGAATAAGCGCTCAGTATTGACCATGACCATTTCTTCATATTCTAGCCAAGGGAAAAAAGTAATGAGTGTGAGGGGAACGCAACCAGGGTCTGCTGTGCTGAGACTTTCAGCAGCATTAACAGGTGAGGTGACACCAGGAACAACTTGTGATACAATGCAAACATTAACCAGACGTTCTGGGAAAAGAGGCTTTCCTTTTGTACTTCACTGAGCTTTGTGATTATCTCCACATTTAGCAAACAACACTCTACTAATTAACTCAGGTGTTGAACATCACAGAGCATTTTACTTCACCACTTGGGGCATTAAAGCTGGACCTAACTAGACTATTCCCTGTTTTTACAACAGGACATGTACCAAGTGCAACTGTGCCTCCTCTTGAGAGCGAGGATGTGTTTAAGGACGGAATTCTAAGTGTGGATGGGCAAATCTGTCAAATTTAGTTTCTCCCCCAGTTTCACATTTCCCCAGTATTAAATTTAGTTCTCCTTTACTGCAGCAGCAAAAACAATGTGCAAGGCAGCCATTGAGAATTACCAGGCTTTTCAGCCACAGCAAGCGCTGTCATTTTCCAGCGGTTTGACTTCATCCCCAGAAGCACACTGGCACAGACGGATACCAACCATGCACGCTTCCCCCCAGTTTACACAATTTTGCAAACATTTGGTATGAGAACTGAAATGCAAAATTCAGACAAGTGTGAATTTTGAAGGATAACTGGTTCTGTTCATGTCCTGGGTTGGGAACTGCAAGTTAGGTAGGTCTGCATTCAAATTAAAGCTCAGGGCAAAACAGCTAATTCCCATGTTTTACACGGTGCATATTTTGCCGCAAATAAAACCCAAGAAGGAGTTAAGCATACTTAAAGCACATTGCTTTCATTGCTTTCAAAAATGCTGACTGTATTGTACTGCCTCGAGGTGAATGCCATAAGCCAGGAATGGGGAATCAGATGTTCCTGAACTTCATTTCCCATCAGGCCCAACCAGCATAGCTGGAAATTGGGGGCCAATAACCTCTGAAGGGTCACAAGCTCCCCATTCCTGCCATAAACTATGCAAACACATAAGCATCCATGGGAAGGTATTAGGCCTAGGAGAGACACAATTTGGTTGAGGCCACCTGGCGCTGTTCACTACCTCTTTGCATATGTGCAGCTCCTCTTAAGACTATTAATTCCAGAATCTAAAATTCCCTAACTATGACGAAGCGTGGTTTAAGAACGCAGTAAGTAAGTAAGTAAACAATAAAATGATTTTTACAACAGAATGGAATCTATATTTGAGATCTGGGAGGCTAAGAGCTTCTAGGACTGTTTCCAATGTAATATATTACAAGTCTTGCCTCTTTCTGTAGATTCATAGATTTGCTTTTCTTGATGGGCGTTTCATCAGGTTCTTGATTTGAACTTCGTTTTCTGATGCCTCCTTCATCCATTTTGCTTACTTGATGCTGATGTGCCTATTATATTAGTGAATCCTGCAAACAGCACAAAGTTAACTAGGAGTATATTATTTAAAAGTCTGTTTATCTTTTGACTTCAAAAAAAGCAACAGGGGACCCATAGCGCTCTTACATAGTTAATTCAAAGTAATGGTGGGATGTGCTACCTCACTCCGAGTTGGCTTTGTAATGTTATAGCATAATCCAATCTAAGTGTGGGACACTGTGATATCACCTCACTGGTCCTATGATCCCTGATTATCTAGATCATGTAGCCAGCAAGAAGAACCCTGTTTTTAATGCCTGCCAAGAGGGTGAAGCAGTGTACCTTTTGCTTCCACACTTACCTGTTATGGCTGATCCATTTAACTAATCTTGAATTTTGGTAGTAATCAGTAGTCAACTTAAGAGGTACAAATGCCAATGCCTAGGAGCACTCCATTTTTTGAAACAACAGTTTGCCATTTTCATGACAATGTATGAGTAATATAAAGGTGGCTTATCTGCCTTGATGGGAGCTCAAAGGTTGGAAATGAATTTGCTGTACAAAACATGATTTGATGTTACGGATAACTTATTATCAGATAGTTTGCTGGCCAGCAGTGATCAGATGACTTTGTTATCAGTTTGCTCATTTTGTATGGCAAACTTTATACCTGGTTTGATGGTTTAACATGCCTATTTGGTGTTCTGCAAGTCTATAATGTGTTTCCTTGTTTTGCACTTGCAAAGAGAGAAATGGACATAATAAGCCCATTATGTGTTCTGAGGTCTTCCTCTCTTTGAATACATCTCACTGTATGATAAAATAGGGCAGATGGAACCAGTTTGGAGCAAAGGACCAGTGGGAGGACAAAAGGAGACATGGGAGGGTGTGTGCATGTCTGTGTGTAAGTCTGGATTAAACAAGGGCACCTGAAGGACTGAGGAGGAGCAAGAGGAAAGAATGATGTTAATCTATGGTCTTGTAAAGCAGAAGGATTATTGTCCCTTTTCTTTTCCTATTATTCTTTTCCCATTGGGTTATGTACTTCGTGTTTTATGCTGTAAACTGCTCTGTGATCTCTTGATGAAGCAGCAAATGAAAGAAAGAATGAATGAATGAACGAACTGTTTAGCCCAGAGAAGAGAAGTCCGAGGTTAAACTAGCAAACCAAAGGTTAAACCAGTGGTGGCCAAACTTGGCCCTCCAGATGTTTGGGACTACAATCCCCATTATCCCTGACCACTGGTTCTGTTACCTAGGGTTGATGGGAGTTGTAGTCTCAAAACATCTGGAGGGCTGAGTTTGGCCACTACTGGGTTAAACTAACCCCTTTCCAGCCCCAGGAGGAGCGTCCACACGACACACCTACACACTGCAGCCGACACTAATGTGTCGCGTGACACACAGTCTGGAAAGCTTTGTGCTAGAATATAACACAGAGGAGGAGCACAACGCATTAAGCTGATAGGGGAGAGAGGGCAGGGTTGTGGTCGCCCACAGGCAGTCACAACGCAGGATGTGAGCAGCTTTCTTTGCTGGGCAGCCAGTTCTCAAAACAAGAAAGGTGCCATTCTGGGGAAACTGGAAGCATTTGCAAGCATTTGCCTGGGCTTTTAATTTTTTTCTGAAGAAAGAGAGAGAGAGAGAGAGAGAGAGGCCTGCCTTTGGATAAGGATAGAAAAGGCAGGGAAAAATTCTTGCTGCACATCTGTGGCTCTCTCCTTCCTTCCCTGGGACTCAGCTAGACTCATGTTATTGAAGAATATATACACACACACACATATATAGGGGGTGGCGGGCAGGGCCAACTCCAGCTGCGGTATTTGAAAGTGCAATCCTAAAAATGTCCACTCAGATGCAACACCTGTTGGATCCACAGGTAAATTAAATTAGGATTGCAGGCAGTGTGTTGCACTGGTTAGAGCAGTGTGGTGCGTTTGAGCCCACAGATTCATTTGCAAACTAGGGGGACTGCCATAGCCACTATGCACTGATGGCAAGCATGCAAGAGCGGATGTGGCCATCGCACACCTGGGCACACCTTCACACTTTCCCTTCATGGCCAGTGCCTAGGCTGGAAGAAAGTCTTAGTTTTCTTTTAAACCAAATTGGTGGCAGCGGGGTGATCTTCTTGGAGAGTCCAGCTGGGGTGGAAAGCAGGGCAGTTCCCCCCCCCCCTGCTTACAATGGTTTTAAGATAAGGAACATCGCTCATCCCAGAAAAACAATAACAACACACTATTAGGATTTGTTGGGGGAAGTCTTGTAATGGAGTCAACAGAAGGCTCTCCCACCCCAAGTCTAATTGCAGTGGGAGAGCCTTCTCTGGAATCCACTGGAGTAAATAAGCCACACCCCTTGTAGGCTGAGGAGACCAGGGTACAAATCCACACCCAGCCATGAAGTTCCTGGCTGACCTTGGGCAAGTTCCTAATTCACACACGAATCTGCCTCACAGGGGTTGTGTGGGGACAGTGAGGGTCACGTATGTCACCTTAAGCTACCTGGAAGGAAGGTGAGATGTAAAAAACAAAGCAAACTGGGAAATTGTGGTTTAATCTTATAGACTATAAACCAGGATATTAAACCAGGATCGGAACCAGGTTTACTTGACCAAGACTGCTGCACTTGAATTGTTTTGAACAGTAAATGAAGAAAGAACAACAGAACACTTGGCTGCCCTCTATGGATACACCGAGTAATACAATGACAGTTCTAGCAAATCTATTGCAAATACACAAGAATCTATAGCAAATATTCATGCAAGTCTCTCGCATAATTATCCCTGTGAATCTTTTCACATTTTCAGCCTGGAAGCGAGAGTGGCACTCACCGTGTTTCGCGGAGCTCTTGAGTCATCGAAACACCTTCCCTTCACTTATCTCCTCCTTCAGCAGACAATGCCCCCGACTCTAAAGCAGAATGCTGGGAAACAGCAGTCACTTAAGTACAGAGGTTATAAACAAAGGTAATGATTAAACTAGAATGCTTCCAATAATCATTAAAAGCCCAATTAATTTATTGGCAAAAAAAGGTAGAGTTTTTGGTTCCATTTTGATGTCCCCACCCCCAACCCTGTGTCTTGCAGTTTGAACAAGCACCGAAGTATTTGACAGTGTGGCACTCATGGACCAAGGCACCAACAAGGTTGCCGTGATTTTATAAGACATCAAGGTCTTCCTGCATGATTAAAAAGCAAAAGCAAAACCCACTGAACTTGGGGAAGAGATCATTGTGGGTTATTTTGTAAACAATCTTCTTAATTTTAAAGGTTTTTAAACCTTAATTTTAAAGGTTTTTAAAGCAATACATTGCTTACTTTAGCAAAAAGGAAAGAATTTAAAAAGGAAACCGACAGCTCCTATCTACTTCAAACAATTGGCTGGCTGCCAAACTGCTCTCCTGTCCTGTTTGTCTGGATGGACTGAACTTCTCTTGAACTTGCAAACAGGCTGAATGCGGTCAGAAAGAAGGAAAGAAAATCTCCTTTTGTTTCCAGCCTTGAGCACATTTGCAGACAAACAAACAAACTTAGTTAATTACTTTTCTGCACTTGGGGTTTAGAATATATCTTGTTCGATCCCTCCTTCACTATCACCCCTGATTATTGGCCATGCTAGCTGCAGCTGATGGGAGTTGAGTCCAACAGTATGCGGAGGGCTGTCAAAGTTTCTCAACCCAGCCCTAGATTTTTAAAATGTCTCCAATGTTGACATTCACACACTTTTCTGAAGAGACGTTCAGAACTTCTGTGTTTTAATTCGTCTTCTTTATCTGTGTGTCCAGAATTAAAGTTAAATAAAATAGGTTGGTGGCTGCCTAGTTCTTAGAGCTAGGGAAGCCCAACAACATATTGAGGACCAGGGGTTCCCCATCACTCTCAGGCCAAATAGGTTTCTGTAGTGCTTCAGAAACCAGCACACCTCGATTGACCACAGCAGAACAAGAGAGATTAGGGTGCACATCACCAGAAACGATGCCTCTGTCATACTGTTACAAAAACAATTGTGCGGTGCAAAAATCACATAGGCTACATGAGCAAAGGGTTTGGTAATAGTCCAAGATTGTGCAAGAGTTCAAAGCAGCTTGAAACAAATGTTTCAACTGTTATAGCAACCAGTAAGTATGTACACATGTTCGGCATATTAATTTCACAATGGGAAATTTGATTTGAATAAGTGAGTGAGATTGGTCTTTTCTCCCCTCAGTGATATAAACTGATTTGTTTAAATTGCCTTTATTCAAATCAAGCCACCCTAGATAACAAAACTCATCTGCTTATGTGGTTGTTGCAAGGATGATGGGATTGATGTGTGAATAATGCTTCCAGTTACTGGTCTTCAGCTGGTGGGCCAGGACCCACTATGAAAATATACAGTAAAAGATTAAGAAATGCATGTTTGGGTTAAAAGCAGGGCCTGGGTCTGAAAAGACTGAAGACTACTGCTCTAAACCATTCTTCCCAAACATGGCGTCCGCCAGATGGACTACAACGCCCCCAAATCCCTGACCATCAACCATGCTCTCTGGGACTGATGGGAGTTGTGGCTCAAAATAGCTGGAGGGTGACAGATTGTGGAAGGATGTTCTAAATTGCTACTACAGGTATGCTTAGCAGTATTACTGTAGTGTCCATTCCTCATGGATGTTGAGATGCATTTGAGTAAGATTCGCACAGGCTTTTGCACAATGTCCTAAAAAGCTTGACTTTGCAAAGGTGAAATGTAAAAGCAATATTAGAGTCCCTATCTATAGCTTAAGGACAATCTTAATTCATTCATATGCACTTTGGACTCCCCCCAGTGCTAATCCTTGAGCATAATGAGAATGAATTTCAACCTTCTGAGATAGGCACAAAATGTTCAGTGCAATGTTTCCTTATATCTCTATGATCTATTGCAGGCAATTACATTAGTCAGGAATGGAATAAATAGTTCTTTAACACAAAATGACAACACACCCAGATTGTAGTAGCTACCTGCTCTGAACCTACACAGTTGAGCTATAAAGGCAGCACCGTTGCCAACAAGCACAGAGTCAAGCCAGTATCTTGCTAATCTCTCAAGGTAAAGTGCACAATGAGCTATTGCCAATCAGCATAATAATATTTAAAAAGTTACCTCCATGTAAGTCCTTCACACAGTTTAGCAATCTAAACTATGGAATTTGCGTCCACAAGATACACTGATGGTCCCCAATTTAGTTTTGGCATGGGACTAGGCAAAAGATAAGGCTAATCGGTTGCTACTAGTCATGGTGACTCTATATTACCTCCAGCATCAGAGGCAACAGCCTCAGAATCCCAGTCGCTGGAGAACACGATTGGGAAGGAGATGATCTCCCCTCACCTCCTGCTTGTGTGCTTCCCAGAAGCATCAAGTTGTGCCCTGTAGGAACAGAATGCCAGACTAGCTAGGCCTTTGAGTCCAGTACGACTCATCCTCTATGCTTTCAAGAATTTCCAGGCACTACCTGCAAGTGGGCTTGCTGTCCCAGGTAGCATGTGCTGCATCTTGGCTCTATTGGCTCTGTCACTTATTTATTATATTTATTTGCAGTATTTATAGCCCACCCACCCCATTTAATGTTCTCAATCCCAGACCAGGGCATAAAGTAATAAAAACAAACAGGGGGGAAACAATGGATGTACAAAAATTACAAAATCATATAAACAGGACCAATGAACAACTGAACCATTATATCATGAGCAAAACTGCAGCAACAAAAATTAATTGTTTCAATTTAACCAAATACCTAAGTGAAAACAAACACAACAGTATGTGCTGTGTAAAATTAATTTGTTCTGTCTTTCATTTAGTTGAAATGACTGCAGCTAAGTAAGCAGATGAATGTCTACAGCCATCTCATGAATGGTATCAATTTTAATTGTTTCGTTTGGAGCTTATGTCGTTCCCAGTCCCAATGCCTTGAGTGGGTAGCAGGGTTTTTTCTTTTCTCTACTTCCCTATCCCAGACCCCCAAAGGCAGTTTCATGCCATTCTTTGAAGAAGTACAGGCATGGACTTTGGCAAGCCTTAAAAGAAAAGGAACTCCAGAGTTTGGTGGGGACAGTCTCTGTGAGTCCTTGAAGTACATAGTGTATTTCAATAAAACATTACCAAGGTTAGGCTGCTCTGGGCTTTCTAGACTATTGCTACAAGCACCTGAAGATGGGCCATAGTGTTGGCACCATCTAAAGCCGCAGAGCTGCTGAGAACACCCCTATATCAAACATGTATAGTTCTGCCTTGAAAATATGAATAGCTGGTTCTCTGGAGGTATGCAGAAGGACTCTAGAAAGCAGTGGGTTAAGCAGTGGGTTTGTTTGGTTTTTTAAAAACAAAGTGTTTTGTTCTTTTTTTCAATCCTTTTCATAAGCTACTGGTATTAAAGGGTTAGAGATAGTCTCTTATACCCATTCTCAATTATTTGATTTAACTTCTTCTCTTTCACAAGGGGAGGAGTTGTGAGCGGGATTTGCTCCCCGTGCTTCACAGGGGGGCGTGGTTGGGCCCCCTGCGTCACAGGGAGTCCCAGGCCCATGCCACGCCCTCAGCTGGCCAATCTGGCTAGCTGGGGGCATGGTTTGCCACATTTAAGTGGCCCCGGCCCCGGCTCTGCCTGTTTGGTTCCTGCACGCACAGATCTCGCTTACTTACCACATGCTGTTTGTGGGTCCTTTGCTTTGTTCTAGTTTCGTTAATTTTGAAGTCCCTAAATGCCTTGGCTGCAACGCTGCGACAGGGACTTTCATGCCAGGGATTGCTTGGTTTTCCTCAGCGCGCTGCTCACCAGCACAGGATTTTATTTCAACTTAACCCCTCTGGGTTCTGGCACTTGGAGCAAAGCAGGTTTCTGTGGGAAGGTTTACTTTAGCAGAGTTAAACAATTCCCTTTATAAGTTTATGCAGCGATCAGCTTGTTGCTTACTCACCTGAGTTCTAGTAATAAAGATGCCTTCCTGGTTAAAAATCCCTTTGAATCCCTCTTAAAGAATATACACACAAATCTGATTCATGTTAATATACAGCTCTTTTACTCTCAGATTCATTCAGGTTTACAGAACTGTACCTGAAGGCAGGCTTAGGTTACATAACAAGCAAATTAACTATACCAGAGGGAAGTTGGTCCTGAGGTGACTGCAACTGAGCAGTTATCTTTCAAAACTACCAGCAACTGACAAACTGGTTGTCACAGCAACCAGTTAGAACATGGAGGCCGTTAGTCCTCTGTTGGAATGCTGCACTTGACTGCACCTTTACATCCCCCCATTTCTATGTTTGCAGCCGCTGCGAGGGGAGTTTCACGGATGGGCTTGTGCAGGCAGGGCTTTGGAGCGCTCCTGGAGACCCCTTCAAATCTGATTTCCCTTTCCTCTGCCATTTCCCTAAACCTTGTTCCCTCCTGTCAGCTCTCTCATTGCCCTAAACTGTTTGTGTGCTGTGCTCCTTCCTGACAGGAGTGTGAGCTGCGTTCCTTAGGTTTCTTCAGTCCAGCTTCCCCCTCTGCTCCGAGTGCTTGTTCCCTGCCTCTTATCTTTGCCCTTAAACTGTGGTGTTTTGCTCCTTCTTGACTGGAGTTGGGCTGTGTTCCTTAGGTTTTCCAGCCCACCTTCCTCCCCTGCTCTGAGCAGCTTCCTCCCTTGCCCTGAGTTGCTTGTGGGTTTGTTTGTTTGTTGTTTTTTACTCTGTACGGTTTCCACCTTCCTTCCTTCCTTCCTTCCTTCCTTCCTTCCTTCCTTCCTTCCTTCCTTCCTTCCCCTGAGCCACATGTACATTGTTCCTTTCTACCTAATTTCATCTATTGGGCTCGGCTTGCCCAGTGTGTGTTGGTTCTTTGTGCGTTCTCATTTTCCTTCCTTTCTCAAAGCAGCGGGTGCCTTGCTCCTTATTTCTTGATTTTTCTTCTGTCGGCCTTGACTTGTCCCAGCGGGTGTTTGCTTCCCTTCAGTTGGTGTGCGTTTTATTAAATGGTGGGGTGTCTGCTAAAGGGCAGGTGCCTGGCTCAGTCAGCTTCCCCACCTCCCATTCTAGACTTCTGGGGTGGCGCCATCGGCAATGGCGGACTCCCTCTGATCTGGAGGGACTAGCTCCACGTGAAACGGGTCTTTTCCGCTACGGCGAAGTGGGGACCCTTTCAAAAATCACAGGCGGATGAAGCCTGTGACCATGGGACTCGGCGGGCACCTTTAGCGCCCCCCCCACCCCACAAAGGAACCCATTAACGGGCACCGGGGCGAAGAGGGGGAAGTGGCGCGGTGCTGAGAGTCAACTGCTTCTTCCGTGGAGCGAAGCCGCACAGCCGTTGCCGGAGAGCGCTGCCTTTTTCCTGGGACAATTTGGCTTCTAAAATAATCACCCGTGAGTACTTAAATTTCGGACAATTGGACTTTAAATAAGGACTTGCGAGCAGAAAGGAAAATTGGACTTAAAAGTTTACTTCAATTTGGCACTGAAACGGGAAGGTCTAAACAGGAAGTCAGCCTTCCGTTTCTTTGTAGATAGATTAAAGCAAAGACATGGCAAACTAGAGCTCAGAAAATCACTTGTAAAAGATTAACTTTCATCATTTAAAATTGTTGAACCCCCCTTCGGAAGCAGGAGAAGAGGGGGGATTTTTTCGGACTGTTTAAACCTGCAGAAGTGAGTGTAAAGTAAAGTAACTTTCCACCGTCTTGATCCTGGAGCGGGGTGTCAGGACTGACGTTTTTTGAAGCTCATTGACCAAAGACAAACGTTTTTGACAGATAGCTAAAATAAGAGAAACATAGTGATTCCATTGTTCCCCTTCGCATTTTAAAGGAACAAATATTGACAAAATATCTGAAAAAGGAAACTTTGTTGTTAGACTTGTCTTTAAAAGAAAGAACAAATAGAAGTTTTCCCACTCGAGGGAGACTGTGAAACTGTAACCAATTCCGGGGAGCTTGCAGCTGTTACAGATTACAATCGTGGGAATGGACTTCTGACCTTGCAGGACAATGTATTCAGAAGCTCTGTTGTGTGCTCTCTGTAAAACAAATGCCCTACTGGAACAGCTACATGAGAAGACGGACTTGATGACTGATGCGATCAGAAATTTTGAACAGGCAGTGGGAAATTATATGGAGCCTACCCAGGAATTAAATCAGGAGTGTGCCCTGACAGAACAGATGAAGGAAGAGGATGTTGCTGAATCTTGGGTGCCAGAGATGGAGGGAGCTGTGGCCCAGCAGGAACATGAGCTTTTGGATTTGACAAATGAACTTGGAAAAAGCTAGATTTGGAAAGATAAAGTTTGGTCTGGTTTGGAAATGGGGGGGTTGGATAGACCCCTATGCAGGGATGTTTGGACTTTTCAAGTCTGGCAATGGGCCGTGAGATGTTTGGGGTTGTGGGGGCTCTTAATTTTGGAGGGATTTTGAAACATGTTCTTAAATACCACATGGAGTTTAGTGTGGACTATGGAAAAGGGGCTGATTTGTCGAGAAGGGTCAAAAACATTGTTAAGCTGGAGTTCCCACGAGTGAAAGGAGCAGGAGACAAAGGAAAATACAGCTATAAATATGAAGAAGAGCCACGGAAGGGACATGGAAGGGACTTAAGGGCCTCGGATACAAGGTTACCAGGTTAATGCGCTAGATCAATGGGATAAAAGGACTGACAAAACCCGGGACCAGGAGGAAGGGACACTGGATGAAGATTGGATTGTTTTTATTTCTTTTTTACTACTAGGATTGTTTTATAAAATTGATGAATGTTAGAAAAATGTTGGAACGAAATTACTTGGCTTTAGCAAAAATGTTTAAAGAATTATGTAAGAATATTATGGTTATGAGAAGTTGGTAAAAATAAGATTTAAGTTTTAAGCTTTAAGGTTCTTTATAGTAAGATAAGATTAAAATAGATTAAGGTAATGTAATGACAGAATATTATGAAATATGGAAAGGATTTGCTGAGACAATTAACAACTAGGATACCATAAAGGGAGGAGGAGGAGGTCAAAGAAAGAAGGTAATGACAGTTGAGGATTTGAGAATGATGGATTTGTTTTTGAGTGTTTGTGGTGTATTTTTGTTTTTTGAATTTGTATTGTTTGATGTGGTTTGGTTTTTCTTTCTCTTTTTCTGCTTTGTTCTCTTTTGTAATTCTAAAATTTTTTCAATAAATATCATTTAAAAAAAAATAGACAGCGAAATCAATCACTTTCATTTACTCTATCCTGCAGGGGTATCTCTTCTCCTTAAAGGGGCAGTGTGTTTTAAATAGACTCAGGGCTGGGGATCAGCTGTCTGGCACTAAAGCCTCTTAGCTTTTTATGGTACATAAGAGGGTAATTTTGCTGGGCTTTTGTTTTGTTTTGTTGCCGAGGTCCCTTAACTATTCTGGTATCGGCAGTAGATCAATTCAGATTTCCTGAGTTACTGTCGGGTGTGTTGGGGCTGCAGTTTGTGCTTCCTCTGGTGAACAGCGTGTTGCTGCTGGCAGCCATTTTGAGCACACCACGTGGCCAAGCTTTCCCAGCAACTATTTGGGATGAGACACGTGGCCTCTGTTTTTCTTGTTGTTTTTTTTTATAAGATATTTATTAAGATTTTCAAAATATTACAAAATAAAAATAGAAAAAAGAAAAAATACAAAATAAAAATAGTTAAAAACAAGTCAATCTTTCCATTACTTATTTTTCATTAGCTTGTTTCCCGGACCTCCTCATGCCTCCCTTTTTTGTATTCCAGTTCAGTTTGTTGGTTCAGCAAATCCTTCCCCTCTTTGTTTATCCTAATCTTTAATCTTAAAGTATTGTAACATTAAATTTTTACCTGTTAGTAATCCATTTTTCATATTCCCTTATAATATTTCAGCTAAAAACCATTTAATTTCTATCCAACATCATTCTAACATTCATTAATTTTACAATATTTCTGTAAATAGTCTTTAAATTTCTTCCAATCTTCTTCCACCGACTCTTCTCCCTGGTCTCGGATTCTGCCAGTCATTTCCGCCAGTTCCATATAGTCAATCACCTTCATCTGCCATTCTTCCAGAGTGGGTAGATCTTGTGTCTTCCAATACTTTGCAATGAGTATTCTTGCTGCTGTTGTGGCATACATAAAAAAAGTTCTATCCTTCTTTGGCACCAGTTGGCCGACTATGCCCAGGAGAAAGGCCTCTGGTTTCTTCAAGAAGGTATATTTAAATACTTTTTCAATTCATTGTAGATCATCTCCCAGAAAGCCTTAATCCTTGGGCATGTCCACCAAAGGTGGAAGAATGTACCTTCAGTTTCTTTACATTTCCAACATTTGTTATCGGGCAAATGGTAGATTTTTGCAAGCTTGACTGGAGTCATGTACCACCTGTATACCATTTTCATAATATTCTCTCTTAAGGCATTACATGCCGTAAACTTCATACCCGTGGTCCATAACTGTTCCCAGTCAGCCATCATTATGTTATATCCAACATCTTGTGCTCATTTAATCATAGCAGATTTCACCGTTTCATCCTGAGTATTCCATTTCAACAGCCAGTTATACATCCTTGATAAAGTCTTAGTTTTGGGTTCTAACAGTTCTGTTTCTAATTTTGATTTTTCCACCTGGAAGCCAATTTTCTTGTCCAAATTATATGCCTCCATTATCTGATAATAATGAAGCCAATTTCGCACTTTGTTTTTTAGTTTCTCAAAACTCTGCAGTTTCAATCTGTCTCCCTCTTGTTCCAGAATTTCCCAATATTTCGGCCATTTGGCCTCCATATTGAGCTTTTTCAATGCTTTCGCTTCCATCGGTGACAACCACCTTGGGGTTTTATTTTCCAATAAATCCTTATATCTTATCCAAACATTAAACAATGCTTTCCTGACAATATGATTCTTAAATGCTTTATGTGCTTTGATCTTATCATACCACAGATATGCATGCCATCCAAATACATTATTAAAACCTTCTAAATCCAAAATGTCTGTGTTTTCAAGAAGCAGCCATTCTTTCAACCAGCAAAAAGTTGCTGATTCATAGTAAAGTTTTAGGTCTGGCAGGGCAAATCCACCTCTTTCCTTTGCATCTGTTAGTATTTTATATTTTATTCTAGGCTTCTTGCCCTGCCAGACAAATCTAGAAATATCTCTCTGCCACTTCTTGAAACAGTCCATTTTGTCCACAATTTGCAATGTTTGAAACAAAAACAACATTCTAGGCAATACATTCATTTTTATCGCAGCAATACGACCCAGCAGTGAAAGCTTCAAATTTGACCAAATTTCTAAATCTTTTTCACTTCGGCCCAGCATTTTTCATAGTTGTCTTTAAATAAATTCCCATTTTTTGCTGTCATGTTAATCCCCAAGTATTTCACTTTCTTAACCACTGTTAAGCCTGTCTCATTCTGAAACCTCTCTCTCTCAATCAGTGTTAAGTTTTTCTCTAAAACCTTGGTTTTTAACTTATTCAGTTTAAATCCTGCAACCTGACCAAATTCTTGAATCAGTTCTAAAACCCTTTTGGTACTAGATTCTGGCTCCTGTAACGTCAATACTAAGTCATCTGCAAATGCTCTCAATTTGTACTGTTTGGCTCCGACTTGTATACCTTTAACCAACTGGTCCCTTCTAATCATATTCAGCAAAACCTCCAGGACCGATATAAAAAGCAATGGGGAGATTGGGCAACCTTGTCGTGTCCCTTTTTCTATCTTAAATTCTTCCGTCACCACATTATTTACAATTAGTTTAGCCTTTTGTTCTGAATAAATTGCACTTATACCGTTTTCAAAGCCTTGGCCTACCCCCATCCCCTGTAGGTTCTTCTTCATAAAGCTCCAAGAGATATTATCAAAAGCTTTCTCCGCATCCACAAATATCAAAACTGCTTTAGTATTTATGTTCACTTCTAATTTTTCCAAAATATTAATTATATTCCTCAAATTGTCAGACAAGTGTCTTCCCGGGAGAAAGCCCGCTTGGTCTTTATGAATCTCTTCCATCAACACTTTTTTCAATCTCTTGGCCAAAATATCTGCAAAAATTTTGTAATCCACATTAAGTAATGATATGGGGCGGTAGTTCTTAAGCTGAGTCTTTTCAGTCTCTGTTTTCGGTATAAGTGTAATATACGCTTCTTTCCACGACTCTGGTGCCCTTTTCCCGCCTCTGTTTTTCTTGTTGCCATGTTGCTTTGTGCACGTGCTTCCACACACCCCTGTGCTACATGAGAAACTCTTTTGATTGTACCTAACATTATAGAAGGCAAATTATATTATATATATATATATATATATATATATATATATATATATATATAATATTATATAATTATATATTATATATTATATATAGGCAAATAGAAGGGGAAGAAATGGAGGCAGTAAGAGATTTTACTTTTTTGGGCTCCATGATCACTGCAGATGGTGACAGCAGTCACGAAATTAAAAGACGCCTGCTCCTTGGGAGAAAGGCGATGGCAAACCTAGACAGCATCTAAAAAAGCAGAGACATCACCTTGCCAACAAAGGTCCATATAGTTAAAGCCATGGTTTTCCCAGTAGTGATGTATGGAAGTGAGAGCTGGACCATCAAGAAGGCTGATCGACGAAGAATTGATGCTTTTGAATTATGCTGCTGGAGGAGACTCTTGAGAGTCCCACGGACTGCAAGAAGATCAAACCTATCCATTCTTAAGGAAATCAGCCCTGAGTGCTCACTGGAAGGACAGATCGTGAAGTTGAGGCTCCAATACTTTGGCCACCTCATGAGAAGAGAAGACTCCCAGGAAAAGACCCTGATGTTGGGAAAGATGGAGGGCACAAGGAGAAGGGGACAACAGAGGATGAGATGGTTGGACAGTGTTCTCGAAGCTACAAACATGAGCCTAACCAAACTGCGGGAGGCAGTGGAAGACAGGAGTGCCTGGCGTGCTCTGGTCCATGGGGTCACGAAGAGTCGGACACGACTAAACGACTAAACAACAACAACATTATATTATATTAGTGTGTGTCCTTTTCTTTATTTAACCTTAATTTAACCTATCTTTATTTAACCTTAATTTAATGAAGAAGAAAAAGAAGAAGAAATACTGTGAAGAAGAAATATTTATGTATGTGTGTGTGTGTGTGTGTGTACACACACACACACACACACACACACACCTTGTCCTGATTTCTTTGGGGACTTCGGCTCATGTTTGTGCATTGCCTTCATGTGTTGGGCTTAGTTCACTGTGGCTTCACTTTTTCATCCCCTCCCCCCTTTTTCAGCATGGCTCTGTGGGCTGTGGTATCAGGCAGAGCTTAGGTGGCTGCCATTTTGGCCAGCCATGTGACCTTGAGCTGCCATTTAGAACACAAAATACACATTGCTGTTCCCCTCTAGGCTTAGGTTTCTCCTGCAAGATTCCCCTTGGTATCTTGTTAGCCACAGTAACATATAAAGTGCTGGACCAGATGGACCACTGACCTGGTCCACAAGGGTGTTCTAATGTTTTTAAGCTATGCTGTTTCTCTCTACCTACTCTCTACAGTGGTACCTCAGGTATCAAACTTAATTCTTTCCGGAGGTCCGTTCTTAACCTGAAACTGTTCTTAACCTGAGGTACGCTTTTGCTAATGGGGGCCCCCGCTGCCATTGTGCCGCTGGCGCGCTATTTCCGTTCTCATCCTGAGGTAAAGTTCTCAACACAAGGTACTACCGGGTTAGCGGAGTTTGTAACCCAAGGTGTTTGTAACCCGAGGTACCACTGTATTTGTAAATTGTAACAGAAACATCATAATTCTCTGGTGATATTTACCTGCAAAGGAAAGCCTGATACATGCTGCTTCTGAAACTGGGTGATCAGATTCATTAGTTATCAGGGTTCAGGTACCACTAACAGCTTTACCATAAGTATAAAATTTAGCCAACATACTTTATCAGGTATTGCTACAGGGGTGAAGAGTGTTGGTTGGGGAGGGGGAACTTAGGTATAAAATGAGTATTCTTGGATGCCAAGATCCAGGTTTGGGGAAAATACACTTCTGGTTGAAGGAACCCCAGCATATATTTGCACAAAATATGCAGCAAATGTTTGGTAAGGTAATAATAATAGCTTACAAACTCTCCATCGGTCAGATTTAAACCTCATTGCATGCTGAACTTTTAAGGGAAACTGAGGGAGAACACTGTGCTTGATTACCTTCTTCCCAATGCAAGGAGAAGAGACCTGACTAAGCCTGCCAGGGCAGCTCACTCTTTGACATGAAACCCTTCATGCATTAATCAGACCGAAGCATGTTGGTTATATGAGCTTGTTACCCCTCATAACGTGCTTTCTTCTTTTAAATAACTATTAAAGACAAAGGCAGGTGCATGGTCCTCTCTCAGGGTTTGGCTTTACCTACTGGATCATTATATTGGGGCATCCACCTGGCAGGACAATTCAAAATTGTTTACAGATTTTCAGGTTCAATCGGACGTGGTGGGATCTCTGGGCTTTGGTGTTTCTTTCAAAGGACGCTGTTGTGCGCATCAAGCTGCTGTGGTAACTATTACAAGCCTCAACCTTTTTAGAGCTTTTTTTCTCTTAGTAGGGGCAGTTCACCTTTAGATGGTGGACTTCAGAGATCACCGTGTTGGCTTTTGGACTGATAATCAAGCTGTCATCAGTGTCCTGGCAAAGCAATCGTCACGTTCCAAGAAGATGGACCGCTTCCATTCTTTAGCACCAGAGGCGCAACTGCTGCTGGACCCATCCCCTGAGCATCTTTGGAACCTTGCAAACTTGAAGTGATGGAGGGAGTATGGCCTCAGTGGCACCTTCAACTATTAGGTCTTAGAAGACGACCTGGTCTGATCTTATATCCTATCGGGTAAAATTTGTAGGTATTGGGCATAGTCTGCCCCCCCCAACAGTCCAAGTGCTTCAATACTTTGTACACCTGCATGACCTGGGGCGTGAAGCTAAGTCTTTAAGGATGCAGTCAGCTGATATTCCCTTCTTCAGTAAATCCATTTATTTTACGGACCCCCATGTTGAATTTGTAGCCCTCAGGGCGATTGAGGATTGGCACAGGTGGTAGACACCAAGTGGTGTAGGTTGTTGGCCTATCACGTTTAGCACTCTTTGCCATATACATGATAGGTAGGTAGGTAGGTAGATAATTTGTTGGTCAAAATATGTATCTCGCTTGTACTCTGACGCTTTCTCTGTTGCCCTCTTCCTAAGAATGGGCGTAGCTGTTAACAAGGTTGAGCCGGGATGCTCCTCTAGGGGGCTTCGTTTGGAAGACATAAATTTATCTAGTGCAGAGCTGCTGGGCTGCATCCATCAATAGAAAACTGACCAAAGGGGAAAAGGCGCCCTTATTCAGCTTGCAGCATCAGAACATAAGGTCCCTGCCCTGTAAACGACACCAGGAGATACCGTTACCTTAGGTTCCCCGGTTCTAGCGCATCCCTGATACATCGGGATGGTACCCACCTCGCCCGGATCAGTTCATGCGGGTGTTGCATTTGGCCATGGAAGCCCATGGCTTCCCGGCCAGAGAATATGCTGCTCATTCCTGCTCATGGAGGCCTGCCTACAGACAGATTCAATGACATGAGTCATGTGTTGGAGGGGAGGTTGTGGCCATCACCTACCCCTCCCTTTGAAGGGTATTCCGTTAAAGGAATCCAGTGGTCGTGGTTCCTGTCCAAAGCCCAGGTGGTGGCTAGGGCCATGGAACAACCCTCCAGTGACTAGGGGAAATCTTCCAGTTGATTTGCATCAACAAGTTCCCCCTACAGGTTGTTAACCCTTGTGTGACTTCCTGCAGAGCGGGCAGGGGTCAAGTATAGTCTGTTCAGATCCAATACTACTCACATTCTGTAACCAATCAAGTTGTGGCCTTTTTTAGCCCATTAACCTAAAATACTTGTGTCCATGTGTCTTATTCCATCACAAAGCGGGGGGCAGGGTCTTGACTCAAAACTGATCTACATTTTACACACAGACATAAATATCACTGTCACCTGTAAGGCTTTTCCTTTTTTAAACACCCATTGGTGTTAGAGTCAAAGCCTGGGGGGGGGGGGGGAGACAGACCCTTTTTTTTGGCAGGATTTCATCTGGGGAGGAAAAGGTGAAACCTCCACCTTCCCCACACCCTACATTCCTAATGTAAAATCAGCCACCAGATGGTAGCCAGTATTGTTTGTCCTATAGCACCCAGAGCCATTAAGAACCAGGCAAGACCCTCTCTTCAAAGTGGCATGTTAAACTGTACTAGATAATGTGTGATATTTTAGTGTATTTTTGGTTTCTATGGAAGCCGCCCAGAGTGGCTGGGGAAACCCAGCCAGATGGGCGGGGTACAAATAATAAATAATAATAATAATAATAATTAGAATGCTGGAAATTAGCTTTTCTAGATCTATGCATAATGTGCTTTTTTCTTAAGCAGGCACAGGTCCCAAGAAAGTGCACCTGGTTTCAACAGAGGAGGAAGAGGAAGAGGAATCCTTGGATAACAGTGACACCATCTGTTGATTCTGGTTTGGAAATGGGGATTAAGAATTAGGCTGTCACATAAGAACCCACATTCTGGCAAGCTCAAGCAGTTTGGGTGGCATTTCCATAATGAAAGCATTTTAGCTTTTTGAACATCAGGAAAAATTCTAAATTTTGTTGTTGTTTTTTTAAGCAATTTATTGGGTTTTACAATAAAAATAAACATAATAAACAATATAACATTTGTCTTAACATAGTTTCACATTTTCTTTGGACTTCCTCACATCTCCCGCTCCCACTTTCATCGTTATAACATTTTGTCAGCAATTTATCATCTTATTTGAATTCTTATATCCCTTCAATATTTCATAGTCTTATAATTCTCAAAAAGAGTTAAACTTTCACAGTCTTACTTGTTTTCTTAAAAACTTCTAAGTTAAGTGGTGCTCAGTTATTTTAATCTAGCATCTTATTTAGCATTCACTCAAATCACAATATTTTTGTAGATAGTTCTTAAATTTCTTCCAATCCTCCTCCATCCTCTCTTCTCCCAGGTCACGAATTCTGCCGGTCATTTCAGCCAGTTCCATGTAGTCTATCAGTTGCATCTGCCATTCTTCCAGTGTGGGTAGATCTTGAGTTTTCCAATGTTTTGCGAGAAGTATCCTTGCTGCTGTTGTTGCATACATAAAAAATGTCTGGTCCTTCTTTGCCACCCCTTGGCCGACAATACCCAAAAGGAAAGCCTCTGGTTTCTTAGTGAAGGTATATTTAAATACCTTTTTCAATTCATTATAAATCATTTCCCAGAACGCCTTCACTTTAGGGCAAGTCCACCAGAGGTGGAAGAACGTTCCCTCACACTCTTTACATTTCCAACACTTATTATCAGGCAGGTGGTAAATTTTTGCAAGTTTGACTGGGGTCATATACCATCTATACATCATTTTCATTACATTTTCTTTCAAAGCGTTACATGCAGTGAATTTCAATCCATTACTCCACAACCTTACCCAGTCCTCAAACATAATATTATACCCAATGTCCTGTGCCCACCTTATCATAGCCAATTTAACCGTTTCATCTTGTGTATTCCATTCCAACAGCAAGTTATACATCCTTGAAAGTACCTTAATCTTTGGTTCTAACAATTCTGTTTCTAGTTTCGATTTCTCCACCTGGAACCCTAATTTCTTATCATTTTTAAAAACTTCTTTAATCTGAGCGTAGTGTAACCAATCTCGCACTTTGTCTTTCATTTCTCCAAACTCTGCAATTTCCAATTGTCTCCATCCTTTTCTAGTATTTCCCAATATTTTGGCCATCTAGCCTCCATATTGGGTCTTTTTCGGGCAGGAAAAATTCTAAATTTTGACCATGATTTTGAAGAGGGTTGTCATGGTGGGAGGGTGGGATGTTTGCTCTTTGACTGCCATAGACTGATCACATGTACAATTGATTTCAGTGAGTTTTAATTCAAGGTAAATTTGCTCTGAGTAGAAGAGTTGTAGTGATTTTTGCTAACTACCCAACCGTGAAACCAATGGAGGGAGGTGAAAATCCTCTCTCTCTGTGTGTGTGGCTATTCTTGGAGCCTGTTTCAAAAAAAAAAGCAAAAAAAAAAAGCACAGCTTCTGGCCTTTTCCTCACAAAACAAATTATCAAGCCTCATACAGATATTTAGACAAAAGGAGTTGAGTGTAGAAAGTCTGAGAAGCACCATTCAAGTTCAATGTAACTTGGATTTCTTAGCCATTACAACCCTCAGAATATTTTCCCTCGTGCTACCTTGGAACCTTTTCCTTCAAAAAATTTTCCTGCAGCTTTATGATCCATTGTAAAGCAAAGCAGTTATGTACAGTGGTAATTATTGACTACAAAGGACATTGTAACAGAATGGATGCTGGCAGAATGAAACTGTTTTTGGGAATAGAGTAACGTGCTTCTTTGAAGCAATGAATTTCTGAGTTATAGAAAGTGAATTGTGAACATTCAGCGTGTTAACATTTAGATGAGGTTTCTGTAGTAGCTAGGAAAATGGAGAACAGGTTTTAATCCTTTCCAGCAACCTGTTTAAAATGACAGTGTGCAAGCCCAAACCAGGCATTGCCTTTGCTTATAACGGCCACATAAAGCATTGTGGTTTTCCCCCCTCTCTGGCATCCATTGATACCAAGTGTTTGGTGTGAGGTCATGTCCATGTTGTATTGCTAGAGACAGGTGAAAATCCTCTCTCTCTCTCTCTCTCTCTCTCTCTCTCTCTCTCACTATTCTTGGAGCCTGTTTCAAAAAGAAAGCACAGCTTCTGGCCTTTTCCTCACAAAACAAATTATGAAGCCTCACAGATGTATTTAGACAAAAGGAGTTAAGAGTAGAAACAGTCTGTTGTACTGCTAGAGACAGGTGTTCAATCTAGCATAATATTTAGTTCTGATCTTAATTTCTTTAAGAAAATGTAGCCATCAAAACCACTTTAATACTGGTGATGTACTAAATATACCCTTTGTCAGTTGTATCATAAGGTATAAAACTAAGATGCTGACTGATCTGTGCAGCAAATATTTTTGTTTTCAGAATATGAAAACTAATTTGAAATGTTAAAGTACTTGATTAGAAAACTATTTCTAGTTCTTTGATAATTTGATCAGTTTGTTTTGTGTGGAATTGTTTGGTCCAACACAGCTGATGCATTACATCTAATTTTTCCTGATCTAATATGGTAGATAATAAAAGTTAAATCATATTATAGCTCTTCCTTGAACATCAATATTCAAAATGGTTAGTTAACTAGACACTTTGTTCAACTGCTCTGTTTCTGTACGTTATTATGTTGGCACAAAGAGCTGTGAGTATGTGTAGGAAGAATTAGAGATAGCCTTAGAATCAAAGGGTATATCTGGATCCAGGAGCTGTGAGGGGCAGGTAGAGCCACTTAATCAGAAGAACTAAAAATTATAATAAAGTACTGCTACAATAAATATAGCTTTCCCTACCTGTTCGCATAGCAGTATAACAACAAAAACCAGTGAACCAGTGAAGGATGCCCAAATGACTGTCAGATGTCAGATGCACAGGCATAATTATATATGATAGTCCATTTGATGTAGTTATTATTAAATTTATATGCTACCTTTTATCTGAAGATCACAAGGCAGTACGTTTAACAAAATAATTGCTCTGTTGACAGTATTGGATAAATAGTAGCTTTTAAGATGCTATAGTCTATATCCTCCAACGAGGAGCAGCATTCTGCCACTGAATTGACAGTCTCTCTGGAAGCTGCAGGTATTAGTTGCAATGGTTCTAACATGCCCTCTGGTGCCTGCGTCCTAATTTCTAAATGCCCCTACTTTTTCCAGTTAAATATTCCCACTCCACATTGTCAAATGTGTAACAGTACAGTGCAACAACAGTTTACTCTATAAAATGAATATGGCAGCAATTGTTGAGCTTTCAGTGTTTCACATGATTGACCCAAATGAGGTTATAACAGTTGGACATGTATATCATATAAGCAATTAAATCAGAAGTATTTGGCTCAAAGTTGGATGTTGTGATAAACCCTTCTTAAGGCCATAATCTTATGAATAGTTATGGAAAAAGTTATTTATGCCTGTTAGAAAAGCAATAAGGAACACTCTTAAAACCATCCTTTACATCTTTGAAGTTTTTAGAAACGATTTATTAATTAAATAGAAAATATGATAAAAATATACCAAAGGCATTTGCAACAAGTCACAAAATAGTAATGCTGGAACTTTGACTTTTCAGAGTGCACAAGGAATCTAGAGAAAGCCAGAGGAAGGTAGGGAAAGAACGTCTAGTGTTCCATTTACCAGCAGTTCATCCCATGTTTGCAGCAGTATGAAATGCTACATCTTTGGTTTTCCTGCAAATCTTTCACAAAAGTAATTTTGAAAAGCAACAAACATGTCTGTTCCAAGATCACCACCTGCTCAGTATATGAGTCCTGACTTTGACCCCTTTGAGATTATTTCCACTTACTTGCCTGCTGTCTCAGGAATGAGACAACAGCTGAGCACAGCATGGAAAACCTAGCTTGCACATCCCAAACACAACATATTGTGGAACCCTGACCCCAAACCAATGGTAAGAGGAATGGTGGTAGCCAGATCAAAGATGTAGCTTCTTGGATCCAGCCTACACAATCACAGCCCATTTTTACTTTTACTAACTTCCCAAGAGGTAGCTGTGTTAATCTGTAGCAGCAAAGAGGTTTTTGGCACCTTTTAAAGTCTAACAATCTGTAATAAATCTGCTTGTATTTATTTAATTAAAATATATGTAACCCACTCAAGTCAAGGATTTCAGAGTGGGTACAACAATTAAAACAGCAAATCCAACTGCACAGGAGAAAATAGATAAACAATAAAACGTGGGTGACAGTTATTACAAATTAAACCTGAGTAAATAAACAGGTTTTAGCCTGGCACCCAAATTGAAATCTGTCTAGTGGCAACTTTGTTTTAGAGGGGAAGACATTTTGCAAGTAGGGAAATTGGTGTGGCAAAAGTTCTTTTTATGAATGTTGTGATAAATCCATTAAATCTTTAAGGTGCTACAAGTCTCTTTGCTGTCTTTCCTTTGGAATTATATAAAAAAATGTTGATTAAGCTTCTGTCTTTGCATGCACTCCTCAAAAGATGCAGCTGTGCAGGATACTGAGGTAGAAACATGACAGCAGCAAACCAAGCTGAGGCTCCCTGGGTGCAAAAACACACTTCCTATGGGCAACCAAGGATCTGCCCTTAAGCCTCATGCTGGACAGACTCTACGCTTCTAATACACAAATCATTGTGCCTGTGAAAACCTGCTCCAGTGTTGAGATATTTCCCATCATCTGCTCATGTTTCATTGTGTCAAGGCAGAGTCATTCTTTGAGCAGCCTCAGCCTATTCCAGTGTATTACGGTGCTTGTCTTGACCTCTTCAACCGCAGGAGTCAATATCACACAGATTACGTCTAGATCACATGTCTTTCTCCCTCCCATATGTTCTCCTGTCATTTCATTTCGGTTTCTACCCTTTATAAATCTGTAAGACATTTAATATGTGAGATTTCATCTTTGCGCTTCCATGTTTGTTTGCTGGTAGATGGCACTGTAATACTGTATGTTCTGTCCTTTCAGCTTGCTGAGAAAATAATGTGGAAATTCCATACCTGAAATCAAGTCCATGGCCTACAAATACTCAGGTCTTTTCCCCCATTCAGATATTTTCTTAAGATGTTGAAAATCCCTGAATTCAATGTGTTACAAAAACGAATGCATTTTACAGGGGAACAGAACAGTGTCTTTTTCAGGACACTTACTGTCTCACAAATGTCTCTTATCCTCAGAATTGAGACTTATAGTTGTGGACATGATGTATCATACCTGCTGAACCATTTCCAGGATCTAGCCTTTTTAATGATGGAAAAATTCAATGTTATTCAGGAACAGCTTCTGGTGGAACTACTTCCATAAGCATCTGAAGGTGCATAGTGATGGGCTCTGAAACGCAGAAGTTGTTGAGGTCAGAAGCCTTTAGAAATGGCAATTGCACTGTTAGTACCATTTCTTTTCCTAGATCATTTCCCCTTTTGCACTTAACCACTTAGAAGCCTCCGTGTTGATTGCACAAGCCAGATTATGGGCTTTACTTTTCCTATAGCCAAATTAACATGGGTCTTGAGAATATTCCAGAAATTACAGTTTCAGAACCAGTGCTTTATTGTGATGCCTTCCATTTCTTAAGTGTACTAGATGGTATGTGCAATGCTGAGCACATCACATCAACTGAAAACCAATCTAAGCATCTTGTTATTTCTGGAAACATCAAGAGGTCTATTCAAAATCAGTATACACAGTCTTATACTATTGGTGCTATCGGGGTAGAGTAGCATTCTGTTCTACTGGAACTCTGGTTAAATTGATTTATATTTACAGGTTTATTTTTAACTCTGCAAACTATGGGCTTATTCTGGATAACTGCTTTAACATGATGAAATTATAAGTGGTCATTTGTTGGCATGGCGACTGGCAAAGTGAGGGCATCTTGGACAACATTTCAAATGGTTTCCAGGACATAATGAGCTGTAACCTTAGCTAAGTGTCAAAGTCCACTCAAAAGACCAGTTGCCACAATCAAAAGGATGTATTTCCTGTGTATGTCAAACTACCATCAAGTTTCAGTCTTTAAAGAAAAGATGGCTAGTGGTTAGGAAGAAGCAGGTACAGGAATGTCTAAAGCTCTTTAAAATATAGGGAGGCTTAGAAATTGCCTACCCTGAAGGAAGGGGGAAAATTCCAATTGGAATGTTTTTGTAACTGAAAACACTAGCACCCATGTGCCTGCAAAGGGCAAGTGGCCAGTGCGCAGAAGCATGCATTGAGTATGTAATCTCTAGCAACTCGAGTGATCTGAGGAGACCACATACCCCATTCCGGCTCTATGAGCCTCCTTTATTCCCATAATTTCCTCTTTATTGTATCTCATGCACCCCACTGTTCCTCTTTAAGAAGCTCTTCCCCTTTGAATCAGAGTTAAAGAGCCACACCCAGATTATTTCATCACAAACACCTCTTCCCCTGGGATGGAAATCAACCATATACTCACTTGAGATTTTTTGAGCCCAGCTGAATTTGAAGTGGATGAAAAGTACATAAAAGACAAGTCCACTGATAATAAACAGAACACAATACAGATATGGCAGCTCAGGTGCAGTGATGATGGGTGCCAGGACCAGCACAATGGAAACCAACAGCACAAGGATGGGGATGATAAGAGGGACCTGCAAGACAGAGTGGAGGGGGTGGTAATATAATTGTGTGTGTTGAGGAATCCCAGATTGGAACGACCTAGCAAGGCCGAATAATAATTTTGCTCAAGATGTATTCAGCGCTTGCTACAAAGATGTCTCAAAGTGAGTTAGAGTTATGAAAACATACATGATACAAAATTTAAAACACACCCAAAAGATAATTGACAAAAGCTACCCATCTTGCAATCACATAAAAAGGACAAATCCTATCCCAACCTACTAAACAGTGAACACAAGGATTGGATACCACCACATCCTGACACTCCAGTTAAGAGCCAAATGCCTGGGGAAAGAAACATCTTTGCCAAAGTGCCTGAAAGTTGATAATGATGGTGTCAGGTGCATCTCTCTCTAAAAAGAGCATTCCACAATTGGGAAACCACCACTGAAAAGGCCTGTTCTCATGTTGCTGTTTATTGAAGGGGGCACACAAAGAAGGCTCTCAGATGATTAGGTATTGAAGTCATGGGCAATGTAAGACTTTATACGTCAAGAGCAGCACTTTGAATTGGGCCAGGGAGCTAACACATCCTGTGCACTTGAACCAGGATCAGCGTTCTAGGATCAGACCGCCTACTCCCAGTCAATTCTGGCCCCTGAATTCTGCACTAAGTGCAGTTTCTGACTGCTCTTCAAAACGGCACTACATAGAGTGCATTGCAGTAATCTAACCTAGAGGCAGCTCACATGTTAACCTAATTTCTCCCCCAACTCTAGCAGTAACAAAAGGAGCAACACAAGAGGAACTGCCAAACCATCCTGAACACTGATGAGAATATCTTGTGGTGGGCTACTTACACGGATAGGCCTTTCAAGATCTTTTCTTGTAAAGCGCATGACAATGAGTCCCAGCACAGTTAGACCATAGAATATCCAAACTGCAAAGCTAAAGTAGTTGATGAGGGTGTTGATGTCTCCGGGAATTATATAAATAATAGCTACTGCACCCTGAAAGGAGAAGAAATGCATTATGGAGAAGGCATTTTTTTAAAAAAAAACCCTGCAGATTTCAGTGTTGGGTTTAGAGGCCTTTTAATGGCCAATACTAATTGTGGCTATGATAACTCTGTTGGAAAACTTAATCAGACATGCTTGCTTAGTCTCTCCAGTGACTTTAAATTTGCAGCCCTACTGCATGGTTGCTTTATAATAATGCAAGGACTCCAATTGCATACAGACCCTTTTGCATACAGATAGGAAAGTCGTGTGCAATCACAGAGCTTTCAAAAGAGTTTTAATTACAGCGCCAGATTGCTGAGATGTGTTTGTTTTTATTTAAAGATTTAAGATCTTATATCAAAAGCAGCAGATGAAGTGGAGGGGGCGTTATAGAGGTGTATGCAATTGCATTTTCCTCCCTCGCAGTATTAAAACCTAGGGCCAGCCAAGGAAGCTGAATGTCGAGAGATGTAGACAAAAGGAAGGGCTTGTTTACACAGCACATAATTAAACTGTGGAATTTGACCTCATGGGAGTTGTGATGCCTGCCAACTTGGACCGGTTGGATATTAGACAAATTAATGGAGGATAAAAGCAGCATTGACTACTAGTCGTGACGGCAAAGCCCTGCTTCCAATAACAGAGAACAATGCTGGACTAGACAGGCCTTTGGTCAGATCCAGCAGGGGTCTTATGATGCTCTTCTGACACTTCAGAAATCATACTTACATAAAAGATGATAGCAGGTGCCGGAGTTAAGCGCTTAATGCTGATGTAAGAGAGCACCTTTAACATGTGTCCTTCACGACCAGCTACGTAAGCAAGCCTGAGAAGGTAAATTATTCTCATTAGAGAAGCCATTGTGATGAGCTGACCCAGAGCAAAGGATGACAAGACATCTGCGCTTTTCATATTTTTGGTGATGCATTCAGAGAGCATTGCAGAATCTGTGTTTACCATGTCATGCAGTAATATGGGCTATGGAGAGTGTATGAGGAACTAGTTGCAACGGCTGTGGTTTGAGAAAAACAAGATCCTGATTAAGTCCAATGTTAACAGCATAAAAATCTGGGAAATGGAATGAGATCAGCACAACTGCCACATGCACTGGGAACAACAGGGTATAGGATTTCCCCCATCTGACATATACAGTACATTACTACTGTGCTTCCAATAAATGTGAGTGAATGTGGAGGGGTGATGTTAAATTTAAGCTGCTTTCCCCCTCTATACCACCTTTCCTTCCACCACCTGCCAGCCACTGAGCAAAGTTTAATAGCTTGGAGATGTCAATTTGCCCCATCTCCTGAGTGCCCCCAGGTTACTTTTAATGAGAGGATGATGCAGACATGGGACCCGTTCAGAATGACTGTGAAGTACTCCTTTACACAATATATCACTAACACATTGAATTATTTATTCACATAATGCTAGGGCAGCTTCCACCATGAGTTACTTGAAAATGATGGGATTAATTCAGAGGAAAACGAAAAATTCAGAGGCACTGTACTTCTAATTAGCAGATGATTGGTGCAGCCGTCTGCAATATGACCTGCTTTTAAGTGTCACCTGGGCATTTGCCTGTTGGCAACTGTGATGCTCTTAACTCCAGGTACATATAAGCGCAATCTGGATTCAGGGCTGGGGGCATATCAATCAAATTTAACCTAGGGCACACTAGAATTCCACATCAGAAAGTTTTGTTTTACCTTCCAGCAGTAAAGCAAGTCCCATTGGCTGCCCCGATGGTAGAAAAAGCCACAAAGAGAGGGACTATCCAGGAAGCAGGATAAAGAACCCTGTCTCCAAATGTCTGTGATGGAAGGAATTGAAATAATGCACATCTTTAAAACCTAGAGGTCAACCAACTGGACACGTGACGATACAGCAGTAATTAAACATACTTAGTAAAAAGCTTGCACAACTTTTTAGAGAACAAATTTTCCCTTGTGTTACTTAAACCACTTCCACTCTTGTTCTGCTGTTTGTATCAAAACATCCTCTGTGAATTGTACAGAGGTGAAAAACAACACATTTCCCCACTTGGACTCACCACAGCGACAGCTGGAGACTGCAGAAGTTCTGTTGACGTCATAACCGTGAAATAGGATATATTGATCAGAACGTAACAAACTGTGACCAGAGGGATTCCAATAACAATAGAGAGTGGTAGATTTCTAGATAATATAAAGAGATATGCAATCAGTTACACATCCAAGTTTTTACACAATTAAAGAAATATTAGTTCATTTACCATTTAGGTTTCTATATAAATTTGCATCCGAACAATTCTAAAGGGGGGAATTGTCAAATTTTAAATAATGAGCATTGTCTCTTATTTGAGTGACAATAACACATCTTCTAAGATGACATCTGCCACCCTATGGTCCTGATTAACACCCCCACCCTACCCAACTTCCAGCAATGATATTTGCATTGAGAACATAAGAATACAAGATGAGTGGGCACACAAGCAGAACCAGAGGAGGAGCTTCCTTCCCAATGTAAATAGCAGCTTGGATGGGAGGGTCAGCAGGACAAAGCAGTTGGGGAGGGAGGAGGGTTAAGGGGGAAGCACCAGCCCCCACCCCACCCCCATGGATGCTGGTCATTAACATCATAAGATATATGTATATTAATTGAATCTGTACATTTAAACATTACATCTAGTTTGGCTTTAAACAGCTGTGTATTTAGACTTTTAATTTCACTCAGTTGTTGGTGGTTGCAGGGCCATCTCTACCACTAGGTAGAGTGAGGCAACTGCCTTGGGTGGCAGATGCTGGTGGCCAGAGGCAGTTCCTCCAGGGTTCCCAGGCATTTCCCCCCTGGTGGAGGATAGAGCTGGGTGTGCCACACAGCCTCTCCCATCTTGGGTGGTTCTGAAGGGCACTGTCAGACTAAAACAGCCAATCTAGTCAGCTTCCGCAGGTGGCAACCATCTTGTCCTTTGCCTCAGGAAACAAAATGACTTGGAACAGTACTTTTCTGTGTATAAGACTAGAGTTTTTTCACTTTAAAATAAGGTTACAAATCTAGGGGCATCTTACACACGGATAGTGCATATGCCCATTTTCTAAATTTGGGGTCCCAAAAAGTAGGGGGCATCTTATACATGGGGCAGCTTATACACGGAAAAATACAGTATTTCCTCCTGACTGTATAGATGCAGTTCACTGACATGGGCCTGGTTTCAGAAAACAGCTTATTGGATTTTATTGTTGCTTTGTGAAACTTTTTGCACACTGCCTGAGGAGGGCTGTACCCTGAATGGCAGGTTAGAAATCCTTGTTTCAATGGGACTGTGAGGGAGGAGGAAAAAGAAATGGTGTTCTGTCAGCTGATGCAGCACTTTTCTTACCTATAAGGATCTTTAAGTTCCTCTGTGATATAATTAAGTTGATTCCTGGAAGGGATGGGGGGGGGGAGAAGTACCAAAATGTTACTTTGCATCCTGCACATTTTTGGGAGGAAACCCTCTTGAACCCAGTGGAATTTAATTTCCAGATAAAAGAGTTATGGGATGTAAGTCTTGGTGGCAAACCATATTTTTACTGAAATTATAATTCCCTTTCAACTACCAACAACAGCAACATGAGACATTTCACAGAACCAAGTAGAAAATGTCCTATTTTGATTTGTGTTCTGCATTTGCACAGAAGCAAGTGCCCAGTATGGCTTTCAACAGTAACAGCAAGTATCAATAAACAAGCAAGAATATATGCACCTGTTCTGTGCAAAAATAATCCTTTGTACATTAAAACATACATTAGATCAGCCTTTGGTAGCCTGATGCCCTGCATATAGCTATCCTGAACAAAAGGAAAAGCTTCTCAATTATGTTTTTCTGTGACATGCTCTTTTCTATGTGTAGGGGTCTATTCTGAGGATTGAGTACGAAGGAGCTGCCATCTGCCATCTGAAATACTACAGCCCAGACACAGCCTTACTACTTCAGGGAAAAAAATATGCCCTTAACAAATATGAGTCCTTCCTCCTTTTATAATACCTGGCATCCATTCACCTCCCATATGAGAAGCAACCATCAAGACAACACACACACACACCGACCTATGGAAACATCTGGAGAGACCTACTGGATTAGAGATTTTATTGTGCCTATGAACTGGCTCTAAGTAGTGCTTCTAACCTTAAGATGCTGTTAACTCCTTTTTCAAACAACCTAAGACTAGCTGATATTGTTGGTGCCTTCAAAAGCCATCTCAGCTATTGGCCATCACTGTATCATGTGGTAGCAAGTTTCACTTGGTCTGCTTAGCTCTCCCCCACAAAAGTGGGTGGGCTCTGTCTCCTTTCATGCCTACCAGGAAGTCACCATAAGTTTAGAATTAGTATTCCCCACCCTACACTATTTCCAGGTGTGATTCTTCAGCAAGACTTCAGGTGCCAATGCTTTCATGTTTGTTAAAGTGCAGTAAAGACAGATCAAAATAAGACATGAACTGCTAATGACAGTCATAAAATTATATTACCATCCATCATAGGCCCAGAGTCCATTATAAAATGCAAGACTAATGGTACCCACAGAAAGTGGGGGACCATCAAACGAATTGTTGAAGTTCTTTGTATTTCCTGGGGGAGGGAAAGTGAAACATGTCATTACTTGCATCTGAGGAACTTGGCTCAGAGTCCGTGAAAACTCCCACCCACCCTGATAAATCTGTTTGCCTAAGATGCCACTGGACCTTTTGTGGTTTTGGTATCATATCTTCCAGATTCATTCCTCAAAGGAAAATAAGATGTACATTGATCACCCACCACCCAACTGACCCTCCTTGACCCCTTCCCCATTTTTGTGGTCCACCACCACTTCACAAAGGGCACTTACCCATAGATTATTTTATGCTAGATGTTCAAACATATTGAAACGGAATGTGACTTTTTAGAAACTTGAGACTTATCTTTAATGTATGTCATAAACAGCTTTTAATTTATTTACAAGGAAGGTGATATTAAAAAGATACATGATAGATAGATAGATAGATAGATAGATAGATAGATGATAGATAGATACTGCAACTAAGACTTCAACATAACATACCTTGGGCTAGAAGAACAATCCCACTTACAATGATAATTATGACAATCACCATTTTAGCCACAGCAAAAAAGTTCTGTACGTAGCTCGCCCACTTCACACTCAGGGCATTCACCAGAGTAATTGTAACTAAGAGAAAGGAAAGGGTGGAAGGTTCACGAGAAATGTCACCACAACAAATAAGCTTCTGTACCCCTGGAATCTGCCTTCCCAGTTCATTTTCCTGCCACTCAGAGTAGCCAATAATGGGCTAGAAGGACAAATAAACTGACCAGCTGTGTGGTAGCTTCATATGTTCCTCTGCATTCAAAGTGTTCAAACCATTTCACTCATCATCATGTGCCCTCTTTACAGGTAAGGTAAAGGATCTGTGGAAGGTTAAGTCCAGTCAAAGGAAACTATGGGGCACAGCACTCATCTCACTTTCAGGCTGAGAGAGTCAGTGTTTGTCCAGAGACAGCTTTTCCAGGTCCTGTGGCCAGCATGACTAAACCGCTTCTGTCACAACGGGAAACCGTGATGGAAACCAGAGTGCACAGAAACGCCATTTACCTTCCCGCTGCAGCGGCACCTATTTATCTACTTGCCCTGGCGTTGGCAGGAGCCATATATAAGTATTCCCAAGTTCCCAAAAAGGGAGACCTAGGCTTCACATGGGGTCATGGCAGAGATGAAATTTGAACCAGGGTCCTGTGATACCTAGCAGAGTCTCTTCGCTTCTGTTATGCAGCAGCTGCCTCCAGCTTGTGCCAAATTAACCCACAAATTTGCACCGGTGTAAAAGGAAGCCTATTATTTGCCGTTATCTCTGTATGCATTTGGTTTTAGGTCACTAACTCACAGTTCCAGCTACCTTTGTCTTCCTGATCAAAAGCCAAATACTCACCGAGGGCTGCTGTTGCCAGACACTTGATGACAACTGTGGGGGGGTCACAACCCGGATAAAATGGAGCTGCTGTGTACTCAGCAAAGCTGAGGCAAATAATGGCAAAGGAACTGGGCTTGATGACGATAAGACTTGCCCAGGAAAACAAATACGCAGGGATTGGGCCAAAGGCTTCCATGAGGTACGGATATTCTCCTCCTGATTTTGTTATCATTGTGCCAAGTTCAGCAAAACACAGTGCCCCTGAAGAAAGAAGTGGGAGTTTTCAAAATAACCTGCCACCACTGCCACAATCACCCATCTCCATTTCAGTATTGCTTCTGGAGGGCTCTATATGAACCTAACCCTTCTAACCTGTTTCAAGTCACCAGGGATTTTGTTCCTATTAAGTGCATAATTTTGTTATGGTATATGGAACTAGTCAACATTTCTCTCACCCAATGAGTGCTTCTGTTGTGAGAAGCTCATCTGGTGGCAACCAACTATAATTTTGAGTTGCTGAAGAAATGCTTTTCCCCCTCTCCCCCACAAGCACGATTGATTATTTTCATTTATAAACACTGTGCTTGTTCTCTCACGGTGTCTATTAGACACTGTCCATGACATCATCAGCGGGTGCCTTGGGACTCAGGGGGCATCGATAAAAGAAAAGCAAAAAAAGTTATTTTTAGAGCCAGTTATCACATATTTATTACGTTTATATTTATCTCTCATTCATCCTTTCCATTTTCTTTAATACATGCAAAAACCCTGTGACGTAAGTCAGGCTAAGGAATGGTGACTAGTCCAAGTTTACACAGAGAGCTTCATGGATGAGTGGAGATTTGAACCCTGATCACCCCCAATTCTAGTCTAACCATGACAACATGCTAGGATATGGTTGCCATATACTAAACATAGATCACTTGGTTCTTCATCACAAGGTGATTTGTAAGAGAGGCCAGATGAACAAAAGGAGCTTCAAAATACAGTGGTACCTTGGTTCTCGAACTTAATCCGTACCGGGAGTCCATTCGACTCCCGAAACCATTCAAAGACCCAGGCGTGGCTTCCAGTTGGCTGCAGGAGCTTCCTGCACTCAAACAGAAGCCATGTCGGATGCTCAGCTACCAAAAAATGTCCGCAAACCGGAACACTTGCTTCCGGGTTTGCGGCGTTCAGGAGCCGATTGGTTCAACAACTAAGCTATTCAAGAACCAAGGTACCACTGTAATGTAACATATTAGCTTTGGCTAGTATTTTCCCCAAACAAATTGTTCACCTATATCTTATATGCTAGTTTCAAACACAAAACTAGCAAATGCAAATCCATCATTAAAGGGCTAAACAAAATAACACATAACAAGGAGCTTGTAATAAACTGGGAGCAGCAGGGGAGAGAATAAGTTGGAAAGAGCAGTAGTGATTTACCTAACGTAGCAAGCACTCCACAGGCTGCCCAGATGACTAAGCAGGGCCCCACTGCTCCAACGTTAGCCAGAACCGACTTTGGAGAAACAAAGATTCCCGAACCAATCACTGTCCCAACAATGACACAGATTCCACTGAGCAGGCCCACCTGGAAAAAGAAATTGAGGTTAGGTGAATTCAACCGGAGTGGTTCTTTCAATCTTCTGTAGGCAGTATAATGAGGGTGGAGATGGATGGGGGACAGGAACACTGAAGCAGATGTTAACCCAAGAATATGTTAGGAAGGGTCCACTCTTATTGCAAAAACACTGCTTTAATACAACAGCTACTGCCATTTATCTTAAAGGTAAGGTAAAGGGACCCCTAACAGTTAAGTCCAGTTCTGAACAACTCTGGGGTTGCAGTGCTCATCTCACTTTACAGGCTGAGGGAGCCGGCGTTTGTCCGCAGACGGGTTTTCTAGGTCATGTGGCCAGTATGACTAAGCCACTTCAGGAGCAATGGAACACCAAAACCAGAGCAGCACACAGAAACACTGTTTACCTTCCCGCTGTAGCGGTACCTATTAACTTACTTGCACTTTTTGGCGTGCTTTCGAACTGCTAGATTGGCAGGAGCTGGGACCGAGCAATGGAAGCTCACCCTGTAGCGGGGATTCGAACTGCCAACCTTTTGATCGGCAAGCCCAAGGCTCAGTGGTTTAGACTACACCACCACCCACGTCCCTCCATGTATCTTAGGGGGACCTTATTTTCCCAACAAACATATCTGTAGGCTCTACAGTTTATTATTATTATTAATTGTACTTCTTAGTCACTATTTAAATTAAAAGTGAAGTCAAAGCGACTTGGAATGTAACATAAAAATTAAAATCAACATAAAGCTAAAATGAATTAAAGACTAAAAACTTTCAGAAGCCTGAGGTCAGAGTTAAGGTCTCTTCTGGGAATGACCTTGGTAAGCTGGTCTAGGAGCCTTTTTCAGCTTGGAAGTGGGGTGAAAATGTTTAAAAAGCATATATAGGTTACTTGTTGCCTTGGCAAGGGTAACAAGAATGTGGAGGAATAAGCACTCAGTATTGACCATGACCATTTCTCCATATTCGGTGCCAAGGGAAAAAGTAATGAGTGTGAGGGGAAAGCAAACAGGGTCTGCTGTGCTGAGACTTTCAGCGCCATTAACAGGTGAGGTGACTGATTATCTCTGAGCTTCCTGATTATCTCCACATTTAGCAAACAACACTCTACTAATTAACTCAGGTGTTAACATCACGGAGCATTTTACTTCCCCACTTGGGGCATTAAAGCTGGACCTAACTAGACTACAGGACATGTACCAAGTGCAATTGCACCTCCTCTTGAGAGCGAGGATGTGTTTATGGACAGAATTCTAAGTGTGGATGGGCAAAACTGTCAAATTTAGTTTCTCCCCCAATTTCACATTTTCCCAGTATTAAATTCAGTTGCTGATGTGAGGGCCTCTTTTTTTTGTAATTTTAGTGGCTTTTAATTTCTATTGCTTTAACTATACCTTTGAAAACCACTCTGGAATTGTATATGACGAAGCGTGGTTTAAGAATCGCAGTAAGTAAGTAAACAATAAAATGATTTTTACAACAGAATGGAATCTATATTTGAGATCTGGGAGGCTAAGAGCTTCTAGGACTGTTTCCAATGTAATATATTACAAGTCTTGCCTCTTTCTGTAGATTCATAGATTTGCTTTTCTTGATGGGCGTTTCATCAGGTTCTTGATTTGAACTTCGTTTTCTGATGCCTCCTTCATCCATTTTGCTTACTTGATGCTGATGTGCCTATTATATTAGTGAATCCTGCAAACAGCACAAAGTTAACTATGAGTATATTATTTAAAAGTCTGTTTATCTTTTGACTTCAAAAAAGCAACAGGGGACCCATAGCGCTCTTACATAGTTAATTCAAAGTAATGGTGGGATGTGCTACCTCACTCCGAGTTGGCTTTGTAATGTTATAGCATAATCCAATCTAAGTGTGGGACACTGTGATATCACCTCACTGGTCCTATGATCCCTGATTATTCAACTTAAGTGGTACAAATGCCAATGCCTAGGAGCACTCAATTTTTTGAAACGACAGTTTGCCATTTTCATGATGATTAGGAGAAATGTATGAGTAATATAAAGGTGGCTTATCTGCCTTGATGGGAGCTCAAAGGTTGGAAATGAATTTGCTGTACAAAACATGATTTGATGTTACGGATAACTTATCAGATGGTTTGCTGGCCACCAGTGATTAGATGACTTTGTTATCAGTTTGCTCATTTTATATTGTAAACTTTATAGCTGGTTTGATGGTTTAACATGCCTGTTTGGTGTTCTGCAAGTCTATAATGGATTTCCTTGTTTTGCACTTGCAAAGAGAGAAATGGACATAATAAGCCCATTATGTGTTCTGAGGTCTTCCTGTCTTTGAATACATCTCACTGTATGATAAAATAGGGCAGATGGAACTGGTTTGGAGCAAAGGGCCAGTGGGAGGAACGAGAGGAGACATGGGAGGGTGTGTGCATGTCTGTGTGTAAGATTTTTAGGCTTCTAGTGAAGATGGGGGTGTGGAGAGGAGGAATTGGGGAGGGGATGTGGTGGGAAAGTGTCCGAATTTAACAAGGGCACCTGCAGGACTGAGGAGGAGCAAGAGGAAAGAAGGACGTTAATCTATGGCCTTGTAAAGCAGAAGGATTATTGTCCCTTTTCTTTTCCTATTATTCTTTCCCCATTAGGTTATGTACTTCGTGTTTTATGCTGTAAACCGCCCTGTGATCTCTTGATGAAGGGCAGCAAATGAATGAATGAACTGTTTAGCCCAGAGAAGAGAAGTCTGAGGTTAAACTAGCAAACCAGAGGTTAAACCAGTGGTGGCCAGACTTGGCCCTCCAGATGTTTTGGGACTACAATCCCCATTATCCCTGACCACTGGTTCTGTTAGCTAGGGATGATGGGAGTTGTAGTCTCAAAACATCTGGAGGGCCGAGTTTGGCCACCACTGGGCTAAACTAACCCCTTTCCAGCCCCAGGAGGAGTGTTCACACAACACACCTACACACTGCAGCCAACACACTAACGTGTTGCGTGACACACAGTCTGGAAAGCTCTGCGCTAGAATATAACACAGTGGAGGAGCACAACACATTAAACTGACAGGGAAATTCTTGCTGCACATCCCTGGCTCTCTTCTCCAGTTGGTGTTGCTTCCTTCGCTGGGACTCAGCTAGACTCATGTTATTGAAGAATATATATACATATATATCTTGGGGGCAGGGGGCGGGGCTGCCAACTCCAGCTGCGGCATTTGAAAGTGCAATCCTAAACATGTCCACTCAGAAGCAACTCCTGTTGGATCCAGTGGGACTTACCCGCAGGTAAATTAAATTGGGGTTGCAGGCAGTGTGGTGCACTGGTTAGAGCAGTGTGGTGCATTTGGGCCCACAGATGCATTTGCGAACTAGGGGAACTGCCATAGCCACTATGCACACCTGGGCACACCTTCACACTTTCCCTTCATGGCCAGTGCTTAGGCTGGAAGGAAGTCTTGGTTTTCTTTTAAGCATAATTGGCGGCAGGGGGGTGATCTTCTTGGAGAGTCCAGCTGGGGTGGAAAGCAGGGCAGTTCCCTCCCTGGTTTTAAGGAAGATAAGGAACATCACTCACCCCAGAAAAACAATAACAACACACTATTAGGATTTGGTGGGGGGAGTCTTGTAATGGAGTCAACAGAAGGCTCTCCCACCCCAAGTCTAATTGCAGTGGGAGAGCCTTCTCTGGACTCC